TTTTTCCCCGGTTTTTTCTTTCCCCGGAACTTGCGGGGTCTCAAAAATCCATGTGGATTTTAAGCGATTCTGATTTGAGAAGTGTAAAAACATTCAGGAATATGAAAATTTTTTTTCATTAAAGAGTTAGAAATACACAGAAAGGTACAATGTATTTTTTGAACAGGAAAATCGAGTGGTTGAACGTAGGAATTGGATAGAAAATTGAGATAGATAGATCTGGATGAAAATCTACCTATTTATCTGATTCTGGAAAAATGAGACGGAATTCCATGAATCCTGCAGAAATCAAAATTGCAGTGAACAGTCGTTGAATATTGAATAACCATGTTTTGAGATTCTGGAATTTTCCAATTTGGAAATTCAGAGATGATAAGTTTTTTTGAAATATGGTTCTGAAAATCTGAGACATCGAGTTTTTTTGTTTTTTTTTTGTTTTTTCCTAAATTCCGACACAGAAGAAACTCCACATCTCTGAAACTCCACATCTTTGGAAAGCTGGGATTCTGGAATTCCCAAAACCTGAAAATCTGAAAATTTAAAAACCTGGAAGTCTAAAAAACTGATATTGTAAAAATTTTGAATTCCGATATTCTTATATTTTCAGGCTCTAAAATTTAAAACTTCGAGATTTTAAAATTTTGTGATTCTAACTATAAGAGCATGATAACCTAAAATTCTTTAAACCTGGAACTGGGAAAATTTAAAATTTCAACATTTGGAAATTCTGAATTGTTTAAGGTTGTGAATTTTAAATATTTTTTGATTACTTCAGAGACTTTGAGATTGAAAAATTCTAACATTCGGAGGCTCTGGAACGCTGGAATTTCAAGCTCAATGGTTGCCCAATTTTGTTCGAGATTCTGACATTCTAAGTTTGAATATTCTGAAATTCTGAGATCCCGATATTATAAAATTAAGTTCATCATTCTATTGTTCCGCTATTTATTTCCATAACGGAAATCTATTCTCGAGATCCAACACTTTCATTGAGTCAGAAAAACCTTGAACAATATTTTCCCGTAAAGGCCATCTTACATTTTTCAGAACAAAATATACTATAAAACCACAAAGTTCACAACCCTATCTGTATTTCAATCTGCGGAGGTGGCACTAAAATGTTTGTATCAGCTGGAAGAGCGTAACCGCAAACCTTTCTTCCCGTAATAAAAATTCTCTGAACGAGTCTTCAAAAGTTTTATACGGTCTTCAATTCTAACAAGTCACATTTTTGGCACTCATCTGGCCTTTGTTTCAGATGACATTGTGCAGAAACAAATGTTAATCGAATTATGGAAAAATAAGTATGACCTAGAAATGTCAATGAGTCAGAAGTTTTTTCAGAGTGTCTTGACGAAAACGATGATGATGATGAATTGATAGCTTGCACCCGTATTATCATTCCCTCTTATTCTCTTATTCTTTTTTTGATTGATACGTTTCCTCTCTTTGCTCCACACATTTCAACTCTTCTTCTTCCTCCAAACACTGATCTTAACACTTTGATAATCGCCTTCACACTAAAAATGAATCAAATCGAAATGTCGCGGGCACACTGATTAAATGTTGTATTTGTGGGAAAAGACCAAACTAGGCGTCCGGCGTGTCGCAAAAGATTTCGAGTGACGATGACTTCGATTCCCGGCGACTGATAACGATCGTTTAAAAGGAAACCTATTGGCTACAGTTGGAGGAGCGAGAAGAACCTCGAAATGGGTATCTTTAAGTTTTTGGCTCTGTGTCTTTTGTGCACTTTTGTGGTGTCTATTGATCCTGAGTTAAAATGCTATGGAGCCGATTGTGATGAACCAAATTATATGGATGATACGTAAGTTAAGGGTACTCTATATACTGTCTTTGCTCGAATAGAACTCTACATAAACCGTCAACTTTGAGCTCAATTATCTCGGTTCCTGTAAGAAATATCAGAAATGTTTCAACTCATAAGTTGTCTATCACAACCTTGCCAATATTTAATCAGTTGTAAGACTTTTTATATCTCTCATAGGAACAGGGATAATTGAGCTCAAATTGCACTTATAGGGTGGACTTCGATTAAAGCAAAAACGCAAAAATGGGCAATGAAACACCTTGGAAGTTGGTTTTAAAACTTCAAAACCAACCAAGACCAATCAACTAGGATTACGGTAGCTAAATTATAGTGATTTTTCCCTATTACCGTAAACACTCTAATAGAACGCCACCCGGACCGTCCACTTTGAGCCTATGTATCTCACTTCTTTCGGAAGATATCACTAAGTTGTCAACTAACAAAATGTTTATCATAATATCATCAACATTTTATTAGTTAACCACTTTTTGATATCTCTCACAGAAAGTGAGATACATAAGTTCAAATTTAACGATTCGGGTGGCGTTCTATTAGAGTGTTTACGGTAATTATAAGTTTCCCACCGATACAGATCAAAATAGAAAAATTCATGCACAGTTACAGCAGAAGTAACACAATTCAGGATAAAAAAAGGCACATAATTCGGAGGGTACAACAACTCTTCTGTACCCCCGGAATTGATGATTTTGTACCCCAATGATCCCAAAATTTTTGTACCCACCTTAAGAGTTTTCAAGTTTTCTTCGAAATATACATAGCTTTGAGCTCCAGTTTTCAAATTTTTCACTTATTAGAGCAGTAATATTTCTACCTACTTCATCTGATTAGTATTTCAGCGAACAATGCTCTGGACTTGAATGTGAATCGAAAGAGACTCTTCTTGCCATGATCAGTCATTACCAGAAAGAGAAACATGAAGAGTATTTGGCACCACTCCACAAGCCGATTAGAGACGAATCTACCGTCCGTCATTTCCTGAACGAGGTGAGTTCAAACGTGACTTTTGTACTGCGGAGATTAATTTTCGGAAATTTCAGATTAGCACCGGATCAGTCAACTCTCAGGAACTCGCTGCTACAATCTCACCACAATGTAACATTTGCAGTCAACCTGGGCTTTGTAACAGCGGACAATGCGTTCCAGATCAATTTTTCCCGTGGCAATACTTCTAGTAAGTTGTTAACTGATCATTACCATGTCTAAACTAACTTTTAGTTGTGTCTGCCCTGACAACGCTTCCGGAAGATTCTGCCAAAACGTAATCGCTTGCAAAGCCAACACTTGCGGAAAGAACGCCGACTGCTACGTGGCAAACCATCAACTCAACTGCATCTGTAAACCAGGATACACTGCCAGAAAGAATGGAAGAGATTGTGACATGAAGGTTCAACAAGCTTGTATGAGTGGAGATCCTCACTACGTTACTTACGATGGTCTTCGTTTCGATTACCAAGGAACTTGTCCATACGTTTTCTCTCAGCCATGCACTACTCTTCCAGCTCCGTATGGATGGTTCTCGGTCAGAGCAAAGAACGAGTTGCCAGGAAAGGGATACCAGTAAGTTTGAAGCGTCATATTTTTGAATTCATTTGAATATTTACAGCATTTCACAAGTTTCTGAAGTTGAAGTTGATCTTCACAACTTGACGATTCATGTTGATGGGCGTTCGAAGACAGCTCTTGTGAACGGAGTTCAAACTCTGATTCCATGGTACTATCCAAACATGGCTGCCTGGACTGTCCGTATCCGTAAATCCGGATCTACCTTCTATATTGAGAACGAACAAGGAATCTCTGTCGCCTTCTCCACCTACAATTCTCTCTGTGTCACTGTCCCAGATATCCCAGAATTCAATGGACCATCCGCTCTTTGCGGATTGGCAGGAAATATTGATGGAAAGAAGTTGGATGACGTCGTGAACAGAAATGGAACCGTTTTGAACATCAAATCTAGCCGTCAACCAGAAAACAACAACCACGCGGATTTCATGAAGACTGAGGTAAGACTCTACAATTTGATTGAATATTCTACATTTCCAATTTTAGGATTCGTGGATCACCGATAAGTTCCTAATCCTTCGTCCCGGACAAGAGGCTTGTGTCAACGGCCAATTACTCGACAATAACACAAATTGCGTCAGTACTAGTATCATTCTAGATCAGAGTTGCGCGGTACCGCTCAACCTTTCCCTCTCCTCCGTTTATTATTAAAAACTTTTCCTCTTTCAGGATGTCGAAACTGCAGCCCAAACTTGTTATTCAATCCAACAAGCTGAGCTCGGACAAGGACCATTCGGAGCTTGCCAAGCTCTTGGAAATGATACTCTAGAGGATTTCTACTACAACTGCGTCTATGATATTTGCCGTAATCCAGCATACAAATGCACAGAACTCTCTTACTTCTATCAGTACTGCCAAATTGCTATTCCACAACAGCAGATGAATCAGAACTGGAGAACTCAAGTTGGTTGCCCATTGGCCTGTCCATTGAATTCCCATCCATCAGTCTGCACTTCCTCTTGCCCATCTACATGTGCCGAGCCTTTCCCAGAGATCTGCGACCAGGGATGTGTTGATGGTTGTGAATGTGATCCAGGATACGTGATAGATAACACTGTCACCGGATCCATGAAATGTATCAGACTTGACCAATGTGGATGCCTCGACTCTGATGGAAACGCTCACAGAGCAGGAAGACCATGGGTCTCCCAAAACTGTACAATCTATCAGGAGTGCCGAAACGGATCTTTGTGGAGTGATTACAGACCATGCTCCGAGGATGCAACCTGCTTCACTAATTATGCTGGAATGCAATGCAAATGCAACTCGGGATTCAGAGGAGACGGATACAATTGCACGGACATCAACGAATGTGTGGAGACTCCCGGAATCTGTGGGCATGGGCAGTGCATCAACACTCCAGGATCTTACAACTGCATCTGTGATGATTTCTGGCTTGGTACCAACTGCAACTCCTACAAACCACGTCGTCATTGTGCCGATTTGAGTGTCTACTGGGGAATCAAACAATCCGGTGTCTATTCCATCAACCCACCTTTCCTTCTTCCACAACGTGCGAAATTCGCCCCAATGGATGTCTATTGTGACATGACTACAAACGGAGGAGGATATACTCTAATGTCTTCTGACACTGGAGATATCAACACTAACAAGACATTCCAAGACTACTTGATTGGTTTCGGAACTCCAGCCAAGCAGTCTGTCTGGATCGGACTCGAATTCATCTACCAATTGACTAACTATCAACCACACACTCTTCGTCTAAACTTGTTCCGATGCGCTAGCAATGGTCGTCCAGCACTCAACACAGACTGTACCTATCCAACATTCTCCATCAACAATTCAACCACTCAATACTCTGTTGTCATCCGCGAGGCTTGTACTGGAACTGAAGCTGACGCTCATTACTATCAGGATGGATGGGCAAGATGGGATTTGAGCAAGGATGGACCAAAGTTCTCCACTTTTGACATCGAAGCAGAAACTACTATTCCACCAGCATTGGCTGACAAGGTTGAAGATGGAGCCAGTAAGTTGATTTCGATCCCATTAAATAATCTAACTTTCTAAACTTTCAGTCTACTACACTTGCTCCAAGACTAACTTCAACACTGGATGGTGGTACGTCGAGGATCAACTTTGTGGAGCTGCTAACTTGAATGGAGTCCGTTACACTTGTCCAAATATTCCAGTTGAGAGTGAAAGATATTTGAGATGGGCTGAGGGAACCATCGCACAATCGTCGATGTACTTGCGTCCAGTTGGATATCCAAGATATGACACTCTATAACTTGTTCGCTCATTTTCCTTTCACATGAAATTGTATCTTTGAAGTTGCCTTCTCCGAGTACGTGTACAAAAATGAACAGTTCATTATTTGATTCACTCGCACTTTTTAAAAAAGAAACATGAAAAGGTAAGGGACATTAAAAAAAAAACTAACTGTTTCAAAATATTGTTGATATAAGACTATCGAGGAGTTGAACTTGTGGGACGAGTGTTAAAGGTTCGGTGCCACTACCGACTGAGCCATGCGGGCATGATAACCAAAAAAACTCCGAAAAATCTATGGTACCCTTTTCAAAAAATGTTATTGAAGATAAGATGGATATTAAAAGTTAGAGACTGGTGAAGTTCAAAGTTTAGACACAGAGCCCAGAATCTTTGTCGCATGACGTGTTAGATGGGCACGAAGAGCATGTTTTTCCTTCTTTGTAGACTTCCAAACCTTTCACATTTCCCCTGTAGGAAAAATGTATTTTTTTTCTCAAAACTTCAATAAAAGCATTCCTTACTTCTTCTGGTAATTGCAAACTACAACAACCTTATTCAATCCCTTTTTCTTTGGGTCTGGCCCACAATTTTTTACTCCGCACCCAATTTTGTTGGACTTTGACCATGCCATTTGGGTAGCAGGCCCGATCTTTGTTTTCTGACTGCCATAGGTTCTGGATTCCCATCCAAACTTGTTGAACTCCGCTTCCCACTTTTTGGAAGCGATGAGTCCCTAAAAATAACAAAATGTTACGATTATCATTATCACGAAAATCATACATATTCGCCAAGATCTTCTTTAACTTCCGCAGATGAAAACGCTCGATAGATGTTCTCTCCGTACTTATTTTTGTAGTTCTCCCTGTGGCTCATTGGACAAGTATCGGCAAATTCCTGAGCTGACCGAGCAATAGTGTCATCCCAAGACTGCAAATTCTGTTTACACTATGCTTCTAAATAAGAGTCCGTACCATTTCTAACATGTCCATGGCAGGTGGCATTTTGGATCCTTTTGCTTTGTAGATACCAAGTGCAAGTTTTGAGCGCAACTTGTTGTGAATGTCCACAATGGCATCTTGGGCTTTCCGACTGAAACCACCGGCGGCGACTTTCGATCCGAGCAAGGCAAGACCGAGAAGAAAGAGTTTCATTATTGAAGCGACTGTTAGATTCGAAGACTCTCTGCGCCTTTTATGTTTTTTTTCTCTCTAGAGCACCATGCCATTCAAGGGTTTGGAGAACATATGTTTCCACGATTAAAAAGGCGTAAAAATGTCCGATTTTCTGCTCATTCATGTATTTGTGTCAAGTTGGATACCCAAGGAATGACATTAAATATTGATCATTTATTGATCATTTTTCAAATTGGTTTATTTGTAGCACAACCAAAATAACAAGAATAAAAACAGTCTAAACGAATCATAATTATTTCCGCAATTGATTTTTTTCATATCAAAGCTGACTATTGCCATTGATCTTTGATCCCATCCCTCATAGGAAATTTGCATAAAGTTTCCTTTTGATTCCCTCCGAGTCCAAAATTCTGTATGATCAGAGACACTGAAAAATATTTTATTTGATTTTTGCATTTTGATTTCAACTCACAATTCCTTATATGAAAAGTTGTTTGATGCTGTTGGTCCTGTTTTTATTGTCAATGAGTCGCCAGCCGTCGCAATTCGAACATCTTTCACATTCACACCAAACATGAATTTTTGATCATCGTCTTCTGAAAATAAAACAGAAAATAAAGAAAAGAGCTTACCTATTTCAGAGAACTCACCAAACTGAAATGAAAAGCTTGGTGATGTTTTTGGGTTCCAAATTGAGGGTGAGAATATTACACCACGTCTACCATCAAATGGTTTCAGCCATTTTTGAGTCGAGGATTCTGAAAAAGAAGTTTTTTGTAAATTCACAGAGAAAGCTCACTAGTGACAGAAGTATCCAGAGTGACTCCAATTCCACTGTGATGATTGATCATTGTGAACATTCTCGAAGGAATCAGTTGAGGGAAATTCCGTTCCAATGTTGTAGAAACAGAGTAATTCAAAAGAGTTGAAGTGTTATGTGTGGGAGATAGTGAGCGAAGTTCGATATAAGCTTTTGAAATCTGGAAAATTTAATTTCAATCAGAATTTAAGATTCGTCAAGTGTCAATACCGTCGTCATTGACTTATGAAATTTCAAAATGGTCCAGTAAAAGTTGTTACAATCGGAGCATATCCATGTATAAGCGGCTCCTCGGTCACTCGCATCAAACAACTCGCCAGTTGTTTGTTGATTCCGACTCGTCAGAATAGCCTTGTACTTAGAGAATACTGACACTTCTGTAAATAAAGCAAAACATATGGAACTTTTAAAATTATTCCATACTTAACCAATCATTTCCGATCAAATAGGATGGTGAATTAACGTCATAGAAGTTAATGATAGTGATGTTATTGAACGATGAAATTTTTTTCTTCTTGAGGAAATTTGAAAGTCTTCCAACCATTTGACAGTTCTTCACATCTCCTCCGTCATAAACGAATATCTGTTCGAGAAGTGTGTCATAGTCTTGCGTGTTTTTGATAGCCAGATTCAGTGCCACCTTTAAAAAAGAGCCACCTTTAGAAAAGCCTTAAAAGTTTGAAGTGGTCTTCAAACCTACTCGATCCATGGCTTCCGAATGAAACGTGTAGTATCGTTTATTCATGTCCCCAAGAGCAAAGTATTCTCCAGTCGGAATCTTGACTTGTTTGTACTTTTTCTCGACATTGACGAATTCATAAATCGCAAACATTTGACTGGTATTGCTCATCGTTTTTATGTGAAAAATGGCAGTTGGCGCCGATGACCATTCGTCAATATGCTGGTTTGGCGTGGGAAGTCTGAAATGATATCATCATTTGTCCTATGTATACTGTAATTCACATATGGACAACTCCCAAGTTGTCCGTAAAAGTGATATTGTCTCCGAGTAATTGATCATAGTGAGTGCTGATAGACAAATGGAGAGCCCAACCGGGATGAATCAAAAAGTGATATGCACAATCGTAGTTGGCAGGAATAACAGATAGACCAACTCTGCTGGAAGGTATCACACCGATTGGTCCAGCTTCAGGAGTTATCAAATAATTGGGACACACTGAAAACTGAATTAAAGGGTGTCAGTTTTATTTAGTTGATTACCGAAACAATTCACCTTGGCCAAAAATTTTCCAAAGACCAAAAAACTGAAAAAGAACCAGACGAACATTTTTTTTCTGAAAAAAATAACAGCTTCTTCTTTTATTCTATTTTTCTTTGGTCCATCCCCATCAATGTTTTATCATACACCCTCTATTTTGGATCTATGTAAACAAGACCGCCAGACAGAAGAAACAAAAAACAACGTCACCAAAAAAACCTAGAGGATGGAAAGGATTTATTCTTGCGACAATATTCAGAAGAAAATATTTGAGATGACGAGGATAAGAAGACCGGTAGGAAGAAGAGAAGCGGCACCAGCTGTCGTTGTTTCCACATTAATAGGTGTGGTTTGGGTGGACTGTGTTGATTGTGTGGAGCCAGACTGAAAAATTTAATAATTGAATAATTGTTTTTTTTTCAAATGTTTGTTTTACGAACGAAATCGTACCGAAGTTTGTACTGTGCTGAGATCTGAGGTTTGTGTCCTAGAAGCTCTAGTTGTGGGGCTGGGTGCTAATGTGGAAACAATGATAGGAACCACTGGAGATTGAGTGATAATCGGTTCGGTGGTTTGCACAACTACTGTAGATTTTTGAGAGCTTTCAGTAGATATTTTTTGTGCGGATGAGGATGAAGACATCCGAGAGGAGGTGGCTTGTTTTGACTGGGTTGATGCGGAAGTGGATGCAAGAGAAGTAATTGTAGATGAAGAAGGCTTGTCAGCCGTTGGTTTTGTCGTTGGCACTATTTTTGTACTGGTTGGAAGCAACGTGGTGATGGTAGAGGGCGTTGGTGACGCAGTAGATGTTGTCAGCAAAGTTGTAGTTGAAGAAATCGTTTTTAAAGTCGTTGGAGCTTCCGTGGATGTTATGGGTGTTGTAACCGTGGTAGAAACAATCCCATTAGTAGGATTTAACGTAGATGGTGATGCCGTGTATGTGGTCAATTTTGTTGTTATCAAAGTTGTTGTTGGGGGTTCGGAAGTTGAAGTCGTTGGAACATCAGTTGAAGTTGAAGTGATCAACTTTGACGTCGTTGGAGCTTCGGTGGAAGTTGTAGGTGTTGTAACCGTGCTAGTGTTAAAAGTCATCCCTGTAGTTGAACTGGGGAGGAATGTTGAAGTGGTAACTGACGCGGAAGCCACACTGCTGGTAGATGATGATTCAGGAGCAATTGTGGAGGTATGAACTTCAGAAGTAGTTGAGATAAATGTCGTTCTTGGAACTGACGTGGTACTTGTAACCACTGTTGTCGCAGTATAAGAAGGCGCTATGATTATGGTACTCGTACTAAGCGCGCTTGTGCTTGTTTCGGTAGTAGATGTTTGTAGATTTGTAGAGCTACTCACTTTTGTGAATGTTACAATTGCAGTGGAAGTAGAAGGTGCAAGTGTGGAGGAAGCTACATATGTGATGTCTACTGTAGATGTGTGGGTTCTAGTTGATGTGCTGACTCTAGCAGACGTACTGTCTCTAGTAGATGTGCTTGCTACAGTAGCGACAGACTGTGTTGTTCCAACAGAGGTAGAAGGACGTGACGTGGAAGTTACTTCAGTTGAAGTGACGGGCGCGATTGTGCTTGTACTCACTCTAGTAGCGCTAGTAGATACTGAAGTGCCAACGGATGTGGAGACGGTGGTGTCCTAAACATATATGGTTTCGTAATACACTGGACACCTCACCGAGTTAGTACTTCCAGGGCTTTGAGTAGTTCCATCAGGATTCGATGGATCGATCATCAAGAAGCTTAGATCAACTTCCGAGGTTTTAGAGCCTGTGTACTTCAGTTTCAAGTATTTTCCCAATCCGGAAATGACTTCATTGGTCAGTTTAGTTTTGGTATATCTGAATAGTTTCAAAATTAATCTTCCAATAAAATAATTCTGAACCAACTTTTTTTCCAAAGTAGTGAGTCCATTAACTGATCCAACTTCAACATCTAATTCATCTCCATCATTTTCCAATGCCAAAGTATTCAACCTTATGGAAAAGTTGTAAACTGCCAGTGGATCCGAGAACGTGTAATCGAACGACGGAGTAGCATCTGGGTTCCAGAGTTGAGGAGAATAAATGGATCTGGATTCCCCTGGAGATGTTTCGAAATCTTGCTGCTGGGATCCAGGTGACAAATTGAAATGAACGGAAGCGTTGAAAAGATGGAAAGTTGCAATTGGGGCTGTGATAAGTTGTGGGAAGCTTGCATTGTTGTTTGTGGAGTATCTGGATATTATATTTTAACTTTAGCTTCAGGTTTACAGAAACTTACGGATACGTTAGCACTGGTTTAAGTTTATCTGTTGGAGTCATTCCTTGAATTGCAACATATCCATTTGGATTCTAAAAACGAAATTCTGATTTTTTAAACTTCTAAAAGTGCACGAACCCCGTATCCCCAGTTAGCTTCGAACATCATATAGTTGATTGCAAAACTGGAGCATCCGTTACAAATTACTGTATACCACGCATCGAATTTCTTAAATGGCTCTTCAACTTGACCCATCCAGCTATCGAGATCTTGGTCTGAATCCAGCACAAAAATCGAATAAACATCCATCGGTTCGATAACTGTAATGAAACGGATGGGAACTAAAGAGGATCAGACTTCATACCTGATGCATCGTTTCCCAAGAACAAAGAATCTGATGGAGTGTTGTACAAATTGAGGAGTGTGAGAGTGTTGGAAGTTGAAACAAATTCATAACGACGAAAGAACACTGATGAGACTCTTCCGATGTATTTCGAGTTCACAATGTCATTTCCATCGAAAAGGAAAACTTCGAAAACTGTGTGATCAACAAATCCATTTTCGCGAGATCCATAGTGCAAGTTGACCTAATATTCATTTTAATTATGCGCACTTTCGAATTCCAAATTACCTGATCTTCTGCTGTACTGGCCTTCACTGTGTAATATTTTCCAGTTTCCAACGTTGTGTTGAAATAAGCACCAGTTGGTTTAACAACTTGTTGGTAATGGGTCACTGAAACCATTCACATGTACACTAAAATATTTTTGAAAACTCACAATCCAAGTAGCTGTATTTTGCCATGAATGTCAAGTTTCCAGTTTTGGAGTATGCTGCGAAAGAAAGTGAGGTGTTCATTGCGAACTGAACTTCATTCACAACCAGCGGAGAAATACTGAAAGTTGCATTAAAGTTTCATTAAAAAAGTAACAAAGCTTACTAGAAATAATCCATCATGACAAAATCTCCATGTGAAACATCATAATCTGTAGATATCTCCATTTTTATGGCAAATCCCTTCGGAATGTCAAACTGGAAAAAATAGGATGATGTTCAAAAATACATTTAAAACTCGCAATATATGTGCATTCCGTTTCAACCGGAATTTTTACTTGATCCGTTGCTCCTGCTGGTATCACTCCTGTCAGACCAGAATCTGTTGTGATGTGGTCCTTTGGACACGCTGAAATTGAGAATGGTCCACACGATTAAGGTCAAATGCACTCACTAAATTCAGCATTCAAAAGTGATACGAACGAAATGAGGAGCAAAGCAAGAACGTGGTTAGACATGATCTGAAAATAAAACTGGAATGATGACAACTCTAGACGAAGCGGAGTTTGTTTGATGATTCCGAGTGCAACCTTTTTATAGGCGACGCCCTTCAACCTGTACCGCAACTATCATCAGGGCGTTTTTCTCGGAAAAATTATAAGAGATAAAATTACAATTATCACAAAGAGAAGTGACGTGCAGCCTTTGAAGCATTTCTTCAATTTTTGTCTTTAATTGCTATGTTATAATAGGTGTATCCGGTAGACTCGCCCTGTTGTAATATTTTGAAACTTAATTTGTCCTTCTTTGAATTTCAAAAAGTTTCAAAATTATTTTCGGGATTCTTTGAAATCAGATTCTTTCATCCTGGTTTTCATTGGACCTGAAATTTTTCAAGTATTTCTAGAGTTTGCCAAAGTTTGTAACATATCTCTTATTTTATCTTTTTGTTGATACATTTTTCTATGGTTCATTATTATTATTTCAAGCTTCAGGTTAGATCTGAAAAGCGTTTGTTTTATTGATGAGCATTTTTTCTGGTGATATATTTCTGTTCTCAATTTTTGGCAAATACCATATTCGAATTTATTTGAAAAGTTGTACAGTTCGTGTCATAAAGATAAGACTCCCAACCCAAATGAATTTTCCAATCAATTGAGCCTTTCGTAAAATTACAGTGCTCAAAATTATTATTTTCATATTTTTTACAGAAAATATAATATTCATAATACATTTATTCAGATTACAAATTAAAATTAGAGCTTCAAACTGTATCAAGCTACAATAATCAATGTGAAACCGAGTAGTAGAATGTTGTAACTGATTGGAAAACCACCTGAAGTTGTGGTTTGCACTGTTGTTGATGCCGTAGTAGGTGTAGTAGATGTAGTGGATGGTGCCGCAGTTGTTTGATTCAAATCCATCTGAAAATTATACCGAAGTTCTCTAACAACAACTCGAGAACTTACCGCAAAAGACAGTCGAACATCAGCTGCAGCAGAGGCAGGCAATCCAACTTGCATATAATTTCCCTGAGCTACTACTTGTTGATTAGAAGATTGATCACGAGGATACCTTTACGATTAAACAGATTACGTATTTCAGTTATCGCTGACTCACTGATTATTCACAGTTGGATTTCCAGTTCCTGATCCAATTTTCAGCGTCATTTGATCTTCATTATTGGGTAAGCTCATCTTATTCATATTCAGTGTGTAAAAATACTGTTGTGTATCATTACGGAACTCATAATTGAAATTGTTGGCCGCAGAACTCCAGAGACTTGGAGAGAAGATGTATCCCTTACGTCCATCGAATGGTTGTTTCCATGGAGCATAATCTTGGACTGTGTTCAATGTCACAGAGAACTTCGACAAATACATTATCATTGTGAAGCAATCAGAAGGTATCATTTGAGGAAAATATGAGTTTGTCAACGTCATTGGGCTAAAAAAATAACTTAAAGCGGCATTGATTCGTAATTTGCGCACTCGTATTTAATCAACTGATCTCGTTTTTGAGTTGGTGTCTGTCCTTGAAAAGTCACAGATCCCTTATTAGCAATCGTTGACATACTATCAAAAACAAGGCTTGTCCAGTGGAACGTAGTGCAGTTAAGACAGATGAACGTGTATGCGGAGCCACGGGGACTATCAGTTAGGTCGGATAGATTTCCACGGATACCGTTTCCAGGGGGAATCGTGAGCACTGAGTATCTGCTGAACCCATTCAGACTTGATGCATCGTTTCCAAGAACATAGGAATCTGAATTCACTCCAGAAAGGTTCACTATTGATACACTTTTCCCGCTAGCAATGGTAATTCTTTGTTCCAAATCTGAGAGTGTTCCCAAGAATGAAGCAGTGTTGATATTGTCCCCATCATAAACCAGATAATAGAGAAGGCCGGGATCTGACATTCCAACACTTGATGCGGGTGTTGCAACGACCTAAAGATTCGAATACCGTAGAGTTCCTATAAATAATTTTCACCTGCTCATTGGGAGAGGAAGTTGTGATAGTGACATAATTATTTGCAGTGATTGTATTTAACGGGAAATATTCTCCGGTGTTTTTCACCAATGATTGTTTGTAGCCAGCAACTGGAAATACGAGAGTTTTTAAATTTTACAGATAAACAAACTTACGAGAAATGTAATTATAGCTGAGATATAATTTGCTGATTCCTGAATCTCCATAAACTTGAACCATTGCACTTTTTGCAGGCATCCAAAGTGGGACATTATAAATTGGTGCTGATGAATGAAGGAGATTGTACTTGTGAACGTTGTTGTTGTCAAATATAATTACTGTATCCTGATCTGATCCAGCTTGAGAAGAAAGTTTCATGAGTAAGACGTAGTTGTTCGGGATATCAAACTGGAATGATTGCTTCAGGACCTTCTTATTTTTTGAATTCTTACTTTAATTGTACAGTTAGTTCCCATGAGGACATTCGTAAGATTTGAAGCTCCGGCTGGTACAGTTCCGGAAAGCGTTGCGGCTGTGATAGTAGATGTGGGACATGCTAAAGACTTTTCCGTAACTTAAATATTCCCTTTTCTTGGAAATTCGCTCACCAAAATCTAGTGCATAACTACAGGTAACAACTAAATAAACGGCTACAAGTTTGAGCATTTTTAAAAGTCTGAAACCATTTTTAAAAAACCTATAATATGTGATTCAGAAAAAAAAGCCAATTTGAAAAACCCAAAACCAAAAAGAAGAAAAATATGAACTGATTTTTATCTATTCCTTTTTACGGAAAGCTATAAAAACGCAATGGGCAGTTAGAGCATAAAAATTACCTCAAATGGAAAAAGCACGAGAGAATTTTTACTGCCGTTGGCACATTTATACTCTTTTGCCATGTTACGAATATGTATAGTTTTTTGAGACGTTCATCGAAATACTGCAAAAAAAAAAGTATAATGGATAGTTATCAGAGCTTGTTTCTGGTCTGTACAATTGTTTGGAAACGCGGAGTTGAAAAACAAAACAAGTTTTAAAATAAAACAGATGTTGTTCAAAAATTGTATAGTTTTTGAACAATATAATACAAGAATACAAAACGAGGATGTCTCCGGATTAAAAAAATTTTGCTCGCAATAATATTAGGAAAGTACATAACTTTTCAAACATTTGAATGCAATAAAAAACTTTGGTCGGAGTCCCCCTTTGAGGTCGAAAAAACTAATTGTCGAAGAAAAGATAATCTCCGCAAAACAAAAGTTTTTAAAAACTCATTTATTATCTGACTGTTCCACAAACAAGATTGGGAATCGTGAGCACTGAGTATCTGCTGTGACACAAAATTAACAATTTTATGATAGACGGAGACTGTAATATTGACATAAAGACAATTACAAAAACGGAGATGTTCAGAGGTAATAAATCAGGATCCAAGCACAAAGTGAAAGGATCCCAATCGCACTACCCAGATTGGGTTTTTGCATTTCAAATGACAAACGAACATCAGTCGCAACTGATGCAGAAAGTCCAACTTGCATGTAGTTTCCATTTGACATTACGGTTCCTGAAGACCGATCACGGGGATATCTATAAGAATAGATGCGATTCACTTTTATGGATTTTCGAACTAACGTGTTGTTCAATGCTGGATTTCCCGTTCCTGATCCAATTTCCAATGTCATTTGATCGCTATTAGCTGCAAAAGATGCCTTGATAAAGTTCACCGTGAAGTTATACAATTGCGAATCATCACGGAATTCGTAGTTGAAATTGTTGATAAAAGGTGTCCAAAGATTTGGGGCAAAGATGTATCCCTTACGCCCAATGTAAGGCTTTCTCCATGAAGAATCATCGTTAATCGTGTTGCAGTTATATTCGATGGCTGACATCTTCACATTAATGGTTAAGACGTTAGTGGGAATCATTTGTGGAAGGCTATCCTTTGTGAATGCGCTGAAAGGTTCGGTTTCAAAGTTACTTACAGATGTTTACACTTACTCATATTGAATCAATTTCTCTCTTTTATGAGTAGGAGTTTGTCCTTGAAAAGTGATGTATCCTTTGTTTGAAATTGTCCAGAGACTGTCAAATTGCAATTTGGTCCAATAAAATGTGGAGCAGTCAATGCAAATCATAGTATAAGCTATGCCAGTGCTTTCAGTAAAATCTATTAATCTCCCGTTCAATGAAGATCCCAAAGTTGTGATCCCGACTAAATAGTTGCTGTATCCATTCAATGTTGAAGCATCGTTTCCAAGAACATATGATGCGGAAACTGTTCCGTAGAAGTTGACAATAGTTATATTTCTTCCAGAAGAAGTAACAATTTTGCCGTAGAAATCTGACAAAGCCCCAATCATATTTGCAGTATTAATGTTATCTCCATCGTAAACGTAGTATTCTTGTAAACGAATATCCACTTTCACTCCGGCTCGGAGAGCAGGACTTAGAACGACCTAAATCGAAAAATTGAAAGTTTTTAAAGAGATGCATAACCTTTTCATTATCAGAGGAAGCTGTTATAGTATAATACGTTTTGCTGCCAAAGTCGACCAGTGGAAAATGCTCTCCAGTTCGTTTAGTCACTTGCTTGAAATCGTTGACTGAAAAGTCTATTGTCTTTCAATAAAATACAGAATAACATGACTTAAGTGACTGGTACAAGTAGCTCATCATGAATCTGGAGTTTCCTGAATTTCCAATAACAATAACTTTAGCAGATGTTGGTGAGAGCCAAACTGGAGCATCGTAAACAACTTCTCCAGTGTGTAGAAGACTAAAAACGAATAAAAAAGTTAAAAAAGAGCATTTCTAGAAGAATCAAACCTTCTGGATGCTTCCCTATTATCGATTAGTTGAACAGAATCATCAACAGATTGAAAATCTACCGAAAACTTCAATTGAAGGGCATAATTGCTAGGAATATCAAACTGAAAATCAAAGTTACTCCCAAAGTTCAAAACTTGAAGAAAAACCGTGAATGTGCAGTTGGTTCCTTTTGGGATAAGAGTTATATTTGTGGCTCCAGCTGGTAAATTTCCTCCTACCGACATATATGTTATAGGTTGATTGGGACATACTGAAAGTTGAGTTGAAAATATTTTATTGCGAAAAACGAAGGAACTCACTGAAACCAGACGCTGAATAAAGGTAACAGAGTATAAAGACGATCGCTATTAATTTAGGCATGATAGGAGACTGAAAAAAAAAGTGTGTGACTTAGTTTTTAAACTGAAAAAATTGTAAGTGTTTAAAGGTGTTGTGTATGCATAGTTTAAAAAGAATGAGGGAAAGTCATGGAAAAAAAGGTATCAAGTATGTGATAAGGGAACACGGAAATTCAATAGTTCAAAAGACGATTATGTGTTTAGTACATGAGTCAACATGAAGGAGCAAGGCCTTGAAACTGTTTCACACTGCTTCTGGACTTGTGGCTGCCAAATTGATCATATCATACATGCGATGATCGTTTCTCATTGAACATAAAATTTATTGTAAAAATTTTTGAGCTACACAGTCACAGAACCAATCATAGATATAACATTCCAAGTCACAGATTGGCCAGTACTAATTTTGTAAGATTTCTCTGTGGAAAAGTTCACAGGGATGATGTTTTGTTAACGCTTCGCAATGAAACTTTAGTCATTCGCATCATAATTTTGTCATTCGCATCATACAAAAGTTACCAGAAAAGACTCTAATAAATATTTTTCCAGCGCATTTTTTGATGGAGTAGAGGCACCGCTGATCAGGATTAAAAAACTTTCGCAGAATCCAGAATAAATACGTTTCCTCGGAATCCGAATCGTATTATCCGACATTTCCTGATTAACGGTAGTTGCCATTGATCAATCTGTAAAAATCACAGCTGTGGAAAAAACGCAGATTGTCGAGGCCACAGGTCCCAGAACGAAAACTACCATAGCCGGGAAAAATATATTTTTCCGGATTTCTTCCTCAGTTTTTACTGCTTTCCGACAATTTTCCGGCAATTTCCCCCCGAATAAATAGGGAAAGAAATGTGTTTCTTCCACCCAAACGTATTCCTCAAATGACATAAAACTGTATTCATTTTTCAATCAATTTATTAGAAAAATTTTCTGTAATTATGAAAACAAGTGACACATAATCAAGAACTTTTGGATTGGTAAAATATCAATATTGGAATAAAACATTTTTTCCATTTGCATAGAAAATCGAGAGAGCAAAAGCGGTGAGAATTCCAACGGCGCTAGCTGGGTTGCCTTTTTGCATTTCAAATGACAAACGAACATCAGAAGCCGCTGATGCAGAAAGTCCAACCTGCATGTAGTTACCATTTGACATCACTTTTTGACTGGAAGACAGATCTCGTGGATATCTATAAGAATTCGTCAGATGGGTTTGACTGTCGTGAATTATTAGTTAACTAACGTGTTGTTCACTGCTGGAGTTCCCGTTTCTGAACCAATTTTCAATGTCATCTTATCGGTACTAGCTGGGAAAGATGTCTTGATAAAGTTTATAGTGAAATTATACAATTGCGAATCATCACGGAATTCGTAGTTGAAGTTATTGGCAGCACTTGTCCAAAGATTTGGTGCAAAGATGTATCCCTTACGACCAATGTAAGGCTTTCTCCATGAAGAATCATCATTGATATTGTTAAAGTAGAACTCTGTTCTTCCCAAATACAAATTAAGGGTTAAAACATTAGATGGCATCATTTGGGGGAAGTATGAATCAGTGACTGTCATTGCGCTGAAAACCATCCTCAATTTTCTATTTTTAAAGTTTGACAGTTCGGAACTACTCGGCTGTGGGTACCCATACTTAGTCAAACATCACCGATGTGCTCGGAAGCTCGTGCTGGACTTGTGGGAGGTGTGGCTAAGGTTTGGCGCCGACAGCCGAGTTCAAATAATCTAACAAAACATACTCATATCTAATCAGCTTTTCTCGTTTATGAGTTGGAGTCTGTCCTTGGAAACTGACGTATGCTTTATTGGAAAAAGTTGAAAATCTATCGAATCTTAATTTTGTCCAATAAAATGTGGAGCAATCCGTACAGATCCATGTGTAAGCAGCTCCGTTTACAGAACCAGAGAGATCAGTCATGTTTCCTTTAATAGAAGTTCCCTTAGATGTGAGGAGAACTGTGTACTTTCCGAATCCATTAAGTGTAGAGGCATCGTTTCCGAGAGCGTAGGATCTGGTGGTCAAGCCAGAAAATTTAACAATAGACACACTTTGTCCTGTCGAAATTCGGATATTCGTGAAGTCGGAAAGTGGCCCCATCACGTTTGCTGTGTTGATATTGTCTCCGTCGTAAACGTACATTTGGCTCAGAGATACGTCTGGATCAGAACCAGCTCTGGAAGCTGGGGAAACAATGACCTAGAAAATTTGAAAGTTTAGTATCAATCGAACGTCAAACCTCAACAAACCTTCTCATTGACGGATGATGACGTGATAGTCACATAGTTGCTATTAACAAGATCAGTCAATGAGAAGTACTCTCCCGTCTTTCTGTTAATTTGTTGGTAGTTAGCAACTGGAAACTTGAAAGTATTGAAATTACCTTGTTTGGATTATACTCACGCGATTGATACAGGTAGCTAAGCATGAATTTCATGTCTCCACTTGCTGCTTCAACTCGAACAGCTGCATATTTTGCTGGCAGCCAGAGTGGAATGTCATAAAACGGAGTTGTCGACATTTTTAGAGTGTACACAGGGTAGTTATTGTGGTCATAGACCGTCACTACATCGTTTTTCGAACTCGATTGTGCGGAAAATTTCAAGAGGATGTTGTAGTTGTTTGGAATGTTGAACTGAAAATTCAGAAGTCTTGGCCGATTATAATTGTTTTTTTCAAATTACAGTAAATGTGCAATTGGTTCCTTGTGGAACAGCAGTGATGTTGGCAACTCCATTTGGTAAGTTTCCGCCGAGAGTTATAGATGTGATTATTTGAGTAGGGCAAACTGAAAATTATGATTTCAATGTTCGCAAAAAATGAATTGTTGCAATTTTCGAGTCCCATGATAAAGATTTCTTTACACTATCAAAATCACTGTCTCACTTTTAAAGTTCATGCGGATACTATGAATTAGACTGAACTAGATATTAAGATTTTAAAAACTCACATGCAGCCAAAGCTGATCCAGCTAACAAAAATAGCGTTGCAAGTTTGAGCATTTTTATATCTGAAATGAGGCTCGAAAAACTTCAAAAAATGGCACAGAAAAATGGAAAATTTATTTTAGAAACCACAAGATGATAAGTGACTGTTCATGTATTCTGTCTACAGACTATTTATATAAGAAACATGAAAAAAGTGGGCGACAGAGAGAACGAGAAGCGGCAAGAGGGAAGTGATAAGGACAAGCTCAAAAGTTCAGGTGATTCTCTTTTTGTGGATTCTCTGAGTCAGAATTTCAACGAGTAACATTGCACCACAAGTTCCACAAGTTGTCAATGGAAAATGGTTTAATAGAGATAATAAACAGAACTGCATAAACATGGGATGAAAACCACACTCTGATATCATAAAGTCTGATATGGCAATGTGAAGTTGAGATAAAAAACCAAACATTGAAACGTTTATGTTTTAATTGGAAATGTTATGTATACAAAGATTACAGAGTTGTATTTGAGCCATTGTCAAAAATTGGAAACTAGAGTTTCAAAATTCGTTTATTAAAAATAAACTTTACTTAATTATGAAAATCGTAAGAAAAACGGCAAGAACCAAAGAAAATGGTTTTAACAAATATAGAAAGTTTAGAAAAAGTTGAACAGTGTTAAAATCATTGATGACAATATTCCCAGAGATGCAGCTGATGAATACATGTTCATCTCAAATGATAATCTGATATCGTCGTTCGCGGATCCATTCAATCCAATTTTCAAATAGGTCCCAACTGCGGACACATTTTCAGTTGAGGTCTGATCACGGGAGCATCTGAAAACTCTTGTATCGAAGAAACTATAAATTGATTTTTAATTTACTGATTGTCAACAACGGGCTCCTCAGATCCTGTTCCAATTTGGAGAGTCATTTTATCATCTCTTAATCCAAAACTCATATTTTCGGCATTCACTGAATAGGTGTAGAGTTGAGAGTCATTGCGGAATTCGTAGTTGAAATTGTTTGGAATCACGGCTGGATTCCAGAGGTTTGTGGAGAAAATGTATCCCTTTCTTCCATGGTAAGGTGACTTCCAAGCAAATTCATCATTGACAGTGTTAATGTTGAAAATGATTTTTGAAAGGTGAACGCTCAATGTGAAGATTCCAGATGGGATGAGTTGTGGCATTTGTTCAGGCATGTATGTTGCTGGGCTGTAAGTACAAATTGGATATGAGCAGACCAAAGCTTCTTCCTAACCTATAAGTGATCAATTTTTCCATTTGATGGGTTGGTGTTTGTCCCTGGAACTTTGTGTAGGCACTGTCAATAATAACCAATCCATCGAAATCGAACTTCGTAATGTAGAATCGATTGCAATCAGTGCAGATAAATGTGTATCCACCAACAAGTCCAGTTAGATCTCCAAGTGTTCCACTGATTCCTGTTCCACTGGTAGTCATAATCACAGAGTACTTAAAGAAACCATCGAGTGTAGAAGCATCGTTTCCAATGACATAAGATGGCGATTTAGTGCCGTAGAAGTTCACCAGTGTAAGAGAATTGTTCGACGAGGTCATGATAGTAGATGATCCAAAGTCCTCGAGGGTACCAACCATTTTTGAAGTGCTGATATCATCTCCATCATATACAAAAATCTGGGAAAGCGCCCCATCAATCTGACCACTGGTTTTCTTCCCAACAGTAGCCACAACCTAGAAAAATTGTCTTTCTCAAATTAGAACTCTCTTTCAAATTTCATTTACCTTTTCACCTGGAGCAGTGAAAAATGTAAAGTAATTCTTATTGGAAAGTAGAGAGAGTGGAAAATAGTTTCCAGTAGATTTCTTGACTTGGGTATAATTATTCACTGAAAATTGGATTGACCGAATCAAAACAAGACATCTGAAAACTTACGAAACTTGTAATTATAAGTGGCAAAGAATTCGCTGTTCCCAGATACACTAATCACTTGAATCTGCGCTTGTCCAGCGGCTAACCAAACAGGAGCATTCAAAACTTTATCACTGTGGCGAAGTCTGAAAGTGCTATCATGAATTGATTTCTGTAGTCGATTTTATGAACTCACTCTCTGATTTTTTGTGTGTTATCTATCACGGAAATTGAATCGTTATCTGATTTGAAGTCAACGGAAAGTTGGAGTAGTAGAGCGTATCCATTTGGAATGTCAAACTAACAAACAAAATGTATTAATTCAGTTTAAAAGTTTTGAAACTACCGTAAATGTGCAATTGGTGTTTGCTGGAATGAGAGTCAGATTAGTGGCTCCCAACGGAATAGATCCTCCAAGAATGGAAGTCGTTATAGGATTTATGGGACATGCTGAAAATAATTGGGTACTGTATGGGCATCAATATAACAAATGTGATGTCATTTCAATTGATAACCAAAATGTCATTTGAAGTGCAAATATTTCCTTACTATTTGCAAATATGTATGTTTTTGAACGTACTAAAAACCACAGCATGTGTTGTCCGAATAGCAATAACCAGCAACACAAAAAGTGCAATCATCTTGAAGAAAGTCTGAAATTAAAAAAAAAATAAAAAGTTACAAAGAACTTTGAAACATTTAAATGACATATGTAGACCATCTGTCCTTAAAAAGTTTATTTGTACAGAGATGACATCAAGAAATCGCTACAAAAATCATAGTGGGGTTGATAAGAAACGAGGGAAAACTCAACTGTTCATAAAATATATTTGGAGTGTCTGAGAGGAACAAAAATTCAAAAAAAAAAAAAAAGAATCCTGGAAAAAGCAACGCAAGGGTTTATAAATCTTATCATTTTTATAGCTTTCAAACAGAGAGCATTTCCAATAAAATATTTAGTTTCAAAGACTGTCACCGTCCGCCTACCATCCATTTGTTTATTTTCCCCATGAGAATGAAATTTGAGTGAAAAAATGATTCATCAATAATGCATTAGAAAAAATATTATTTTTTGTGCGGAATGCTAGACCGACAATTCTCGAATCTCCTATGATTCATTTTATCTCTTGCTTGAAATCCATAATATTGAATACTGAAAGGAAACCAAAAATTGAGTTTCATGCGAAAACATTATTTTGATAATTCATTATAACAGTTTTCTATCAGAACAAATTTTTGTTAGTTTATTTTTCGCAGACCTTTCCACAGGGCCTGGTAATAAATATAAGCGGTTTCTCTGATGCAGAGATGTTCAAATTTTCATGTTTCAAGGTTCAGCTATGAAGAATAAAACACCGCTTGCAATAAAAAAAAGTATCGAATTCATTTATGTGTTTTGTGAAAACGCCATAACAACAGCAATACAAGTGTCAACGATCTTGTTGCTCAGAGTCTGGTGAGAAGTTGAGGGGGTTCAGCTTTTGTACGGATATTGACCAGGTTCTGGTTGGAAATTTCTCAAGAATGGCAGTATAGATGCCCATGGTCAGATTTTGGTTAAAATTTGTAAATTCAAATATTACTAGGTCGGAACCATCTCATAAGTTTGTCGGAGATTGATCGGCTTCAGTAGCGTTTTTATCCGAAATCTGACCTACCGACGCCCGAGTTGCGAACAGCTAACTAGTGAAAAATTCTAACAAGGATTGCATGCTTAGACCAATTTGTAAAGTCCTAGAAGGTTCCAGAAGTTTTATAGAACCTTAACAGATGTCGAAATACTCGCGCCATAGTTGATTTAAAGGCATACTGAAATCCCAAACAAAAACAATTTATATAATGGTTTTTTATCTTCAAAACTAGTTAATTTGATTCTGAAAACAGCAAATTTATACTACAAAAGATTCAAAACGATTAAAATAAATACAATAACCAGGCTATAACTGTTACTAATTTTGGTTGTGGTTTCGATGTGAGTAGCAGTTGTCATCGGAGCATTTGTTGGTCCCGTTCCATCAGCTCTTTTCATTTGGAAGCTAATAATCGATGAAGATGATGGTTCGTTTCCAATGTAACTCGCTGTTAGATAAGTTCCATTGGCTACTCGTGTTCCAGGATTAGTAACTGTGTGAGTGAATGTCACACTTGCTGGTTGAGATCCGGGAGTCCCAACTTTGACGTTTATGACTTCACCAGCTTGGTGAATAATGACAGATGGGAAATTGAATGTAAATGTCATGAGTTGAGTAGATTCTGGAATCATTTACCAGTTGTGCTCGCTGATTAGAAAAAGGATTAACAGCATACCGAAAGTGTAGTTGTACGCAGGAAGAGCTCCCGGAGACCACAGAGAAGCCGAGAAGATATATCCTAAACGTCCATTGTAAACAGTTAACCAGTTATCAGCAGTTGTAGAAAGTGAAATTGAGAGTTCTGGACCAAGCGTAACCATTGTGAATATACGTCCGGGAATGATTTGAGGCATGCACAGGTTAACAGGATCAGTTGATCTGGAATTATCAGTTTCAATAAATCCTTTGTCTTTCAAACTCACAAATAAGACAGTAAAACATTGTTTGTATCCGATGGTGTTAATGGACGAACATCAGCTTTGAATGAATTGCTTCCAAAATTTAAATCAGTCAAAAACGAAGTGTCACTTCTGATGCAATAAAAAGTGTAAGCATTTGAAACTCCATCCATGAAATTTTTGGGGATAGTGACGTAAGTTGTATAAACCACAAATGTATATGTATCATATGGTGTGATTGCTGAAACTCCTGTTTTCTCTTCTCAACTCACAAGCGGACTTACATTTATAGTCGTTGGCCAATGCATGAGAAAATGTATGTTGTCCATAATAGTTTATCAAAGTTGTGGCGTTTCCACTGGACCTCGACAGTTTCGTAGACGTCACATAGTCATATAGATTTCCAACAAATGGAGACTTTACATCTGGACCATCATAGACATAAATGTACCTCAAACTGACATCCACCAAATTTATATTGTCTATAGTTGCGGTGTTCAGCACCACTTGATCGTTATAAGGCGATATAAACGTGTAGATTTTGTTCAAAGGCAAGAAGCGAAGATCCATTCGAGACCCAGTTGGATATTTAGTCTGCTCATTAAGAGCTACTGAAACTTGTAGAATAATAATTTCGAACCTGATCACTAGCTGATAGCCTTACCATATTCGGAAGTATATCTGAACCAGAACTGGGAGTTTCCAGATGTCGTGCTAATTTTAACACTTGCTGTTTTGGGAGCAGCGACAAACAGAGAAGCATCATCAGTGTATCTGAAATTATATAAATTTATAATTATTAATTGTTGTTTGCAGAGTCATAGTCAGTTTGAAATTTACGATGTTTTGCACTGACAAGGGAACGTCAAAACCCCATGAAATTTTTTAAAGGATAAGAATAGTCTAGACAGCTACGAAAATTTTAGCACCCGCTCGTTAGTTTAGCTGAGTTTTATGAGCTTCGTTACCAATAACCGTTTTTTTTTGTGAAGAGTACAGATAAATCTCCTATGGCAAAAAAATGACACATAATTCGGAGGCTATAACAATTCGGGGGTACAAAGGAATACAATACGATTTAGGGGTTCAAAATAAACAATTCGAGGGTTAAAAATCCGGATTTTTCAGGTATTTTGCACCCTCGAATTCAGGATGTCGTACACCTAAACTGCTTGTACCCCAACGACCCCAAAGTTTTTCTACCCTGCACGCTCTCCCACAGAACAATTCCGAACTTCAAATTAATTTTTGATCTACAGAAAAAAAGTTTGGCGCGATCACAATTGCAGGTCTAAAACCATAATTTCAGAATTTTTTATCTGATTTTGTGGAGTTCCAAGATGTTTCAAATAATTTTTAAAAAATTGATTAGTGGTTATAGATTCATGTATGGTCGTTTTCCGGAAGAGAAAAATGTCAAAAATGGTCATTTTGAAAGTTTTTTACAGAAAAAATCTATCTCCTCTTTCAGTTTTTGACATTTCTAGGAGTCCTATAGCTCAAAAAAAAACGCAATTATTTTTTCTACATTTTCTATGAATGAATTTTTAATTTGTCTGATAAAACTTTTTTTATAATTCAAAAACCTCATGAAGTTGCACAAAATAGCATTTTTGCGTTGTTTTTCGATTATAAAAAAAGTTTTATCAGACGAATTAAAAATTCATCCATAGAAAATGTTGAAAAAATAATTGCTGGTTTTTTGAGCTATAGAACTCCTAGAAATGTCAGAAACTGAAAGAGGAGATACATTTTTTCTGTAAAAAACTTTCAAAATGACCATTTTTGACATTTTTTCTTCCGGAAAACGACCATACATGAATCTATAACCACTAATTAATTTTTTAAAAATTATTTGAAACATCTTGGAACTCCAAAATCAGATAAAAAATTCTGAAATTATGGTTTTAGACCTGCAATTGTGATCGCGCCAAACTTTTTTTTCTGTAGATCAAAAATTAATTTGCAGTTCGGAATTGTTCTGTGGGAGAGCGTGCCCTGCAAATTATTTGCCAGGAAAAATGCGAAAATAAAAATGTTTGAGAAAATGTAAAAAGTTTGAGAAAATGTCTGAAATATGAAATTTCATCCTATTCTAAAAATATGACACAACAAATTCCATGCTTTGGTAAGTCCTAGAAGTTTAGAAAATCGTCTTTGGAAAGGTTTTTTTGCACTGAAAAAAAAAATCTTTTCGGTACCGAAACTGGTATAAGTCAGCTGAAACTTGCGAGCGGAATCAAAAATTTTCAGAAGTGTCCAGATAAGCTATTCTTAACATATTATGGAATATTCATCGAAATTTTGGAGTTACAAGGTGTTGCTGTTCCCTTTTGAGACTGCAAACACGCAGGTGACATTTTTCTTAAATATCCCCCAGTATACATTTTTCGGTCACAATCTTCTTTTTTTATAACTCTATTGTCTTTGTGAAATTTCAGAACGTTTTCTTGAATAAAAAAATTCTAACAGAATCCTTTACTCACGTCGTCTGTTTTCCCAGAGCATCTGTAACAGTCAATGAATCTCCAGATCCCACTGACACATTTGCAACTATTGTCAGTCGAAAAACAAATCCATCTTCAATTTGGAACTGAAATGTTACTCAATTTCTTAACACTGCTTCTATCTGTGTTTTTTTTTCCTTGCCTTGATTTCACAGTTATAGTTGTTTGGAAACGTTACCAATGTTTTTTCATCAGATGGAAACGTTCCACTTTCTCTGAGTATTGGATTCGTCGGACATGAAAAATCCGTTCCAGTTGCTAAATTTACAGAAACTAGGAGCAGGAGAAAAAAAGGGGTTGCCATTGAAAAAAAAATAAACTCAAACTGATAACTAAGTCAGCGACTGTGGAGCGATGTCTGTGTTATCAGATGACGTGAATTTCTTTATGTAGGTACACATCGAATGAATCATTTTATTGTATATCGAGGTACAAGAAAAAGTAGTGTCTAGTTAGGGATGACTGTCAAATCGCTGTTCAAGAATGCTCCATGGTGGGCGTCGCCAAGAGTGAGGATGTTGTCAGCAAGCACTTTGGTGGCGTCGGAAACCTGCAAATGATGATATTATGTGAGGAACTAGGAATAGTCATTGTGGGTTTTGAAATGTTAAAGGCGCAGGTTCCACACCCAATTTGTGCCGATTATTTGTTGGATTTGTGTTAAAACGGGATGTAATTATCATCAAAAGATGTTTAGTCGTTTTAAATCTCGATAAAACTGAAAAAAATGTGAGAATACTTCACAACTTGCAATCTATAGAGCCTATGTCATCAAAGATTGAAATGTTACCTCATAAAGTGCATTCTGTCCTCCCATATCAGTCTTCACCCATCCTGGACAGAAAGAAGTAATCAAGATGTGATATTTGGCCAAATCGATAGACGCCGATTTCATGAAAGAATTGAGTGCAGATTTGCTCATACGATAAGCAACGAGTGGTCCATTGAAAGTTCCATCAATTTTCTCAACAGATGCAGCTGTCGAAGAGATGTTGATGATGGCAGATCGGTTGATCGAAAAACCGTCTCCACCGTTCTTTTCAGCAGCTTTTTTGAGAAGTGGAAGGAATTCCTGCGTGAGGATTCCGGTGGAAACAGCGTTGGTTTCAATGTTTTTGAGCATCGTTCTACGGTTCTTCTCTCCTTCAACGTCGTATGGGAGAAGGATTCCAGCGTTGTTCAGGAGAACAGTGAGACCATCGTCTCCGACAATTTTCTCCACCTGAAAGCAGGATTTTTTTGTCATTCACTTTAAATTACTTCGTTTATTTTTAATATACGAAAGTCTAGAATCTAGTCAGCTTTCCATATGTTAAGTTGTATTTCTACCGACAAAGTTTGGTTGCAATGATTTAAAATATGTTTCGATTTTCTCAATCAAGGGTCCTGGTTTACTTTGAAAGTGCTCTATGATCTTTCAAACCATGTCAAGCCATCGCAAGAATCATCACCACATAATCGACTTACCTCAGTGTACAACTTGCTAATCGACTCATCACAGTCAATGTCCAATGGCAAAACGTGGAGACGAGAGTCTTTGAGACTTGTCAGCTCCTGAAATAACATAATAATATATTTTTGGTTTTCAAAAAATTCACGAACAGCAGCGTTAGATGGATCCCTGCATGTGGCAATGATAACTTGAATGCCTTGAACATTCAAGAAATGCTTCAGAAGACCCAAACCAATTCCACGATTGGCACCAGTGATGAGGATGCTTTTTGGAGTCATTTTCTAGAAGATGAAATGTTTTATTTCACAAAAAATCTTCTTTATATCTACAGTGTGAGAAAGAAAAATCGAAAAGTGAGGGGTGGAAAAAATATTGAATTGCGCCGGAGGCGCAGCAGTCAGCAGGCTGGTACACTATAAGAAACGTTTTATACAAGTGAATTGGGAACAAAAAATGACAGGTAACACTTTGAAGGAACAACAACAATGTATCCAGTGCCTATCTTCTTCCTCGCACGTCTCTCTTTTTCTTTATTGCCTCTCTTTTTTCCATACTCTCTCGTAACACCTAGATTGGGGAATTCCTCCTCTCATAGTGATCGGTTACTTGGAATTTGCAAGGCTACAAGGAAAAAACCAGGATGAAATGAAGATACAAATAGAATTGAAACGAAAAAGAAATTCAACTCCAATTTCCGATTTAATAATTTGATTATTATGAAGAAGGGTATTATGTCCTTGGTTTTTGTCATTGTTTGCTCGCTGTCCAAAAATATTTGTCTTTTCTTCGTTCTGCGTCTCCAACTCTTCAATGCACAATGATGATTTGGAGGAGGGTCTGAAGAGAAACAGAGATTCGGACAGCACAGAGGTCACAAAATATTTTGTGGTCTAGATACATGGAACATCAAAAACCTAGTCAGATTATAAGGAGAAAATGGCATATCTTTTACTTGTTTTCTCCCAAAGTTCAGCCGTTCCGCCAGACTGACTGGAACGACCGAGCCCGCCCGTCCGAGGCGTCGCTGAAGTAACAGGCAGGAAGTCGACTATGGGCATCCAGGACTTTGATAATTGTATTCATTTGTCTTATGAGTAAAAAATAACATTTGCAAATTATTAGGAAACAATCAGAATTAACACGCAGTGAATATTGAACAATGACTGAAGTACGAAGAAAGATCATGACTATAATTTTCAGCACAAAACTTAACACATGACTGAAGTACGGGGGAAAGATAATGAATACAATTTTCAGCACCACTTTTACCACGGTGAACCTGTTAGAAGAAATATAATTTTGTTTCTACATTGTCTAACAATGGTTCGAGTATTTCTCAAGATTTTGAAAAAAAATTCAAAAAGTGGATCTTTTTGAATTTCAGAGTGGGTTCTATCAGAAAAAACATATTTGAAAACCCTGAACCTAATTTTGTAAGCTAAAACCTAATCATTCGCCTGTCCTATCATGTCTGGTGGCTCTAATTTATGTTTCCTTTAACTTTTGACATTTTCTTCTTTCCCTTTCATTTCGTTTTTCCGAATATTTAAAATAGGTTTTCTCAACTTTCTCACACCCACCGTTTCCTTTCGAAAATAATACATTCATAGACACTCGCTCGCTACTTCTGCAAATATCTGAAAACAATCGATTCTTCTTCCGGTTCTCAATTTGTGCATATTTATATATTCTTTCTCATTTCCTAGTACCACACCAGCACGTCAGCATATTACCTAAATTTGGTTCACTATCGTTGATCACCAGAAGAAAAATAAACAGGTGTTGCTCTCGTTTTTTTCCGAGACATCACCTGTCCATTTATTATGTTATTCTTTTCTTATAAGTCTTGACTTTTTTCTCCACTGAAATTGTAGTTTTTATCAACTCAGTGTAATATAAAGACCATATGATCTCTGAAAAAATTCTTCCGCTCTAATACATATTTTGGCTTGAAATCATGCTTGAATGGATAATATTATTAGTATGAAGAGTGCTCTTATGATAAGGTTGCGGGGTAAGAAGATGTTTTTTGAACATGAAATGTACTAGCCTACTATTCTCAAGTAAGTATTTCATTCTTTATTTTTCCCTAACTTTATTGTACCAGTCTTGACAATATCAGATGAAATAGACTGAAAAATGTTACATCAAGATTCCAATTCTAGCTATTTTCGGTTCTAGTGGCATATGAGTAATAGAAGAATCAAAAACATCAAATCGAAATCATAATCGATCATTTTTTGGTTTATATTCTACCTGCAGGTGCTTTTAGAATTTTTGAGCCGGAGTCACGTTTTCAGAGTTTGACTTTTGATTAGATAGAGCTGCGGATTTCCAGTGAAATCAATTGCTTCTACGACTTCAATGTAATTCAGACCTAGTCGAAGCAAGATAATAAGCATCACGCTGTGTTCTTTCTATGAAATCATCGTTATATTCATTGCTCAAAACCTCACACGTCTGCCTAACAATACAACGAATGACTGAAAACTTCTTGTGTGGACAGAATATAGAATTTTTTGTCATAGAACACATTTTTTGAAATGAAAATTTCGTCTGTCCAATTTGCAATTGTCACTTAATCGTTATAAAAATCGCATTATCTTATAATTGTCAGACGATGAACGTTCAGAACTTTTGATCATGATTCGCTTATTTTAAGTTACGAACAAATTATATATTTTTGATTCGAGGGTTGGAATGTCTTTTTCCAAAAGTGAGCAATGCTGAATTTTATTTTGAACAACTGTTTCGAAATCTGAAAAAATTTCGAATTACTCGAACTCCGAGAATCTACAATCTTAATTTTTTTTCGGCTGGAAGAAAATTCAAAATTTCAAATTCAATATAAACAAGTTAAATTTGCCAATCGCCTTACTGTTTCTGGCAACGATACAGAACAGATTTAAGAATATTCAGAATAGGGCCCACCTATTATTTTTCTGGCCTTTCCACAGTAGTCAGGCAACATATCTTGCTGAAATCTCACGATTCTGTTTTTCCAACTTTCTCATATTTTCCCTCTGCCCGCGATAACCATCGTGAATTTTTCTGCCATATTTCTCAATTTATTTTTCAGCCAGCAGTAAATTCTCTCCATCATTCGTCGTTCACAGTTCTTCAACAAAAAAAAAAACTTTTTTCGATTTTATCTAGAGATCAAAACTGCCATAAATTTTAGCTATAAAAACAGCTTTCAAGTTTTCAAATTTTAAAATTTTTCAAAGTTACTAGTTTTTCTTCTCTGAAATCTTATTATATCCTTTTTGCTCCCAACTGAAACGTGTTTTTGGGGCTTTAATATCTCAACACAATCATCACATTTTCAGCAGCAACCTTCAGTTTCTTCTCTTTTTCTGTTTTTGGCTTCCCATCTGTAAGCGTCGTTTTAGATTTGGTTGGTTTCACTCTCGCTTTCCCCAATATTATTTTTTTTTGTTTCTTCCCGTTATAACTAGTTTCTTCGGATCACAGATTGAAAAAAAAACAAGACACAACGATGCTAATTATGTTCAAAATACACCAGATGAGACAAGAGGCGGATGGAGAATCTGGCGAGAGAAAGAGCCAATATTCGATTAGCGGCGAGCCCGAGAGTAGCGAAAACAAACGGCTGGTGCCATGGGAAAACGGAAAGAGGTTACCCTGACAACGTCGATTTTTCTCGCCTTCCTTCTCTTCGTTTTTTTCTTTTTTACCTTCCTCATTTCCGCCCCGACACCTAACCAAGCTCACAATCAAATACATGAGTTCTATTCTTGTCGTTTGAGTATCTAGATATTTTCTTGTCCAGTTACGAAATCCTCTTCTTCCCATTGTCAAGTCTTACCTCATTGAATTGTCATTTTGTCACTGATCTGATGATTTTGTCAAAATGTGATTATGATGAGGATTGAGGACAGAGTTGAATACAAAATCGGGCGAAAAGAGGTGAAGAATGGAATAAAAGAAGACGTCATCCAGGAGGATTAGACATATAAATTCCTATCCACCATTCTATTCATCATTCCTATTACTCTCTTTATAAGTCACCTAAAACATAGTATATACTTTTAATAGATAATATTGTAATCTCTCTCTGTCTCTGTTTTCAAAATTGGATCGTCTAAATTTATTCGAACTCCATCTGTATTTGTCGCCATCTTTGGGACTACACAGGTGTTACCTTGTTTTCTGTCGCTCAATCTCCGAAAGTCTACAGCTCTACTTTTGGAGAGTGTAGCATGAAACAAACATTTAAATAATTAGTTTTAACCACATCTGTATTTTCCCGTTACTTCTGAAAAGATAATTCAAATTCAGTGGTCTCGAAAATGTTTTTATTTTGGAATGACAAGGTCCAAGGAGGATTGTAGTTTAGGTGTTTTGGAGGCGGTTCGAAAAATTGTATAGTTTTTCTAGAAGATTATTCCCTTTGTCCTTCTATATAAATTTATAACTTCTTCTAATTTCGAAGAACTTTTCGATGAAGTTCCAGAAAAGATAAGCGAGTTTGAAGACCGCAGTAGTTTTAAAGATATGTAACTGGAAAAAAACAATTTTGGTTTGATTCTCACAAAAATAAGTTTGACAAGTTGGAACCCAGTGCTCATCGGCTTATATGATCCTAATGTTTATTTTGTTGATTTTTATCACATCATTATATAAAGCCAATACTTTGACTTTCTGACCAGCCTCAAACTTTTCCGTGTGCACATTTCTCAAGAATCATGATTTGTGCTGTTTCTCATTTCTCAGAGTCTAGATTTTGACTCATGAGAAGTCTGTTTTATCCAATTACTTCCCTGCATAATTTTTTTTCATATTCAAGAGCTTCTAATTTTTTAGCCCATCCAAATACAGAAATTCTTATCCTGTTTTGAACATCCTTTCTCCCTCCATCTTAAAAACACACCACTTGTATTTCTTTTCTTCTGCTTTCAAACTTTCACTTGCTCTGACTTTTTTCTCTCCTGATTCTGAAAACATGACAAATGGGAACGTGGAAAATCACAATCCGACGTCATTCATTTAAAATTTCCAAGAACATTTTTCTGATCTCCGCATCCTTCTGATTTTTCTGAATAATGAATCGTTAAAAATTTTCAGACACCACCAATTCGATCTCTTAGATTCGGGAACGTGTGTTTTGGGTAATGATCTGATGGACATGTCCCATGTTCTCGTCATCGCTCCTCTTGTCGTGTTTGCTTTATTTTTCTTGACAGTTCTTGTGCTTCGTTCGTTTTTCCTAATGAGGTGAGTCAGCTATGGGTCCAAACATTTAGATTACTGGGTTGACTAGAAAACCATGAGTCAAAGTAACAAAAATACTTTCCCACGCCAGGCTTGTGATGAAAATCTACGAATCTGAATAATCCGTATCATTCTGTAACTGGTAACAAGCACTGAACGACTAAGCATTCAAAAAAACTTGACTAGCCTAATAATGGAAAGGAAGTTTGTCACTACATGATGAAAACACAAAAGTCGAACATGTTTTCTGAGTATTGAGGTTGATAATTTTTGATTACTGAACCAATTATCCGTAAATTATACTGCAATATTTAGCAGGGAAGAGCAACGAAGGGATCGAATACGAAGAGGCGGCCCAGTGTCAAGTATGTCAAGTAATGACACTGGAATCGAAATATCTTGTACCAACAATCTCAACTCAAACAATAGGAATAACGTTCGCTCGAATAATAATAGTAATAACAATCCGAACCCACCGAGTTATTATGCCGAGGTTATGGCCACCAATTCATCGGCTCTTTATCCTGTCTATGTTCCACCTTATGCGGCACCGCTGATGTCGTTGAGGGATCCAAGGCAATTTCAGGTGAGGATTTTGCTAATGGAGGTTTGAAAACAAAATTGCAAATTTACAGGGACTTCCTGGACTGGCAGCACCGCCGCCATACCCACCACCTCCAAGTTATCATCAGATTAGCAGTTTTCCAGAACTACCAAGTGGTGAGTTTGGAGATGTTCCAAGCAGAGTTGGTTCTGAAGATTTACATAAAGAGTCATACTTCTTTTTTCAAAATCAAAAAATTATAATATTTGTTCTCATTCGTAACTCTTGTTTTTTTTTCAGCTCCGCATGCCGTTATTAATGTTGCTCAACAGCCAAGAATCACAAAAACGCGTTTGGAAGTTACTCCAGTAGAATAAATGATCATTCTCTTCTCAAATCCTCAAGAACTTTTTCTATGTACATTTCTGTATCATTTTGCTACGATTTGCATTCTCTATAGCTGCTCAGGCCTTCAATGTTCCTTTTTAGCATTTTTCACCGTTTTCCAAAAATCAACGGGTGTTTAAATCTCTTTTTCATGATTTTTCCTTCAAATAACTTTATTAAATGATATCATGATAAAATCATTTTCATGGCTGAAAATCACACACAAAAAATGAGAGAATTTCTATTCCGCCTTGACAACATAATCAATTTTGAGTGTGTGAAACCAGGCATGTTGGTTGCCGAACCAGAGACGATAGGTTGCTGAAAACAAAGAGAATATGAGTCAAAAATCCCAAAAGATCAGAATTACCAGTGGAGGGGCACTCGATTTTGTCAATGCACGGAACCATGGTGGGACCAGGGATTTTCTAAAAAAAAATAGAGACTCATAAATAGAGACTTGTAAAGACTCACGCTGAATAATGGGTATACTCTGGTAAGATTATCTGTTTCTGGAGAATTCAGAGGAACCAATGGAAGCTCATAAATGGCGAATGCAAAGTGACCGTTGGCATGGATTTCCCAGGAAAGAGTTTGACCCTGAAAATGATGTTGATTGCCAATTGATGACATTATTACTAGATGGTTCAGTATTTTCATAAGTTACAATTTAGAATAGTTTTTTAAGGGATTAGAATCAAGAGTTTTAATAAATATCTTGAATTAAAAAAAATTGAAACTTACAGTTTTGACTTCAATGTCCACATGCCCTGTCTTTCCTGCTGACACTGCTAAATGATCGGCGTTAGCTGGCACCTTTCCCTTATAATAATTCTCTTCGGGGAACGGCACGCATTTTTCCACTGGTGCAGTGAATGGACCATCATCCTCCTCATCATTCCAATATGATGGAAGACATCTTCCCTCCGCCATTTTCAACACCTCAGCTCTCCACTCACCACCCAAAATGTTGCATTTATTGCGAGTTCTCTCTGGGAGCAATGGTTTTGCAATAGTCCAAATAGCAGAAATAAATGCTGGAACATTGACTAGAACGAAGCTATGAATCAATTCCACATAGTGCTCGGCCATAAAGGCGGAAATTGCAGATAGTCCTCCGGTGAGAAGAGTTATAGTCTTCTTGTCGAACTTTATTCCAGTCAAATCCATTATGTAGATCACTGAGCATTGCTGATTTGTTTTTCTCTCCAAATCCATCACTGCTTTCAGCATACTTTCCAAATCATGGACTCTAGCTCTCAAAACTTCATTAGTTGGATATGATTGGAGCATCCCCCAATAGTCATTGGATCCCGTTTGCTCAATATTCACAATTGTGTTTGGAATGATTCCTGACTCTCCAGTAAGACCAGTCTGAATTACATTAGTGTTTATCATCCATTTTCTTGACAAACTAAATAGAAAAAACCGGTTACCTTCCAATGATGATGTACTGGGTGATCGCGTGGTTTCTCAGCCAAACCATCTAAATCCCAGTCAGATTTTCGGAACAAAAGATGGTTGATAAGTTTCGGCTTAATGATATCCAGTTTGTAGTCGTGCCCTTTGAGCCAACGGAGCAAATTGAAATCCGTGTCATAGTAGGGAGTAAGCTGGAAAAGTTGAAATGGATAAGTTGAAATTTTTAAAGTATTGACTCCAAAAACTCACATGATCTTTGACAGCTTCTCTTAACTCATTAATCGCTACCCGATCACTTTCCGTAATCGACATGTTGTTAATCCGGATGAAAAATGTTGGAGGAAATCAATTCAGAATACGTCTGTTTGTGAAAAGAAAGTCTCCACTTCTTGTTGGAAATTTTCCACAGTCCGAGAGAAATAAGTGTTGACCGGTGGACGACGCAGACGTCGAAAGAAGGATGCGCAGCGATTTAGGTCAGTTCGGAACAGAAGAAGCGGTGAAAGAGATGTTTGAGTGGATATTGGCATGGTTAGGGATATATGAATGAATAGATATTAGAGGTTGAGAATGGTGTGTATTTTGAGAGATGAGAAGATACCGTAAGCACTAATCGAGCCCACCCTATGCGTGTATTTTGAGTTCAATTATCTCGTTTCCTATGAGAGATATCAATAATGTGTCAACTGATAAAATAATGGTGATGTTATGATGAATAATTTATCAGTTAACATTTTTTTATATTTCTCAAAGCGACCGAGATCATTAAGCTCAAAGTGAACGTATAGGTCGAGCTTCCATTAGAGCATTTCCAATATTTTTTTTTCAGAAATCGAACAAAATTTTGAGTGGGTGATTAAGTTCTAAAGGAGATTTTAGCCTACAAAATATGCAATTTTGATTATCAGACACAATTTTTTTTCTTATCTCATAGAAACGAGGAGACACCCCTACCATCGCTTATAAAAGGAATGACTAACCAACTTCAACTGACACCATGCACCTATTTTTCACTGTTTTGTTTGCTGTTTTCTTTGCTTTTCCAAGTGAAGCTGTTGACCTGACATGTCCAAGCTCACCCGTAACCGGTGATGGAAAATTTCCATCAGGAGGTTTGGCTAAATTTCCAGCTGGCTATTCTTGTTCGGTTGACGTGAGTTTTCAAAACGGGTGTAGGAATTAGATTTCGAAATATCATGCTTTAAAAATAATTTCCAGTTTCAAATCCCGAAAGGAAGAGTAGTGAAGTTCGTTACTCAAGCTGATGCAAATGCCGACGGAGACCAACTTTCAATTCGAGATGCAGTGTCCACCGTTTACGGGTATGTCCTGATTTAACGGTCAATTGATGGCAGAAAATTGTCAATTTTGTGATTGATAGAACATGAATTAACTATCCTTACTTTGGGATACTCCAAAATTGTCATTCATGTAAAATATTAATTTTCAGAATGGGAGCACCTCAATCCCTTATGTACGCTGCTGCTGACAAGGCCAACCTACTGATTAGTACCAAAACAAATAATGCTAGTTTCTTTGTTACATGGCAGTACATCGATGTAACTGGTTATACTAAAATTCAGAAGCCAACTGGCACTATACTACCCTTGAATTTCACCAAAGAAAGCTTTTATGAATTCACATCTAGCAAAAATCGAGTGGCTTTTCATACTGCAACTCTTGACAGAATATTCGATATGTCTCTATCTAGAGTTTATGTCTATGATGGAGAAGATTTGAGCTCGAACTTTTTGGGAACACTTCTTCATTTTGTGAACACCAAAAATATGTCAGCATCGACTGGAAAATCTTTGACTCTTGTCAATTTTTATGGAATTCCGACACTATCTCATGCAATCGCCAATGATTATTCCGCGGTTTCTCACTATGATAGATACTCATTTTTTGTTTTGTCTTCATCTTCTGCCGAGTTTTTGGGAGGCGTGGTAGTCCCAAATATGCTGGAGTCTGCTATTACTATGTATTGCATTGATTGCCAAGAACTGTATATAACCGATTTGATCCTTAGTGATCAAAGAAACGGAGTACAAACTGTTCACTTTAAGCCACTATCTCCAACGCATGTGGATAATAATTTATTGGTTTACAAGTTAGTTTTTCCTCTTGTGAAGTCAATAAAGTTCATTTTTTAGATTAGGAGATCCACTATCTCAAAGCTTCCCCCAACAAATTCTCACAAACACTTTTACAATGATCATGTACCAATGTGATCTTCACTATTCCATTGCAACTGGTCCACTTTATACTTGGTCATTGGGATATTCAGGAAGAAATGGATACATTATCTCCCCTTCTGCATGGAATCCAACTACAGCACTGACAGCCCCATTTTCTACGAATATTTGTGAGAAAGACTGTTTATAAAAGCAAAAAAACTTCCCATATAATTTCAGCTACAACTGACACAGTGAAGTTTGTGTTCAATTTACAATCAGTGGTTGTTGATAAGCCAGGTGACAAGATAAGAATAGAAGTTGGATCTTCTGGTGTGAAACCAGTATTTGTGGAATTCAATACAACCGCTATGAATACGGGAACAAAAGCAGCATACGGTACTTATATGACTACTTCATTCACCGGAACAACTGTTGGAGCATCGTTCATTATGAACTTCAATGTGGAGGTGAGGAAAAAAATAGAAAGATTTCTTAATTTTAACTTGTTCAGGACATTGCATCTACAACAGTTATTGTGGAGACAACCACAAAATCTTCTAATACTTGGTACACTTTATCTGTATTCATTCTTGTGGCTGTTTTTGAATTTGTATAATGTCTTTCTGATATCAGCTGATGTCATATTTTGAATAAATTTTTCGTGATGATTTTGAAAGATCTCCCAGGAGGATCATGATATAAAAAATAGATTAATACCATTTCAGAGGTCAGAGAGATCAAGATGGCTCGATTATTTCCTTCGATCCACTTTTTGGGCTTTCACCCTCTAGATGGTGGGCTATTATTCAGATCGGCTTTGCTCTTTATCAGCTTATTTTGGATGAAGTAACCTGAACCATTACAACAAAAAAACAGTAATTGGGAATGCTCATTTATTCAAAAGAAATCACAATTAATTAGAAGAACGAATCTTATTTCTTCATATCGAACTTCTCGAACATCTCGTCGACGGTGTAGCAATGTCCTTCGTAGCAGGCTGACTCGTAGTCGCACTGTTTGCTCGAAGTGCAGCGTTTTCCAGCCTCGACGATCGGAGTAGCGAGAGCAAGAAGAACGAGGAGAAGAAGACCAAGAATATTCATAGTTGGTTGAGAGATGATGGAAAGTAGAAGTTTCCGATGATTTTTGTGGAATTTCGAACTTCTTATACGGGAAAAAAGGGGAGAGAAGGCTGAATCCCATAAAAATTTACATAAAAAATGTTAGAATTTTTATGAGTTTCCGTTCTATATCTTTTGGACGATCGAAAATCAAAGATACCAAATAATCAAAAACAGAAAATGGGATCAATGGATCCGCTGATTTGGGTTTGACATGATGGATTTCAGAGATATGAAAAATAAGTCCCGAAGAATGTAAACAATGTCAGAATACGTGTCATATCAAAAGTAATGAATCACTCCGATTGAAAATAGTTCATAAATTCAAAAATAGTCTTATCAACACCCAAATATGATAGTCTTCGTTTATCTCTAAAAATGAATTGTCATCAAATTCGTTCGTTTGTTATAAGCTAGAATTTGAAATGACGAACTCAACGAATTTCCGCTCATGATAAAAGATACTTCGAGGCACTCGTGAGTATATTAACACACGTGAGTAGAAGTGGTGTTGTAGTAAAATTTGGTACAATTTTTAATAACAGCGTTTTTGTTCCAAACAAAAAGGAAAAACTGTTTTACGCCGAATTGGAATCTCAAAAGAAGTGCACTAGATGTGACCAATCAGAAGTAGCTGTGACGCTTATGATTGATCTCGAGCATCTGAAATCTCAGAAAACACTGTTCATTGGAGCGAGATCATCTTATAAAAGTATCAGAAGTGTTTGAAATGATATTGAAGTGTCCATACTGAAGCTGTAATACGTATGTGGCTGTCAAAATTCAAGAACCATCGATGATTGCAGGACATATCGTCCTAGTTTAAAACTACTTTTCAGAATGTTCCAACTGCTCAACTATTTCAAGATATATTTCGGGACGGTTGATGGATTTCCAATAAAAACATTGTCAACAATTTTGCCTTGCCACGATGAAAAATACATTTCTTGACTTCAAGCCGTCAACAAACAATGTTGAAATTTCGTAATAGCAACAGTGATTGATATTATAACAAGTGTTTAATATTACTTACACACGGACTGTTTGCAACCTGCCTACACAATTTCGCTCATCTGGTCCATTAGCATGAACCCCAGTGAATTTAATATATCAATTGCAGTATTTTGGTGTGTAGTTGACTGGATTAATACATGGATTGTCCGAAATCCCTGATAATAATTATTGTTTGATTGCTTTTCGTGTTTTTGAATCAGTTTTCAGTTTCGTAGAGGGCTGTTTGCAATAACAAATGCATAATAGTATCTTCATCGTTCTTTCCGAAAAGTAATTCTGTCCACGCCCCTAAAATCAATCACATTTTCTTCTTATCTTCTAAAAAATATGTTTAGATTGTCGTCATATTTAAGTCAACCCTAAACACCGATAACTCGGAGTCAACACTCAGTCAACCTCAATCGACATCAGCATCATGCATTTGTCGGTGATTCCTCTAATCAATACTATTTTGTCCAGTTTTGTAAATGAACCAGCGGATCTGACATGTCCGAAGGTTCCAATTTCCGTTGATACGCTCACTGGATCATTTCCATCCGGTGGGCTCGCTCAGTTTCCAGCAAACTACGATTGTGGAATTGATGTAAGCAAAATCTTCATATTTTTTAATTCACCTTACTAAATGTAAGTCTTTTTCTCTTGTTTCAGTTCAAAATTCCAACAGGAAAAGTTTTGAAATTCAAAGTTAGAACTGAAGCCGACGAACCATGTGATAAAGTTGTCATCCGCGATTCAATTGGAGCTCTTAATGAGTATGTTCTCAGAATTCTAAAACAATGATCTCATTTTTCTTTTTAAAGATTCACATCACCGAGCTCCGTCTTCTACGCAGCGGCAGAAAAAGCAACAGTTTGGGTCAAAACTGAATCTAGCTCCTCTAGTTTCCACTTCACCTGGGAATACATTGATGTCTCTGGATTCACGGAAATTGAAAAATCATTTGAAACTTTTATCCCGTTGAATCTCACTGCAAATCATTACTATCGTTTCAAGTCTCAAACATATACCGTTTACCCCCAACCAATTACCTTTTTGGCAGCATCTCTTTCAGGTGGTGTGGATTCTTCACTGAAGAATATTTTTGTTTATGATGGAGAGAATTTGGATTCCAAGTTTGTCGGAAATCTCGAGCAGTTCTTGAAAAACAAAACTCCAAAGATCACAGGACGGTATCTGACTCTGGTCAATTTCTATCGTCTTCCATCTGATTCGTACCTATTCGTTACTGATTATTCTCAATATCGAAACTATGATTTTGTCATTCTGTCGAAGGACAAACCGTATCGCATTAAGAAGACATCAACTATTAAGGAACACGGAGTGTCACCTGTCACAGTTTTCTATTGCATTGATTCCAACGAGACATATCTTACCGATTTGAAATTCATGAATATGACCCGGGAAAATTTCCGTGACTACGACCAATCAGTTTCTTTCAGACTGTTTTCTGACGAGAATCCGTATTACAATAAACTTTATTACAGGTCAGTTTGAAAAGATAACGTAGATATCACAATGAATTCTTCGTTAAAATTTAGAAATTACATTACAAGGAGTTACTATTCGCAGCGGTTCGATCCCAAAAGCCTCCCACAACAAATATCTTCCAACGCTTTCACAATGGAATTAAATCAAGGTGAAATTGAGTTTGAACTGAAATCCGGACCGATGGAGGATTATACAAAAGTTATGCCTGGAAGAAAAGGGAAAATTTGTTCGCCTTCGATCTGGCACCAGAATGGAGCTGCTTCATATTTTGCCAATTTCAGTGAGCAGAAATAATTTTTAAATTTGTCAAAATATGGTTTCAGCTGCAACCGAGACAGTGAAATTTGTATTCACCGTAGAAAATATGAAAACCATAAAGCCAGGAGAGGCGTTGCTCGTCGAAGTTGGACAGCCTCACAGTTATTCCGATCCAAAGTTTTTCAAATTGACATCTCAAAGCTACAGAAAAGAAGCGATCGGAACATATATGGCTGTGACATTCACTGGAACATCTGAAAAATCTTCCTTCACATTGAACTACAATGTTGAGGTGAGAGAAAATTGAGGATAGCTTTTTAACTTTATATTTCAGTCCACACACAGTTCAACGAGCCCCCACAATCGGGAATGGGGCTATTCAACGAGCCCCCACAATCGGGAATGGGGTATGAATTCAAGCGTCTCAGCCGGATTCTCAGTCCTCGTTTTGATTGTCGCTTTGATCTTTTGAATCAAGTTCCTGTTTATAAAAGCTGATGCCGATTATTATTTTCATGTATGCAAATTGAACTTGAGCAAATAAAAAAATTGTATTTTAAACGACGAAAATTTTTTTAAATTATACTTTTATATAGTAGAAAATCATGAACATAATGATTTATGTTTCATCATCTTTGTATTTTGCATGTGCATTTTCCAAATATCATTATCTAGAGAAAATAATGAACAAACACTTATGTGCATGTTTTCGAATATCAGGTGACCTCTTTCTATTGGGTCGACCGGCAGGCACCGGCTGACGCGGGTCCAAAATGGCACCGTCCGCTACCGGTGCGATCGGTCTGAGTCAACCGCGGTTTCACGGACGTTCGCGCCGGCAGAACGAAACCGATGTGTACTGGCGGAATTTTTTTATTTTTTTTTGAAAAATTAGACTAACGTGATGAGGCTTAACTTTCTCAACATTATTTTTCTAGGCTGTCGTAGTTGATGGTCCAGGAATTGTCTAACATGCGTCTGTTTTTTCTAGCCTACGATGTGGCCTAACTTTGACCAGTTGAATTTTCATGGTAAATGAAATAGAAAACTCCCTAGGTGTTCAGACCATTTCTAGGCCAAAAAAGTTGGTGGCCTAAGAAATCTTTCAAATCCTCCAACCCCTCATTCTTCCTTCACTTATTCAGAACCTACGTACTCCCCTCTCTTGAGTACTGTTCAGTAATCTATTCTCCTCCCCCCAATTCCAAACTCTCTCAAAAACTCGAATCCCCACTCCGTTTCTTCACCCGTAAAGTCTTCCAGAAATGCAATATCTCATACTCTTCTTATCAAGATCGTCTTTCCCAACTTGACCTCTTCTCTATCAGACATCGTAGACTTAAATCTAAACTTATGCTGCTTTACAAAATGATTAGTGACGCCTCTTATATGCCAGAATTATCCTCTTTCTTAAGAATTTCCGACTGTCCTAGGAGACCTATGACCCTTATTCTCTCAGATAAATGTTCCGATGACTTCTTTTTCACCACCGCCCCTATTTGGAATGCAATTGTAAGGAATACTCCCCAATTTTTAACTCCCGGTCAATTTTCTACCTTAATCCAATCTTCCATCACCCGGTTTTAGCTTACCTTTTCCCCCTTTTTTTAATATCTTGCCAACCTTACATGTATACCATTTTCTTCCCCATTCTCTAAGTTCATCTCGTTAGGGATTTTATCTAGAAATTCCGTTATAACTTTTGTGCCATATTTTCTTCTGACCAATAAATTATCAATTATCAAGAAACTCAACTTGTAAGAGTTAGGTCACCAGGTTGAAATGCCATATGAATCAGTCTTTAGCAAAAAGTAAAAGGCTGCAGACACTATTATTCTAAATCTACATCACCAACGTCTCTTCAGTTTGGTGTTGTTTATGAGGAATTTTCATACAGAGATAGAAAATTAATTGTTACTTTCAGAGCAATGAAAAGCATGTTGGAAGACAGTGGGTTGAAACATATTTCAAAACTTTGGTTTCCAATTTCGAAAACTATTTGTTGGCTGTTATCGAACCCCAATTCTTATGATGATTTTTCAGGTCTGTTTTTTTCAAATTTTTCTAAAGTACCCTGACCATCCCATTCTCTACAAGTTTCGAAACAGTCCGAATACATCCGGGTTTACTCATCATCGGTTTTTGTAGTTTCTCAAAATGAATAGTAACATTTTGGCCTAAACTCTAGTGATTATATCACAAACGGAATGCAAACAACTCTACATTTTTTATCACTTGAATTGTACCTTTCTCTCGTCTATTTAAGCAAGTGAGTAATTCTTTTTGAAACTGATGCCATGCGGTCCTTTATCAACAATCTTGGTCTTTTATTTCTATTCTTTTCTTTTTCTCATTGTGCGGATGTGTCATGTCCGGAATCTATCACAATTAATACACCAACTGGATCTTTTCCAACCGATGGGCCAGCGTTTTTCCCCGCAAACTATAGGTGTACAATTGAAGTTAGTGAACCATTATGTTGATTTTTTTCTTATTGATCTTTTTCAGTTTAAAATTCCCACTGGAAAATATGTCGAAATCGGAACTAGGAATAACCTTAAGTATGGTGGGTTAACGAATGATACATTGATTATTCAAGATGCTGCGTCAACTCAATATAGGTGAGTTCAACATTACTTAAAAGCTCTGAAATTCAAATTTTCAGATATTATGTTCTCGACAAAGTTTTCTACGCTCCTGCAGACGTCGCTAAGTTGTTCATAACAACGTATTCAATCACCTCAAACTTCTACATCACTTGGAAATATCTTGATGTTACTGGATTCAAGAAAAATCAGTATCCAACAGGCACAATCCTATCGATGAATCTTACAGCCAACAACTACTATCAATTCACTTCTCCAAAAAGCCAAGTGGCATTCCATACTGGTTCCATAGGAGGAGACAATGATTTATCAATCTATAGAATTTATGTATATGATGGAGATGATTTGAATGCAAAGTTCCTCGGGAATCTCTACCAGTTCACTTTGACAGATATGGTTTCCTCTGGAAAATCTTTGACACTTGTCAATTATTTCAATACCACTCTGCATTCTTACGGTATTGCAAACGACTACTCTGCAATTTCCAACTATGATGGATATGGTTTTGTCGTTTTGTCCAGTTATATAGATTACTTTATGCATGGGAAATCAGTAGCTGGAAAAGAAACTGTAGTAACGGTCTTCTGCACAGATTGCCGATTCGCCTATTTGAATTATATCAGTTTCTTAAACTCGAGTGATGCCGGACAAGAAGTTCGAGTCAGACCAATGACTCCAACAGATGGTTATTATGCTAATCTGTTGACCTATAAGTGGGTCACCTTGTCTTATTCTCATAAATATGAAACCTTTCAGTGTTCAACGCCCAACCAACACCAGCCTACCACAACAAATTGCTACAAATTTATTCACTCTTTCGTTGTATCAAGCTGAAGCTTACGTCGGCATCATTACACGTTCTCAGGGTTGGTCCAATGGTGCTCCTGGAAGAACTGGAACTATTATTTCGCCGTCGCTCTGGAGCCCAAAAACCGTTCTCACAGACTCGTATTTTACAAACATCAGTAAGTGCCTCAGACTTAAAAATTGTTTGTCTCAGTGTTATTTGTTTCTTTCAGCGACCTCCAGCACATCACGATTTGTGTTCAATATAAAGTCAGTGGTTATTGGGAAGCACTCCAATGGGAGTGGAGTTCACTAACAGTGCGAAGAATACTGGAGATAAGGTTGCAATGGGAACTTATATGTCCATTTCTTTTACTGGATCAACTTCCGCATCATCATTTATTATGGACTTCAGTATTGAGGTAAAAGCAATTTATTACGAGTTTTTTAACTGTAGTTATTTTCAGGAGAGCATAGAGACATCTACAAAAGCATCAGCTTCTTTGATAACTTTCTCAGTGGTAACTCTGGTTTTGGTTAATCTTTTATGATTACTTAAATGAATCATATTAAATATTTTTATGAGATCTTCGAATCTTTAAAATTCAGTTCTCAAGTTATACACTGTAAAACTTTTATTAGAAGGGTTCATTTAATTGAAGGGTCCCTCTAATAGAAGGGTTTTCCGAGAAAGTCTCGAAAAAATAAAAGGTCTCCTGTAATACATAGAAAGATCCACTTCAAAATGTGTTGCTTGAAATTTTGGGCAAATCGATCGCTTTTTCTAATTTCACCAAAAAATTACTGAAACTCCAAATAATCCAAGAATTCACTGCAACACAAGCTGCTAGAGATTGTGGATCAGTCGTTCAGGCGCATATGTTCGTCCAATTCAAACAGTCGAGAAGGTCAAAAACGTCACTTACAAGCACGAATCACATTTCACAGACCGATCAGAGATCGAAAGAATACACGCCTCTACCGCCTAGCAAACAGTCTCAACTCGACATTCACACTTGTTTTTTTTTCGTTTTGCGAATGCTTTTCTTTTTTGCTATATTTAAATCGATTTTTGATTATCTCCGATTTCAGATGAAGTTTTTCTTAGCCTTCGCTATAATGGCTATCATTGTTGGCATACTATCGGCTGATGGCGGATGTGGCGAAAACGAAATTTTCAACGAGTGTGGCTCACCATGTGACAAAACATGCGCTGATCCAGTTCCGGTAAAATCTTTATTTCTATGCTGTTCTGCTAATTTTCCGTTCTCCAGACTTGCATCGAAATGTGTAAAGCGAGATGTGAGTGCAGACCTGGATTCGTTATTCACCCAACAACTAAAAAATGTGTCAACCTCAAAAATTGTCCAAAATAAAATTGTCCATAATTTTTATTCAAAGAAATACTGTAACCATTCCCGAATAAAGTTTTATATCCTGCTTCATGACATTGCTCCTCGTCTCACTCGAACTGTTTCAACAGCTGGATTCGATTCTCGACGATAGGCGGCGGATATGGGTTTCAAAAATATTTTTTCGATTCTGAAAACATTGCTCTACAATTTCCAATTATTTCTGAAATCTATTACTTGGCCACCGGAATTTCAAAGATTGAACTCCAGAAGAATGCGAAGACACATGATAGGAGGGTCCCTAGAATTGTGTAGAACAAGAACTGAAAAAAAGAAACTTTAGAATTGAGAATCCAAAACTTTGATCTACCATTTGAACAGCTGAGTAACTATGAGGACTAGTCCCATCCAAATTAAAAAACCAGTACATTGTCATTCGATGAACAATATAAGCGCAATACGAAAGTCTTCCGAATGGCTGCCAACATGGGTGACACATAAAGTTCCCAATTGGTCCTAAAAGTTTTGAAAATCGACTCAAAACAGCATTTGAGCTATGGACCTCCCCATGCATAATGATTAGCAATAATGATCCAAGAAACAAAAAGGGTCCACCCGTTTTTGGAGAAATTAAAATAGGTGGCCCTTTGGTATACACTCCAAATATTTCCAGAATCATACGAGTAATTTCCCCATAAACACCATGTTCCTATTCCTGTAGCCAATATCCATCCAGCTACAGGAACGCTCCAGTGGAATTTCAATCTGGTTTTTGTGAAATTGGCTAGAAAATATCCGACAAGCAGTCCGAGTAAAAACGATGGAGCTCTGGTCCACGGCATTTCATAGACCACAGATCGGAAATGTTCATGGTGTCTGGATACGAATTTTCGAGTAATTTATAGTCTTTAACTCTCCCCCATTCCCAGTGAAATCCGCTGGCAGTTCATAGATTCCAAAAAGTAAGTATTCTAGAAATACGCTTAACAAACATCCAATAACTATTAAAATCACTCCTCCGGTTATCGAGAAAAACAATGTAATGATTACAATTGGAGCAATTAAGAATAGTTGGGTATCAACTGCCAATAACCAAGTTATACGGTAACACTGAAATAATTGTTTTGATTTTTTTTAGAAAATGCTTCAAAAAATATGATAACATTTTTTTCACCGGCAAAATTATTGATAAAAAGTGCGTTTCTCCACCAGTTCTCCTCACAAATTTCAGCTTCCTTCGAAAGAATATCTTAAATTTTATCGCACTGAGGATATCGTTATTTGTGAACTCACTCATTTCAGAAGCCATGAAAGGACCTTGAATAAATTTTGAATAAACTGTGAAGAAACCAATAAATGCCATCAATGGTGGTGCTGCCCTCAAATATCTCCTCAAATAAAAATGAATCCAGGTTTGCGGTTTCAAAATTGTCCCTTGTTTTGGTTTATTCCAGAAGAATGTGTAGGCTTCTACGACTCCAGAAATAACAAACAACGTGTCAATGGAGAAGTAAGAATTCATAATAAGCTGTCTTGAAATTGAAAGGTCCTGAAGAAAGTCCATAGTGCTTCCAACATTGTTGTAGGGAAACTTGAAGTCATAAGTGTGAGCGAAAACTATCCAGAGGATGGTGAGAGCACGGAGGCAATCCAGAGATCGGATTTGATCTGGTTTGTGCTCTCTGACAGAAAGTATGAGCTCCGAGTTGCTCCAAAGAGAAAACGATAGGAAAACTCGGAGGCCAGAAAAATAGACATTGAATTGGATTCTGAGGTTGGACTTACAGTAAGCGTGTTCATTAACTGCAGACATTCCAATTTCTCGCTCTCGAATGTAATCCACAAAAGACGCAGAGACCACAATAGACACAATAAGAACAAGAAACAATCTTGAAAGGCACAACTTTCGAGTGTTCCAAAAAAAAGCAAAACTTACGAAAACGCCCAGAATACCCAAGTTTTCTCCACTTTCACATCTGATCGGAAAGCTTCACAAGCTGTTAATGGGAAGTTGGTCATCTGATTGAATATTTCCACCAAGTCATTCTCACCACACGACGATGGCATACAAACTGCGAACCGGGGAGTTACATGTTCATGAGATTTAGAATCACAAGTTACATTATCTCCTATATAGGCTACCAGGTAACTGTAGCTAGTCGCAAATTTTTTTCCACTGACACGTTGGCATTCAGAATATGAGCCCTCGAAAAACGTATTGATATCCAGAACGTCTGGAGGTAGCTTTCCGAACGCGTCCAGTTCTGAAACAATGGAGGACACCGTAAAATATGTAATAGAATGGCCACAGATATTTAAGTTTGAGCCAAGTTTTTTCGGTTCCTGTGGAAGACACAAAACAATTGTCCACTGATGAATTTTTAAACATAAAATCAGAAGTGTTCTGTTAGTCGGCACATTCTGGATATCTTGCATAGGAATCGACATAATTGAGCTCAAACTTTAAATTGTGGGGGCCCTTCTATTAGAGCATTTACAATAACTGACAGTTATTAACTGTAACAAGTCCTGCACTTACCCTGAATCGCAAAAACATAATCTTGAACCGAGGTAAGCTCAGTCAGAGTGCAGTTTTTATACTTCAAACAGTCCGCGGTGATTTTTGCAACTTCTCGGAGAGAATCAATAAAAAGTGATGTTTCATTAAAGCACTTTTTGTTCAGATTAGGGGTCCATAAAAGAGAATTTGAAAGGAATGGGAGCGTTCTCCAGGCGATCTCGTTTTCAGATTTTGTGCTTATCAAAAGACAGAGAAAAATAAAAAATAAAGAGAGAAAGTGGTTCATCTGTTCGTGGTTATCGTTTTTTCATCTGAATGAGATGTGATAGCGATATGGAAAAGAGTGGTGTGTGGGAGGAAAAACTGTCAGTGATTTGCATATTTTTGACATTTGTTTGACGAATTTTGAGTATCTGATCATTGAGCAATAAACTCTCTAATAGAAGTGCCCCTCAACCTTGTCCCAGTTTATCTGGGCTCATTTCAAAATACTTTTTGATATATCTCCAGAGAAAGATTGTCTCAATGTTGACGGCTAGGGAACACTTCTGTATGTCAAAATTCGTTTTTCTGGATTCAGAAATTGACCTTTTGATTTTTTCGCATTTTTTTTCATTCCGCTGATTCCAAAACTTCAATATCCAGACTCAGAATTTCGGTTTTCCAGCTACTGTTGTCTGTTCTTTGATAAATCGTACAAAAGCTCATTTACTGATACGCCGTTATAAATCCACATTGGATTTTGTACAATTTTACAGCCCTGGACATACTCGAAGTTCAAAGGACATATTTTCGATCTACCAGGTCCCAGCGAAAAATCTGGAATTCAGTACCTCTGACATGAAAAGTACTGATATGTTTCTGGAAATAAGATATGTAGCTGTTTGTAGCCGTTCTTTTCTATTGAGATGAATTATCTCTCGTGGTTAACAGATTCATGTCTAGCAGATTTGTGCTCAACAACGATGACTCTATTCACAGTGAACGAACGGTCCATCGTCAAGCCGTCAACGGTCCGCATCGCTAAGGCGGCGGCTAGACGCGGTTCATCCGTCTGTTCATGCTCCTCATCAGCCGATATCTAGCAGTTATCAGGTAGCACCGCTTCGCCTGTAAATTCAACTCGTTTCTCTGAAAATCGATATTCTTCCAAATTTCTTGTAGTCGAGTAAATAAATTGTTGTTTTTGACTACATCATGTTTTGTGTCCGACTACATTATACCCTCCTCATGCTGTTATCTTCCCCATCCATTCTACCTTTACCTCTGCGTCTCTTCCTCTCCCTCCCTATTTATTGATTCCAGTTACTAATTCTTTGATCAGTCTCCAAGAGGTTACACTCAACCATGGCTCACTGTCTTAATCCCGAAAAATTCTTCCCCGTCGTCAAATCAGTGGCTCTTCCGAAAGGATGCTTGAATGTAATATGCTTTCCAGTTCCTTTTTTTTACGATTTAGAATTTTCAGGGTAAAGTAGCGCTAGTGACTGGAGGAGGAACGGGTCTCGGAAAAGCCATTGCCACGACGTTTGCTCATTTGGGAGCTAGTGTGGCTATTGCTGCCAGAAGACTGGATGTTTTGGAGAAGACTGCAGATGAGATTCGATCGACTACAGGAGGAGTATGTGAACCATTTCAAAGGATGTCAAAGATCCAACAAAGGTTGCAAAGGCATTCGATGAGGTCGAGAAGAAGTGTGTTTTGATTTTGAGTTTTAAAAAATCTATCGTAAAACCTAATAGAAGCCTAATAGAAGGTCTATGTGTTAACTTTGAGCCAATTTATCTCATTTCCTATAAAAAGATATACAATACTAGTCAACTGATAAAATATTCATCATAATATCAGAAATGTTTTGTCTGTTGACCACTTTTCGATATATTTTGCAGGGAATGAGATATATGGACCCAAAGTGAAAGGTAGGGTGACACTCTATTAGAGTGCTTACGATAACTTGGAGAAATTGAAACTTTTTCAAAATCCAATCAAATTTTTTAAACTTCTAGACTTGGTCACACCCCAGACATTCTGATCAACAATGCAGCTGGAAACTTCATAATGGCCACTGAACGTCTCTCTCCGAACGCCTATGGAACCATCATTGATATCGTTCTCAAGGGAACTCTCCACGTCACCACAGAACTCGGTCGCCGTTGTATTCAGCAGAAGCGTGGTGCAAGTGTGCTCAGTATCACTACGCTCTACGCGCAGTCTGGTGCTCCATTCGTCGTTCCATCTGCTGTTTCGAAAGCTGGCGTTGAGAATATGACCAAATCACTGGCATGTGAATGGGCGAAACATGGAATTCGATTCAATGCTATCGCTCCAGGACCAATTCCAACGGAGGGAGCTTTTGGAAGACTTTTTGCTGGAGAGTTGAAGGATTCTGGAGAGGCTATGAAGGCGGGAGTCCCCGTTGGAAGACTTGGGCATCCTGAGGAAATCGCCAACTTGGCAGCATTCATGTCTTCTGATTTTATGTCGTGGATGAATGGAGCTGTGAGTTTTTCAAAAGAGTTAAAACCAGATGATTCTTCTATTCAGATCATCGACTTTGACGGTGGCCAACAACACATCCACCACGGATCCCATATGGGACAATTCCTTCACGATTGGGACAACAAGAAGTGGGAGGAGACGGAGAACTTGATCCGTGGAAGAACTGGAAAGGACAAGAAGAGCAAGTTGTAAATGTAAATTGAAACCAGAATGTAAATTAGTATTTTGTGTATGTGCCATAAACTCGATTTTCTACAATTTATTTTCTCCGAATCTTCAGAAAAAAGAAAAGGCTAGCTAGCCTGGGGAGATTTACATTGCACACTTTCTGTTACCTATTTAGTAAAACACGAAACTTTTGAAATTACAGGGTTAGGGGAAGAAAAGGATAAAGGGGGTGTGCCGGATTGTATGGGGGAAAGGGGATACACCGAAGTTTAAAAGATGGAAACAAAAGGCAGAGAGATGGGGGTTTTTGAATGTGATTAAACAATGGATTTGTAGTTGATAAACTCCAAAAGGAATCGTTTGTACTTAGTCTAGTGATCGTAACAAAACCAGTTGGAAAATAAGGAAAAGGGGAATTCGAAGAGAAGAAAGTTCCCAAGAGAGAAATATGATACAATAGGTAGAAAAGAAAAGCGGATAAATAATGTGTGAGACAGATAAACTATAACAGAACAACAAAAAAACGACGAGACTGTGGTGCTGGAAGAGCTATACAACTTAAAATAAATACAACTTTCGAATCTGAATGATAAAGAGTTCTAATAGAATCTGGAGCATACAGAGTACGATGGGGGGGGGGGGTGAGGATTAGGCTTTCTAGAACGGAAACCTGAGGGGAAACATGCTACTACTATGATAAAAAAGCGATAAGATAGAGTGGAGAGAGAAAATAAGAATCAAAAGCAATGATTATTCAGCATAGAGAAAAATTGGTTCGATTTTATTTTTTGAAATTTGTACATTTTTACAGAACTGCAGTTCTAAACAGTTTGGTGACGAGTTCCTGGGCTGACGCGCCCGGCAACCTCCTCATGAATACTTTCAATGGATGAAGCAAGCGAGTTCTCGCGCTTCTTCTTCTTTTCGGTCTTCTTCAAGTTTTTCCGTCTTTGAGATTCAATGCTGGTGTTACTATTGAAGAGACGAGTTTGTTCGATACGTTCACTGAATGACACGCTCTTCTTGCGTGGAGCAGCTGGAAGTACGCAGCAGTCGGATGAGTCATCGTCTTCCTCTGGAAAAAATTAATGTGAATTCTTCTCTAAAATTCTAAAATTTACCATGGAATGCATCTTCGTCATCCTCAGAGAATCTGAACGGCATTACTGGATGGTACGCGGCGTCGTCATGATGACACTCGGAGTACGACCTCATAAGGTGTGGCTTAACACCGAAACGACTAATAGGCGCAGCACGACGTGGCCATTTCAGAATCCCTTTAAGTGATGAGCAACTCTCGCTTCTGGAGCGCGAGCGCATTACTGGTGACGTAGCAGACAGTTCATCATCTCCATCATCATCATCATCATCAAAAGAACATTGACGAGTAGGAGAAGATAGCGAGACCCCGGAATCGACTGAATCTGTAGGAGATATAGTCAATTTGGTTTCGGAATCCGAATAGATGTCAAGCGATTCGTGGTCAAAGTCAGTGGTAATCATCAGCGGCGCTTGTGTAATGTTGAGAATGAACTTGTGAAGATGAGGAGCTTCTGATTTATCCAACCCGACGATTGCTTCCGAAACAAGAGTATTAGAAACTTTCTGAAGAACTCCGTTGGCGTTCGGCGATGTTGGGCACGCGGAGAGGGATGCAAGAGACGAGGTAAGTTTGTCCAGATAGTGGAATACTGTGGCACATGGGGAGTATACAGGCTGAAAAATAGCAATAAAATAATGGGTTTTTGATAGACCAAAAAATTATATTGCAGAAAACCGGTTTCTTTTTTTTTATTTGGGTGGTTACATGCAACAAAAAGTTTTTTTTGGATAAGAGATAAACACTCTCTCACCATATCAAGTTTGATTCCGTCGACCCATATGAAACAGTCGAGCTTCTGTGAGACATTTGGTGGGGAATTGTCCTCATCCTCGTCGACACGTGGAAGCACCCATGTGAAACACGACTTTGTGACTTCGAACACACAGTCAAGACCCGATTCCGATGATTTCAGATAGCCCGCGTCGAAATCGAGACTGATCAGTTTTCGAGACCTCCCGTCTTTTTCAAAAATAATCTCTGCCGATTGATGGGCGTCGTCTTCTGAGATGACTGTGTGAAGGTGGGAAGATATCGATTTGCATGAGATCAGCTTGACGAACTCGTCAAATAGTTCGTTGTGAAGAAAAGTGAGCCCGACTTTGGATACGTCAATCTCGAGGACCTTATCCATTTCGACGAGAAGTTCGACAATTTTGTCGAGTTGCTTTCCGAACAATTGATCTTCCTGATCGGATTTTCTGGTCCAGACGCTCTCTTCGAGAAGAAGATCGAGATACTGAAAACAATACTGAATTATCTTGTTTGCTACGGGGAAACAAACCTTAAGAGCGCTCTGGCAAGCGGCCTGATGGAGAGCCGCGTCTCCCGATGACATATGGGAGACGGACGGATGGAAGCGAAGCTTGACGACTTTAGGTTTTTTGCCATTCAACCCAACGACGTCGCTCGGCACCATCCATTCTCCGTTCTCAAATTGCGGCGACCCGATTTTCTCCGACAGCTCGCACACGACGTTCACATTGTTGTTATGCTTACTTCTGTGATGTAATTGGCAGACTTTCGATTCATTCTTTATGTTGAACGACATGGCGGCGGCGGGTAAGTTTGATGGGTCCTGGAAGAGCATTAACTTAGAACTTTACAGAATGATGAATGGCTTTACGTCGAGAAATAATTGTGGAAGCTTGAGAATATTCGAGAAAGATCCAGAATTTCGAAGAAATTCAAGAAATTCATAGAAGGAAAAAAGTGCAACAAAACTACCGTAGGATTAAAGGCGCGCAACACAAAAGCTTCAGACACTCCTGATAAGACAACAGTAACCTAGTTTATGTGTACTCCTCGAGGAAAAGAGAAAAAAAACAGATTTTTTCAACCAATTTTAATTCAAACCAATTTTAATTTCGATCAAAATTTATACCACTCGAAATACTCTGCACATATTTTCAGGAAAAAAAAACGATGGAAAAACCGAGAAGATGCTCATCAACAGCAGAGACACAGACGGAGCCACTTCTTATACGAAGTAATCTTTTTGCATATGACGAAGCACACATACACTCTCTTACTGTAATGTGTCGCCCTAGGGTCTGCTTGCTTGTTGGGGTTGACCGATGAAAGAGTGAGAAGAGAAGTGGGTCAGTGTGAAAGAGGGCGCAGAGAAAGAAATATGAATGGAGAAGGTTCGAGAAGGATCTTTGTTTGAATAGGGTTTTTCTGGTGTTTCTCGGTGTTTGTGAGTTCGAATAGTGATGTTTTCGATTACTTAAGGTTTTACCTATGGAATCTCTACCAAATGTTCAATGATTCGTCATAATTAAAAATCGTTAGCACTGCCAAAAATAGTCTGAAAATAACAACAACGGATTTTCATTTTAAATCAACGGCGATTGAATGAAAAACCAGTCAACTCTACCAAATTTTGCAAATTGGTCAGTTATCCTTTTTATATCCCCCCCCCCCCTGTGTTCTTTTTTTCTCATCCGAATCTGGTTTATGATCGAAACGACACAAAAAAAGTGATCGTACTCGCAAAGTCGTTTGTCATCTTGGCGCCAGATACTTTGGCCTTCAAAAAAGCACATAGAGTGGTGGTCACATGACATAGGACAATGAGATAAAAGATCTCTCTTCTTTTCGGCAGGATGGAAAATGAGAAAGAGGAAAAGAAGAATGGGATAGATTGAGAAAAGTTCAAAATTTGATTGTGTGAATTTCTCGATATGAATATGAATAGACGAATTCTGTGGCAGCAAAATGTCTGACGCCTCGACCCGTTGATTCCCGATCATATTCCATTTTGCACGACGGCACGAGGCGAAATAGAATAGGGAAGAGACGATCGATGATCGGTAGTAAAAATTTGTTTGTACTATACGAAGGGCTCGCAAAATGAGATGAGTCGCACTATCAGCGGAGTGAAGCTTATCGGGAAGAATCAAAACGGTCAAGAGTCATATCAGACAATTTTTGAAATTTCGGTACGATAAAGTGCATCGTCAACAAAGCAGGTGACTATCGAAATGAGACTGGAAACATTCAGTATATTTGTTCTTCTAATACGAAATCTGAAAGTGTTCGCGTAAACAAACAAGCCGACTAGTAGAATGAGAAGGAAAAACAAGGATCCGCCTTGAAATCGTATACTTTGGGGAAATAGAAAACCACAAAAAAAACAACAGGAGGCGAGAAACACGTCGTTCCGAATTCAGCTCAATTAGTGAGATCGAAAGAACACACTTTGGAAAAGCAAACGGGAATATACACGGACATACGCTTGAAAAGTCTAATCGAAGATGAAGAAGGGAAAAAAGAAGAAGAAGGCGAGTAGAGTAGCTGAGTGAAGGAAACACAATTTGGTCGAGGACCCCTTTCGCTAAGGGAGAAAGAATTGTTCTCTCAAAAATTCGTAAAATCTTTTGTGTTGAGCCGACATCTTCAGGCGAACAAAGATCACAGAGAGATCAGAAAGTTTCCTAGTTCATGGCCCTGGAAACAGGAGTACGGTAGTAAATTCGTATTAGCCTAAAATGCTATTTAGTTTCATATAAGATCGAAAATTGTCTTCTCAACCACCAACAAAAACAAAATCTCTGTCGACTGAGAGTCAATTCGGCCTAAAATCAACATTCGTTCACAATCTCACGTTTGTCTGTGAGTCTCAGGCTCTTCTCCTTCTTCTCTCAAATCGTTATCATCTATACGATGAACCATCACGTGTTTCTCTTTTACTACATATGCGAAAAGTGGACGAAAGAAGAAGCAAGTGAGAGAGAAGTGAGCCCAGGAGAATTATTTATTGAACCGGCGAAGCCTCCTCACGCCTCACTCGTTTTTCTGCCCGCTTTTTCCGTCTGGTCGTCTGTGTCTCCAGTCTTCAGAGTTTTCGCTGTGGAGCGCCTTTTCTTTTCCCCTGGCAACTCTATCCAAGAGGAAGGAACGATGGCCGCCGACCGCCACCACCGCTCAAATTGATCGGCCACTACAACACAAGCCATTGTTCATTCGGGGGTTGGTGGGGAGGCTTCAGGTCTGCGTCTCCGCAACATCCAATAGACTCTTTAAGAGAGTATTTCTCTTTCCCTTTTACCCGATTTATGTGCTGGTGAATGAGAACAAAACCTGACTAAGCACCTTATTCTCTTCTATTCCATCATCATTTTATCACTTTTCTTCCTGTCTTATGGACAATAATCAGCAGAGTTCGGTACCGAGCTCACCGGCACCAGGTCACAAGTCTTCTGGATACTATCCTCAGCAGGTATTTTTGCTCTTGATCAATTCTGAATATAGCTAAAACTTCTCTACATGTCTTGATTCGCATCTCAGGATAACCTCCGCCACGATGAAAGGACGACACCACCAACTGCTTTTCATTTTCCACAGGCACACCAACCACAAACGGCACCTGTAATGGGTCAGCCACCCGGTCAGTCATTTCCGCTTTATCCGGTCCAACAATCCATAAACAAGTATTTCGCAACACGCATGACCTAGTGGTTTCAAAATATATATATCCATCCATGCTCTGGAGCCACACACACACACATCCAGTTCCGGTGTGGCTCATGTTTCAGACTTTTTAGTGGTTTGTCATAACCCCTTACTCGTAATAGATATTTAGTCGCTCCTTTCAAAAAAAAGTCAACAGAATTCGGTGAACCTGAAAATTGGCAAAAAACCCGTCAAAGAGAGTTATAACGCTCGATTTAACACTGGTTCAGTGAGTGTTTTTTCTATTCGTTCATAGCCAAATTCGTTCGTCTATTCCGTCCCAAAATTCTATGGAATAGGAAATATGGTGCAAGAGAGATATATGGATAGAGGAGTAGGATTCTCCTGAGAAATTGGAAGCTCTCATTAGAAATGCATTGCTTTTCGGTGGCGTGCCCTCTGTCTCTCGTGACGAACAGTGTCCCTTGATGTCATTGTGACCCTTTTCATGTGGTTTACTTCGCTTTTCCATCTTTGTCAATTACTGATCGATAGGATGGGGAAAAGAGAAAAAAGTCACATATAAAGAGAGAAAAACGGCTAAAAAACTGGTTTTCCAGCAAGAGACATAGACGCAAAATTTGGCGATTTATGGGTGAACATGAAACATAGTGTGTCATTAAAAACAACCATTACTTTTATTAACATCTCACTCACTCATCTTCAATTTTTTTTTCTGTGAAACTTGACGCCGGCCGAAGGAAACATGTCTTTTCGACAAAAATCCCATTAATCTTGTCCCATAAAAAAGAGAAGGGGTTGACCTAATCATTAATCTAGCAATTAATAGCTTTACAGCCGCAAACGTTTTACTTTAAAATATCACATATCATCTTCAAAAATAACAGTTTCCATATTTCAGGTTACCCAATGCAGGCGCACGTCCTCGTCGACCCTGTCACAGGACAACACTACATTGTGCCACAGTACTATCCGCCTCCAATGTACCCATATCCAGCAGCTCCTCAACCGCATCATCCCGCTGCTCCTATGTATTATCCTTATGGACCTGCCCCGTCGCATGCTCCAGTCCCTGCTCAAAAAGTAGCTTCTGCTCCACCGCCGACCACATCTGCGGCAAACAATGCTAGCTCAAATTCTAGTTAGTTTTTGCTTTTGTTTCTAAGCTTCAATCTATAATATTTTCAGTTAACTACATGGGAATTCCAATGTACAGTAATCCAGCTGCCAGTCACGAGAAAAAGGACGATTCAGAAGACACGATGTCAACGACATCGAATATTTCTAGAAGCTCGTTTACTCTAATGCAAAATCAGAAGATTCCCCAACAACAACAGCAACAACAGTTTGGAAGAGAGAACAGTCGAGAATACATGTACATGCAACGCTCTCCGATTTCAAATCCAGCTCCGTCGTCTCCTCTGATGTGTCCGAAACTTTTCCAACAGCGACTTGACACCGTAGCTGATTCTCGAGGTGGCACTCAATCTGATTTCGAGGGAAAGACACATACAACGCGACAGAAAACTGTCGAGCATCCAACATCGTCTGCTTCGGATCATGAATCTACGAAAAGGTTCTCGAGAACTTCTTTCGGAACACCAGCTCCAGCAGAAGAATCAGTCAGGGGTAATTTGTAGTTTGGAATCAGTTTTGAAAAACATATCACAATTTTAGTACCTAATCCAATCCCACCTGCCAAATCAGTCCGAATGGAAATTAATTTTGCTGATGTTCCCTCAATGCCAAGCGAACCGAAACGTATGTGAAATTTTCTGTAACTCAAAAAGAATGTAATTTGAAAAAAAATTGTTTTTAGCAGCGAAAAAGTCTAATGCAACGGCGTTCACAGTGAATTTGGGAGAGGAGAAAGAAGTGACACTACAAGAAGCAGCACGCACTCTAGCTGAGGTTTTTGAATTTGGTTGACTACAGTAATTCAAACTCGAACATTTTTAGAATCGTCGAAAGATCAAACTGGCAAAGAGCACTTCTCACGATCGTACTCCGCACACTCCAGAAACATTGGCTGCAAGTAAAACTAACAAGAACTACTTGCTCGAAAGATTGCTAACAGGAAAGACGGGGACAACTGAAAATAGTAACGAGGAGGAAGAGACAGAAGAGCCAGCGGAGACTCCAGAAGAGCACAGAGATTTCGATGCTCGGTCGGAAGCTCTCACTTTTGTTATTGGTAAGCATCAGCTTCAAAAGGAAAAGGTTACGAAATTTTTTAGAAACAGGGCTATAAATCAGCCAACATAAATATCACATGTGAAAAAGAATGAAACGAAATGGAGGGCATAAAAATTGTTTTCTATTCTTTCTTTTTTTGCTTATATGGAAGAATCGTTCTGTTTGTTGTTCCATTTTCAAATTCCATTGATTCTAAAAACAAATGTATGCAAAATAGATTGTCTGAGAGAGAACTAAAACACAATTGATTTTGACAAACTTCTTTTCAGATACATCGAGAAGGAATAACGCTGGAGGATACGGTGGACAAGCACAACTACAGAGAGTGGTGCAGTACTCGGATGACGACGATGATTCGGATAGTGACAGTGAATTTATGGAGCAATATGCAAATTCTCAACCACCAAAAACCTTTCAACCACTTCAAACCATCGCCCCACCAGCTCTGCCACCCAAACAGGCCCCCGTTTCAATTCCCCTGTCCTCTCCCCGACCATCTGCTCTTCCTGCTCCTGGATTCACTCGACAAATCTCATCTGCAAGCACATTAAACGCTCAGCCTACTCCGACAGCCCTGACGTCACCACGAACACCATCAACATCTACATCTTCAACACCTAGAACTTCTTCGAGATTTGATCGATCTGATGGTGGTGGTTCTGATTTCCTGCAAGAACTGGCCAAGCTAAGAATGATGGCTGGTCTACCTGCAGCTGGACCAACAGGAAGTGAAGCCGAGCAGAAAGCCATGGCAATGGCACATCAAAGGCCAACGGCGACGACGTTCAGAAGAAGCGAAGTGAGCTCTTCCGCTCGAGCTCCAACAGTTTCTTCGTCGCAAAAGACAGTGGGACTCGGAGAACGTGGAGGATCAAGAGCATCGTTCACTGGAAAAACCAAAGAGACGAACACCACCCCAACACCTAGCCGCCGGAGTGAGAATCGACGATCCTTAACCGGAAACTCATCTCCTCAGCTGTCAAATCTTGCTCGTCCACCTTTTCGTACTGGAGCTCCACGTGGCATCATGATTGGACAGAGTGAGCAACAAAGAGAGCAGGAAATGACCGCTTGGCTCCGAAGGAAAGATTACAATCCGATGAAGGCCGCTGCCGCCGGAAAGAAACCATCTGGTGAAATGACACGGTAATTCGCATTAGTTGTATCTCCACCCCATCTCGTTTTTTCTTCAGAGAACAACAATTCCAATCTCGTCGTTCGATGACTTTCCATAATACCGATGAAGTGACGTCTCCATTCGGAAGAGGCACATCTGGGATGGTTCCGATACGTCCGGCACCCAGGAATCGTTCTCAAGAGCCACGGGATATTAATAATGAGAAGTATCGGGCTGTTCAGAAAGATCAACGGCTTAAACGAACAGTGGATATGTTGTCTCAAAAGTGTAAAAAGAGCATAGAGTTAATAAGAATTCAAAACAAGGGATGCCTATCAGTTTCCGTTGAAGATCTTTTGTCAGCAGCAGCCGAAGAGCCACGTCCTCACGAGACGCTCGACGAGCAGCTTGATCGCTTATCGGATGCTTTTGATGCTGTTCAAAGGTATTTTTCAAATCTATTTCAAGCTTTATTCAACTTTCTATCGATTTTCAGGTATCTTGAGCAATATTCATTGGATGGATATCACTCTCCAACTTCTGACGACAGATACTTTGATGATGACGTCATGGAGTCGAAATCCACGTTCTCTGGAGTGAGCACTCACCAAGAAAGGAGTCTTCCATCTACAGAGTCACTAACTAGCTCTTATCGAAAGAAAATTCTAGATTCTTGATCCCAATTTTATGAATGCATTTTTACCGCACTGCATATTGTACCATCTCTTTCTACAAAACCCAGTTTTCATCATTCAAAATTCTATGTCCTTCTTCCCTCACCTGTAATAACATTTCGCGTTTCATTAGATTCTGCAACCCAAAACAAAAACAAATCTATGTTTTCATCAATTTGCTCCCAAGTTTTTGTTTTATTTTTGTATCATTATCACCTTCATTATTTTCTTTATACACGGTTCTCTACTGGCACTTTTTTGTTTCTTTCATGGACCAATTTACTGAAACTGATAAATGAAATTGTGATATCATGATGCACTAACCACACCCCTCTCTCTCTTTATCTGTCTAGTCCAATAAAAGACATTGGAAAACTCTTCCTTCTGCTCCAGCCGCCGGTCTCTCTTTCATCCGAAAATGAGCCGCCTAATGAGTTGGTGGGTCCCCAGGGGGAATAGCCTCTTCCCTTCTCTTTCTTCTTACCTTCTCCATTCTTCTTCTTCTTCCGATGGCTCAATTCAGATATATAGTAGTTGTTGAGAGTAGAAGATTCCACTCAGCTCGTCGTTGTCCTTCCTCTTCTCCATCTCTCATCATCTCTTCTTGTCCATCCCGTCACCCTCCACGACGTCGTCTTCTTATTCTGCAACATCGTCTCCAAAAGGATCTTCGTGCCACGTGTGTGTTTTGTATTCTGCTCTTCTGATTCCATTATTCACCTCAATTCGATTTGTGTCGTCACCTAGAAACCATAAGCCATCATCGAAGCCAGGTCGCGTGCCCGTCACGTGTTGCCACGTGATAACATGTGCGGCGGAGCATTGTTGAGCTCCGGACTATGTCGGTTTTCGGAGCTCACACCTGGACAGTTTGGGCTCACGAAACAACTGGTAAGGGTTGAGTCAGATACATTAACCCAAACGTCCGAAACGTAGTAGAACATCATAACAATGAGAGAGAAAAGAAACATTCGAATTTAATAATGTTGCAAACTCGCTCTACAAACAAAATTTAAAAAGCAATTAAAAACAGAGAGCTCTACAATCATTACTAACTTACTATACATTTCAAACTTTTTTTTTCGTAAATGCACCAATAGAAGTCCGCCCAATACTTGCACTTTGATCTCAATTATCTCGGTAGTATGAGAGATATTACAAATCTGGCAACTAATAAATAATATGTGATAATATTAAAAACATTGTAATAGTTGACAAAATTTTGATATCTCGCATAGGAACCTAGATAATTGAGCTCAAATTGCACGTATAGGGTAGGCATTTGTCTGACCCTTTGACGGTATGATGGCCACTGGATTACTGTAGATTACGATAGAAGAGGACCCGTCATCATGACGGAAGAGAATACATAGGTTTGATCGTTAGCGTTCCCCTAGAAATATCACTGAATCTGTTCTTCTTTCTCACTGTTTTGTGATCTCTGGAAAATTGAAGTTTCTAAAAAAATAACAAAAAGTCATTAAACTGTAGAACCTGCAGAAGCTCCTTTAACGTTCAACTTTGAAGCAATTCATTTTGGTACCTTTCGAAGATATAGAAAAGTTGTGAATTGATAAATTGTTTATCATAACATCAGTAGTGTTTTATCAGTTGACAGATTTCTGATATCTGTCACAGGGACCGAGATAATTGAGCTCAAAGAAAACAGTTTGTACGGACTCCTATTAGAGCAAATACGGTGTTAGCAATTTCAGAGATATCTTTAAATCTGGATCCCCAAACCCCAAAATTTCAGGTTTTCCGACTGGCCCTTCCACATATCACACTTTTAGTTGTTTCAATTTTATATGCAGTATTTGGTGGTTGGATGTTAACACTCATAAAATATAGTCAGCAAACGGCACATCAATCAATAGTTTTTGATCAGTAAGTTTTTGTTCTAATTTTGATACTATAGATTTTTTAGAACACGACAAAGTTTTGCAAAAAAGTTGGCTGGCATAGGAGACAAAGAAGAATTCGAGGGAATAGTGAATGAGTTAGTGGAGAAGGCGTATGAATTCTATACAATGGAAGATGGACATCGATGGCAGGAAGCGGCGGTAGGAATATTTTGAAAGTTTGAGATTTTGAAGCTCTCGAATTTTCAGTTCAACTCAAATCCTCTCACCAACTTCACATCTAACTTGTTTTTTGCTGCAACCACTTTGACTTCGATAGGTCGAATTTTGTATTATTTTCTGTATCACTTAATAAGATAATTGTTCAGGTTACGGAATCGATGCTCCAGAATCCCTAGTTGGTCGTGTTTTTTGCCTGGTCTACTTATTCTTTGGAATTCCTCTCTACCTGATCACAATAGCAGATATGGCAAAGTTCTGTACAGAACTAATGAATCGGACTTATACCGAAATTATAAAATACAAGTATCGAGTGAAACGACGGTATAAAAGATGGAAATCTGGAAGGATTCGAAGGTATGCATTTCCATTGTCAATTGAAATTAATTCAGTTTATTCTAGAGAATCCATGAAAGTGGGTCAAGTGATCATTGCTGGTGGTGAAGATGAAGTGGCAGAATTTCTTTGGACTCATTTAGAACATGCACAGTTTGTGGAAGTACCATTCCTCCTAGTTATTGGAATTTTGCTTCTTTATATTGGATTGAGCTCTTGGATCATTTCATGGGTAGAAAATTGGAATATGACCGATGGATTCTATTTTGTTATGATGAGTGTTCTCACTATCGGATTTGGAGATTTGGTGCCTCGAAATGAGATTTTTGCGGTCCCGATCCTTTTCATCATTCTGGCTGGCTTGGTTCTTACCACAACTTGTGTGGACGTAGTTGGAGCTTATTATATCGATCGACTTCACTTCTTCGGAAGACGATTAGATGACGTGGGAATTTGACAATATTAACGAGAACTTGAATTTTAATTATTTCAGGATCCGTTGTCATGGCTAAAAGAAGTGCAGCAACGGAGGATAGAAGCAATGAAGAAAGAAGCGATGAGAAAGTTGTTTGAAACTGTGACAGCACTTCATCATATTAGATTGACAGGTAGATATTGAAAACTGTTTAATTCTCAACAGAATATTCATATATTCATTCCAGCATTCAAACAACTCACCCAAAACTACGACGATCATCTGAGAAGCAAGGCTCCAGACCCGCCGAGACATCTAGTTGCCTCCCATGCCACAGCGGATTCTGTGATGCTTCGATGGAGCGCGCCGATCTATGTGGATGAAGGAAAACGATACTGGTACACGATAACCTATAAACCAAGAACTCCGCAACGAAGGAACAATGTGGTAGCGGTTGACTTTATCAATAAAGATCGATATTTAGTGACTGGCTTGAAGTCGTTCACATTGTACGAGTTCAGTGTCTACGTTACAACGAGATACGGTCAGAGTGTACCCATCAAAGTTCAGGAGTATACAGGTGAGTTCTAAAATACTTTCTCAAATAAATTTCTGCTCATTTCAGAACCATGTACTGTCCCGCAATCGGTTAGAATAGATGCGATATCAGATGAAACTGCAACGCTATCTTGGCGAGCACCGAAGATGAATAACGGACCAGAATCGTATATCATACAGTTTGTACAAGAGCCCGCACCACAGTTTGTGTACTGGAATAAATATCGAGTGGGATCATCAACAAGGTTCACACTCACTGATCTCCATGCTGATACTAGGTTAGTCAAACTTTTCGAATTTTTCGCCTACTTCCTTTGAAATTTCTCAGGTACATAATCTGCGTGACTGCCGAACACAACCATGGTCTGGCTGCCATGTCAAAGTCAATGAGATTCCGAACAAAGAAATGGTGGGGAGATGAGGACAGCACATGTCTGAGGATACCAGGAACCAGCCATCGGCTATCGATTGCATCTGCTATCAGCACTCTAACGGCGCTGAGGTGACCCTAGTCTTTCAATTAGTATGTCTTGAATTCTCTAGCTCATTTTATTATATTTCCTAATTTATGCTGAACTGCCTTTCCTGCAATATTTTTCATTTCCGGGCACCTAACTCCTACTTCTTTCTTTCTGGAATGTTTCATTTTTCTAATCCGGGTGGAAAAAAAATTCATCAGTGTATGTTTTTTAATTTGAAAATCATCAGTTTATTGTACCGTTTCATCTAATAAAATATGAAAGTGATGTTTTTTTGTTTAAAAAAACAAAAAAAACGTAATGGAAAAAATGACTAGGTAGATTAAAAATAATGACATATAAGAATCGGTTGGTGAGGGACATGTTCGTAAAAATCTGCAGAATAAATATTGGATAAAATATTCGAAACCTAGATGTATATATTTTTGTATACTTTTTTCACAAGGAAACATTTTTTGAGCAAAAAAATTCAGGGAGAGAATTCTCCCCGGGAGAACCGAATTTTGTCAGAGAGAAGGAGAGAGAACGAGAAAGAGTTTGCGGGATTTTTCATGTCGATGGAGACGTATTTTTCTTTTTTTTTGTCTGATGAGAATGAGAAGAGAAATAAGGTTATACGCAGTATTCAGTGAAAAACAAAAAGGCACTTTTGGTGATACTACTGAAAATATTATGAAATTGGAAAGGAGGAGAAGAAGAAAACAGAACAAGGCACATGAGAAAAAAACAGGAAGAGGTTTTGGTCACTACGAATCGAAAAAAAATGATTAATGGGATTTTGGGGAAAAAAGTTTGAAGCTTATACTCGAAGAATTTCCAGTTTGTTATTCGAACAAATTGATATCCAGTCTGGGAAAGAAGAGGACCAATGGATTTGGTTCACCTGAAAATGTTTAAATGAAGTTTCAGAATTTTAAAAGCTGAAACTCACCTCTGCACTTGCTCTATACGCTAAAATTGGGTCATTAATCGGTTTGGGCATCTCATGAACGTCCCAAATCAATGCTTGGAAATCATCTCCAGCCGTACAAATATGCGATCCAGAGTGTGGTGCCCAGGATAAACCGTTGATCGCAGCTTCATGATTACGTAACCGAGCCACCGGAGTGCAAGGTAATCTCAGATCCAGAATTAACACCTGAAATCAATTCATTGTTGTAATACGGAATTCTGAATCAAAAAAACCTCTTTACTATCCTGGCCAAAAGTGGCAATATAGTTATGATCATTTCGATTCCATGCCAATCGTAGTAAAGGTTGTCGTTGAGGATCCTCGTACATTATTGTAGAGTGTTCAAGCCTTCGTAAATCAAAAAGCCGAAGGGATCCATCAGCTCCAACAGAAGCAAATTGTTGTGGATTCCCTCTTGAAAATGAGATATCGTAAACTTCTTTATCATGAGCAATCAACTGCGTTCGTACTGTTCCATCGATAGCCTGAGGTCGTGTGGTTCCAATCGCTTGACCGGTCTGTAGAAGTATGAGTTTGAAAAACGAGAGCATCTCTTTAACTAACTAACCTCAAGCTGCCACACAGTACATGTTGTGTCAATACTGCTTGTTCCTATCAGATTCATATCCAATTCGTTCCAATCGAAACTTGTCAGTGGAGCACAATATTCGGCAGTTCTATTCGTATTCAAAAGAGATTCAATTCGAGCATTGTTATCCGTTCCAATCTAGTTAATTTCGGTTTATTTCGATATCAATCAAATGTTTGACTCACCCTCCACAGCCTCAAATAATCTCCACTGGTAGCCAGCAAATCCGGAAAGTTTCCTTTTTGATCCGGAATCCACATTATTTTCGTTGCAGGATAAGGATGATCAAATTGACTCCGAGGCACTAGTTCGCCTAGCTCCTCATCCAATTGTACTATAGTGATCTTATTTGAGTACTCCTCAATAAAACTTGATACTGCCAATCGGAATTTTCTCGAAGGATCAGTTGCCGCACTCCATCCATGAGAGAATAGAGTCCAATCAGCGTTGTAAGCGTAGATTTCTTTCCTCCTAGGATCCGCTCGAACACTGCTCCTTCGCATGTCAGAAGTACTCGCATTGCTATAGTTCTGAAATAATACCTCGAATTGTATTGAATTTTGAAAAAAAAATCAACTCACATCATAAATGTCCATTGGTTGCTGCATTGAATGCATCGATGACGTCGATGCTCCTAATTCTGGTGGCATCTGCCTATACTGTTGAGGTGGTTGCATGGGAATTTGAGGAGGTGGTTGTCGTATCGATGCAGCTACAGAAGCCGTTGACGATGATCCGTAGAGTTCAGGAGGTATTTGATTGAAAGGATCCATTCGAACAGCTTGACCAGTGGGTATATTCGGATGACCCATATTATTGTGACTTGAGTTTGAAGTAGGATTTGTGTAGGCTTGATAATTATGAGGATTGTGGTTATGTTGGCGCATCATATGAGCACCCGAGGAGGATGACGATGCTTGAGATTGGTCAAGCATTCTGGGAGTCTGCAAAGTATGGAGGTAAAAACTTTGAACATAGGGTACTTGAATGGGAGGCACAGGTAAAAAGTGGCTAGACATGATTTTAATTTTAAAACTCAAGCCCAAAAACAGTTGAAAGCAAACTTTCAGGTACTATCGAAAAAAGTTTCAACTGACATTCACGTGATTTATAGGTCACAAGACTGGTAGCAAGTTTCTTGAATTTCGAAACACTTTGTAGATCATCATTGCTAGACTGATTACCAAATAAAAAACTAACATTTTTCAGATCAGAAAGTTTTGAAACATTGTACTTCCTAAAATATTACCGAATAGAATACAATAATAGAAGCCCACCCCATACGCGTTCTCTGAGCTGAATTATCTCGGTTCCTATCGAAGATATCAAAAATTCGTCAGCTGATAAATTTTTTTTCTTAAAATTATCAAAATTTTATCAGTTGACAAACTTTCGCTATCTTTAGAAGCAACCGAGATATTTGAGCTCAATGGGAGCATATACAGTGGGTTTCCTCCTACTAGAGCATTTACGACTTTGAAAAACTAGGTTTTTTAGTTTCCAAAATGTTCAAAATTAACCTTTGCAGTGGGCCCGTCTAACCCACAGTCATCCGTATGACTCACAATAGCAGTCTGTGACGTGGCAGGTGCTGCTGGAACGGGCGGTGCTCTCGGAACGAACCGAAAGTCGTCGGCGGTCTGCAGCTGAGACGACCGCTGCTGTTTCGGCTGCTGCTGCTGTGAGGGAAAAATTTTCTCTGAAATTTAGAGAAATATGGATTTCAGCGAAAAAGAAATTCAAATGATTCAAGATACAAAAACCGGGAACGTTAGTCAACCGGATAACTTCTAGCAGCCTATCAATAAAAAAATAATTTAAAAATTTACATATTTTTAAACAAAGTCATAAACATGAAATTATTCGGTATATGTTACCTTATCACACATATGTTCAACATAAGAAAATATTAAAAAATTCAGAACTCAAAAGGTTGGAAAAAACAAGAAACAGTGGAGAGCTGCGGGAGAAAAAGAGAAAGAGATCATGAATTCAGACTTTGGAATTAATTCAAAAAAATACGGTCACAACGAGAATGTGATGAAGAGAGGGACAGAGAAAGAGTAATTAAAAAGTGAATCAAAAGTTTAAAAAAATCAAAAATTAATGTGAAGCTATTGAGAGAATGCGAAGAATTAAACACGAAGAATTTCGAGAGTCTTGTTAAAGCAAATCGCAATCCAGTTACTGTGCACCGGCCCCCAGTGGATTTGGTTTACCTGAAAATGGAATTTTTTTAAAACAAGGAACATCGAAATGACTTCGGAATGAACGTTGTATAGTGGCCGAGGAGGTGCCAAAGGAATACTCAGAGCATCACCTGACTAGTAAGACGAAAACATAAAAAGCTTGGGAAAATTATTCTCAAAAATTTAGAAGCAGGTGGTAATTAATCTTTTTGGTAATAGTTTTGGCAACCAATATTGGAAGACTTATTTTCCATATTTTCGTTTCCGCTTATATTTTTTATATGCTCGAAGAATGACTTTTTCAAAAAAAAAGAAACACTCACTTCTCCACCTGCAGTATATGCGAGAATTGGATCCTCCACTGGCCTCGGCGCATGTTGAAGATCCCAAATCAACGCCTGTGAATCGTCTCCAGCAGTGCAAATGTGATGTGGACTGTGTGGAGCCCACGCGATACCATTCACCGGTCCATTATGATTCCGGAGACGGCATAGAATACTGCATGGCATCCTAATATCCAGAATCATCACTTCTTGACTATGCTCAGCGAAAAGAGCCATGAAATAGTGTTCTTGTTTGTTCCACGATAGTCTTTGCAACTTTTCTTTTTGTGGGTCTTCGTAAACAATTGTTGAATGGTTCAGATGACGAAGGTCAAACATTCGAGCGCTTCCATCGGCACCTAAATTTTTTTGATGAGCATCTTTCGTAAAACTTCATATACTCACCAACGGTAGCAAAGTGATCACGTCCTCCGTTAATTTTGGAGAATTCAATATCATGAACAGGCTTGTCATGAGCAATTAATTGAGTTTTTACGTTGTATGGTGTTAGTGCTCTGGTGGTTGCAATAGGAGCTCCAACCTAAAATAGTCCTTTTTTTAAATTTCAAAATCTGATGTATTCTTCACCTCAACATCATAAATGGTACAAGTTGTGTCCACACTTGCTACTCCAATATACCTTGGTTCAACCTCATTCCAGTCAAAACTGGTTAGTGGTGATCCGTATGGAGTGTTGCTAGGTGTCCCCTGAAAAATTTCAAAGGTTTTTCGAAAAGTCGAAAAATTAAGATACCGAAACGTTGTGCATCACTGCATCCGGTTGAGCTTGTCCATCGACAATTCGCCACAGTCGGAGGCAATCAGAAGTTGTGGCCAAAAGGTCCGGAAAGACACCGTCAAGATCCGGAATGAATCCAACGGCATTGGCTGGAAACTCCATTGGGAAGCTAGTAGTCTCCACAAGTTCACCCGTTTCGTCTTTGAGTTGGACAACGGAAACCTGAGAAAAAGAAAGTTTAGTTGGAGAGAACAGCTAAAGTGCAAGGTAAGTTTGATGGAATCAAGTTTAGAGTTGTTAAAGGCCATATGGTTAAGGTAGCTTTTATATATGTCAGGTGGTGAGCTCTAGATAGTAATCACAAATTTCTTCAATGTTTTTTGAGAGCGTTGATCAAAAAAAATTTAAAATTTATTGACAGCTATTTCAGAGCCAAATTCAATTGAATTTAATAATTTTGCTTTTTATTCACCAGAATGTTCAAGGTCTCCCAAATTTTTTGAAATCACATAAGCACTCACGGAGAAAAGTCAAAAATTTTGGAGCATTCAGATGTCTTAATGACTTTTTTAATGGTTTTCTCTTCTAATATCCCAGTTTTCGTTTTAAATTTTATAATCAATCTTTTTTCAAACACTCACTTTATTAGGAGCCTTTGGGTTGGCTGAAATATCCGAGACTGTACTTACAGCTAACCGAAACTTGATATCGTTCTTATTGCTCCATGCTGATGCATAAAGCGCTTGATCCGAATTGAATTTATAGATTTCACATCTTCTGTCTCTTGCTCCTATCACGATATCGTTGTTGGCACGTTGAATACCTTGTTGTTGTTGAGCCAACGGACCTGGTGGAATATTCTGATCTCCATTAATAACATGACCGTTGGCAGACATTTCTGAAAACTTGAAAGTTTCAAACCCAGATTATATACAATTTGAAATTTTGAAAAAATCAGAGAAAGGGAAAATTGAAAAAAAGAGAGGAAGAGAAAGAGTGGTTTTCAATTCAGATTCCAGGGAAAAGACCAGTAGAGAGTGTCCAGAATGCGGAGACGCAAACATCTGGAGAACACAGAAAAATGAGGGAAAAGTAGAATCGGACACGGGAAGAAAGAAGGGGCAAAAGAGTCGGTGTGGCGAGACAGAACGCACTTTGTTACACTAAATCGAAAACGAATGGAGGTGGTAGTGGGAAGAAGAAGAAATTTTGAAGAAGAAGAAGAGGAAGTGATGAAAAGTAAAAGAAGAGGAAGAGCACAATTGAGACAGGTGTGGAAATAAATTGAAAAAGGATCAGATAGATTTGAAGATTTCAAAAGTAATAATAGATTTCTTTTTATGGCTTGCAGTTGAAAAACAGAACAAAAAGGTCCAGATTTTCTGCGTCTCTAAATTTTGTTTTGATCTTTTTAATAGGCGAAAAACTGGTGGGTCAAAAAAGGTATGGAACAATTTTGAGGGCAGGACTACCTCTCATTTTGGTAAAATTCCAAAAATATCTGAAAATATTTGGATATGAAAAACAATTCTATAAAGATCGTCTATAAAGAAGAGAGGAATACTGCAAGTTTAGGCTTTTTAAAAAAAGAGTGATAAAACTATTTCTGATTGTGAGGTAAAATTTAACTGTATCAGTTCTAAGAAATGGAAAATATTCATGTAAGGTTCAAAGGATGGTATTTTCTTCGGATCTCAATGAGATGTTGAAAATTTAGAAAAAAACTATTTTTCGATAATTTAAATTCAATTATTTGAATTTTACAATCAAACCAAATTTAAAGAAACAATATGAAAAGTTACATAGATTTTCAAAAAACTGAACTTCAAAATAAATATTGAATGAAACATGATTTGAACTGAAAATGATTACGGCCAGCCATAAAATTGAGTTTTCAAAAATAACAAAAATGAAAATGCCACTTTTTATCATTTTTCAGAACGCACTTTAAGCTTCCAACACAAATGGAATTAAATCTGACAAATTGATAAGAAAGAATCACAAATATATTTTTTTAAAGGTAAACAAAACTGCCTGCCACAAATTTTTGGTCGTGGTTGGACGAGTTTCCTCGAAAGAACAACTAATTAGTATTTGAATTAATATTTGAAAAGGTTTTGATATCATAAATATCGTTTGGATAGGTGAAACTAGTTGAAATGAGCTAACGATCAAAGTAATGATCAGTCAGAGGAACTTCAAGTGCTCACTTATGCACAACAATAGAATTAAGAAATTAAGCAAATTTGAAGAAAGAGAGATGTTCTGTTTCTCAGATGCTCTGTATGGGGAACAGTGTTGCAACAGACAACGTAGCACACGGACAATTGTTACCAATCGATAGTATGCAAATAGTGTAAACTGTGCTGTGTTCCTCCGAAGGGCCACCGACTGCACTGAACCGATAGATAGTGTGGGAAATGGAAGAGAGTGAACGAGAGAAAAAGAGAGGCAGACGGATGGAGACACCCCGTTGCGTGTGCGAAACAGAGATGGAAGAAAAGGACCGCAACCGACTTTCTCTCTCGATTCTCTCAATGCCGTGTCTGTGTCTTTTCACTTGAGTTTTCGGCTGCAGAAATGCCGAGACGCAGAGAGCGGCCGATTTGTGCGTCAGCTAGGCAATTTATTGACCTCTCGTTTGGCTAATTTGGAGGTATCAGAGGATGAGAAAAATCTGAAAATGGGATCTTCTGGGATACATTATAAATGGACAGAATTCCTGAATACAAATCATTATTCAGGAACACAGATTTTCACACAAGGAGGGAACTACCAAAATCAAAATGATGCCTTTTAAAGTCTTCAGATGTTTGAAAGACTAAACATTATAGAATTAAGATTTCTGCAATTAAAGCATTTGTAAAACCTAAACTGAATTTCTTATCATCAAGCTGAACGTTCAGATTTTTCAAACCAAAATCTCAACATTTCAACCAGGTAGCACTACAGACTTTCAAAAATTGGGAACGGCTAGACTTCTATTTAGGAAAAATTCAAATTCATATTTTCTGAATAAGTCTAACGTTTATCTTATTATCAGAATCATTCTTCAGTGATTTTTTCGAATCTGCTTTTCTTTAGTACCAGAATACAAAACTTTTATCTTGATAAAAAGTTAAAAAGTAAAAGACTATGAAGATCAATCATCTATTTGTTTTCAGGGCTGTGGTTGGGATATAAGGGAAATTGTGTGGAAAAAAACGAAAGTTTGCACTCGGCAACTTACAAGTACTATTGTGACGCGACACTTTTTTTTCCTTTTTGCAAAGTGAACATTTCTCGAGAACATGTTCTTTTTCAAAACAGAAAAAAAAGATGAAAGTTGGAAGGGAGGAATAGAAAGTGATTTTGATACCTTGTTTTGCCGCGCAAATTCAGAAATGAATGGGAATTTGAAAGCGAGGGAAAATAGTTGAGATGGGAATCTTTGAGGGTGGGAAGACGAAGGTCGTTTTATAAATTTGTTGTTGGGATTGTTTGAGGAGAGTTGGAAAAAGGAAAATATTTCAAAAATGTTGTTCCAAAGAAACCAGTGTACACACAAAATTTAAAATTCAACAGGGCAGATTACTCTGAAAATGTATAGTGGGAGTTTAAAAGGTGGCTATGAGATATGAAGACAAAAGGATCGTTGCTAGACCCAAATGTGATGTTTTGAGCGAATACAACTAGAAGATAAAAAATTCCAATGTTTAATTTTTTCGAAAAAAATTGGTTTGGAGTAGGAAATATGATTAGCACTGTTTTTAAATAGTATAAGTTATAGATGGATATAACAATGAAAACTATAGCATACTTGTGGTATAGTGACAGCAACTTCGCTGTTTACCAAACTTTTTATATTTCAGATATTCCAGTGACTCTCAATTTAGTGCTTATTCTGGAAGTTTTGGCACTTTTTTGGTTTCAAGCGGCATACCTCTTTTGGATCATTTATTTTAAAAAATTGCGAGCAATAAAATAAACCTTTAGTTTACTTTTGTCGATGTTCTTTTCAGAATTTTTCATACTTCCCTGTTTTAATAAAGATTATGAAACAGAAGTGATGTTGCTTCTTGCTACCAAAATGGTTTAGGATTTTGAAACGAGTATCAATGGTTTTTCAGGTGTTTTTCGTTTTTAAAGGCAAATTTTGTTTCTAATATTAGTACAAAAATCTATCAGATCCCTGACACGACATCCAAATTCAAAATTTTCAAACTTCCGGAACGTCTTCTTCTTCCTCATCACTTGACACCCTCTTTCTATTCACTAAAGTCTCAAGTGCTCAACCGCCATTGGTATCAAAGCGATCCTAACGAGCCACTACCCGTATATCGAGATGGTCCCTTTTCGAACAATTAGGATTACCCTTTGATAATTGGACAAGAGAGTGTGAGAAGCGAAGAGACGAAGAGACGAGTTGGGTACTTATCCGGTAATCAACAAGTGTTTGGAATACAATGAAATGATTTGGAGAAAGGAGGAGGAGCCGGAGAAATGCATTCAGGTTTCGATAATTTTGTGTTTTATCCTATAACACTCTCGTCTAAAATTGCCGTTTTATAAATCTTAAATTTTATAAATCTTTTCATTAAAAAAATAAAAAATAAATTACAACCCATTAAAATTTCATAACTCCATAAAAACTGAGCAATTTTTTTGTGCTGAGATTACGTCCTAAACTCTCGATTGCTGCAAATTTTTCAAAACCCCACAAATTTCGGAAAACCAAAGTTTTCAATCAAAGCTTGGGAAAATTATTTCTGAACAAAATATTCAAAATTCGAGATTGCGATTTTAAAAAAGTTCAGAAATTAACCATCGTTTTAAAACTAGATAACCTTCCACAAGTTTTGCAGAATTTGGATTTTCAGCGGAAACCTTTTCATAGCAAATACCACAAATTGAAACCTGGTGTGCTCCAGTTGATTCCGAGTATTTGAAGTTACTAGGAAATGAGTTTTGTAGCTTTCATTAATAAAGTAAAAAACTGACTATGAGAAATTCCTACATTTAAGGTTACGGTAGTTCTCGTTGTGGGACGTTCGGCCATGGCCATATTAGTATCTCTTCCATATCTCCAATTATTTTGCAATAGAATGGTTTTTAACTTTCTAGAATACCAAAAAAGCCTTTCTGATTCATTCTTTCGGTTTTTTCAAACTCATCTGAAGTTTTTCTAAAGCCCAGTTTTTTTTAAAATTCACGACTATAAACTTCGTTTCCGTTTTAAGAACCGTTTTTAACTTTCAAAAGTCACTAATTCTTCCCTCTTCTTCCCAATAAACTGCCACTTTATTCCATCCAAGCTCTTCTCTATGTCCTAAATGTCAACTGAACATATGCAACATATGTGTCAAAAGAGCTCTTATTTCGGATCCTCCAGAATCTTTCCCACCTTCCAAAAAACGCCCTCCTCTTTCTTTTTTCTAATCTTCCGATGCTTCTGTTCCGGAGCCAGTTCGAAGAGCTCTTCTCATATTCTTCACTTTTTGATTGGCGAGCACTTTTGTGAAGGATCTCTCTACTGTGGGAACCGCCCGACGCATATCATGGGGGAGGCTAACAAATAACACTCCTGTTTTTTTCATTCTCATTCGTAGTTTGATTCTTCCTTAACTTTCCTATATTCCTCCAAATCGTTAAAGCCGACGGATTACTGTAGCTTCTCCATTTTCGCTACTCAAGAGTGTAAGTATCTCTTGATAACTGACTCTATTGTCCGGCTGAAAAGAGAGGGATCGTCAACTTTCTTTCTGAATTTCTTTCGAGTGCTCTTCTTCGTCTTCTGAAGACTCTTGATTGGGGTCTCCGGAAGGATGAGGAAGGAAATAGTGTGTGAGACGAAGAGAGGCAGTGATAAAAGAAAAGTGAACAAGTTGGGACCAGTGTCTCAAAAACGTTTTGAGTGATCTTTCAATTTTTCCAAAATCTCGAGTCGATCTGAAACTTCTTTTGGTGTTTTCAAAACCATAATTTTCTGCTGCTTGCAAAAATTCTGTATCAATCGGTAACCATAAACCCTCATTCTTCCATTGTAAGCCTTCAGTTGACAAGACTCACTTTAGGAATCTAGCCTCCTTCTCATCCGTTTAGAGTCCGTGTCGACAACGACAATCTACGATTCTTATGAAATTACGCACCGCCCGTGTTTGGTGGCAAAGTCTTCCTTCATTCGAACCGGAATTCGATTTATAAGCTTTCCGAATAGAAGATGATACGGTAGCTGTGGGGACACAAACCCAATAAGACAAAAGAGAAGAAGTTAGTGGCTGAGCTGAAGCGGCAATCAGTGGAAGAGAGACGAAACTGAGAACGAATTTGAAGATCCGCCTCTTTTGTTTTGAAGAAACAAGGAGAGACTTCACAAAACCAAAAGCACACTAAATTCTCGTTTCCGAAATACTATTGAGCTTCAGAAGCGATTCTGGTAGACGGAACAACCGAGGTGTTTTAGAATCTGTTCTTTCTAGTTTTTTAAAATCCCTATGTGGAAAAATGCGGAGAAAGAGTCCTGTAAATTATTTTTCATTATGAATTGTACTAAAGAATCCTATTTTTCTAGATGCCTAGGAAAACAATAAGAAGCTGTATTCAGAATAAGTTGTTTTCCTAGTTTACTGTTTTCTGCGAATTGTTTTGAACGCGAAACTACAGCAATAGTCTACAGCAGTATCAGATTCAGTTTCATGAAAAAATTCTGGTTCTTGGAAAAGTTCCCCGAAATTCTCGACTTACCCCATCTTTCTGTGATCCTAATTTTTAATTCGAAACTTCATCATTCAATATTTCAGGGTCCCTATATAATCTTCTGGTTCTTCGTCTGGATTCTCAACCCCCACAGCCCAAGAGATGAGCGAAAAAGAGGTACAGTAGTCCCAGACTCTTCCCACTATTAGCCCCGCCCATTTCTGTCTTGGTCCCAACCAATCCTTAGAAGATTGTCACATCTAACTTGTTTCCTCTTTCAGTCACCATCTCCGCAACATAAAAAAGATGAGGTGGTGGATGATACGGAACAAGAAACAAAAGATTCTGAAGATGATGCTACCAAAAAGATGAAGATCAAAGAAGGCTCAAAGTTCACCATGAACAGTATTCTATCCCCGTTGGAGAGCTTAGGTAAGTCGATTCTCCCCCGACTGAATTTGTTTTTTTTTTCTTGTTTCTCTCCATCACCAAAGATTCCCGCTTGAGTCTTGAATCAAAAGCAATAATGGGTGTGAAGTGGTTGCTCAAGGAGTCTCTTCACTTCTTTCTCCTTTTACTATCTCTATAAAATTCGTTCGATTGCAGCTCGTGTACAGCAACAACTACTCAAAATGGCTGCCGCACAGTCCGGATTCGGTGGAAATGGATCTGGAGGAAACGGAGCCAATGGCTTCCCGTATCCGGCTAGATTTGCAACTAATTGTTTCAGTGGTCCTTTTCCTGGATACAATGGATCACAGGCAATTGGTATAATGGAAATGATGCGAGATTTGCCGCGGCTGCAGCTTGTAAGTGTTCATAAAATTTTTGGAATCAGATCTTCGATTTTCAGTGCTTCCTTGTGCTATTGATCCTGTACGATCTGCAATCAATCACCAATTTTCAATGAGCCAAAGAAGAAAACGAAGAGTTTTGTTTAGTCAAGCACAAGTTTATGAATTGGAACGGAGGTTCAAGCAGGCTAAATATTTGACAGCTCCTGAAAGAGAGCAACTTGCCAATTCGATTCGTTTGACACCTACACAGGTATAAAAAGCAAGAGATAATCAGAAGATTTGATTATTTTTCTAGGTCAAAATCTGGTTTCAAAACCATCGATACAAATGTAAACGTCAAGAGAAGGAAAAAGCAATGAGTGGTTTGGGACATGGTGACGATGGATGTTCTCCTCCTCCAGGTGATGATGACGATGATGATGAGTAAGGTTTACGAAAATATCTCTCTATCCTTACATCGAATTTTCAGTAAGTATTCAATTGAAATGGATGATAAGGATGATGAGGAAGAAGACGGTGCAAAACCAATGCTGAAATCAAATGGGGTATTTGGGGTAAGTTGCATTAGTGACTTTCTAGATTTCTATCTAAATATTTCAGAACTTCCAACTACCGTATCCCAGCCCTGCAAACGCCGCAGCAGCCGCTGCCGCTGCCGCCTTCAATTTTCAATTCGGAGCTCAAGGACCAAATCCAGCATATTTCATGCGTTGGTGATTTTTCACTCTGATTCTTACTTTCTATGTTTGCGATCTCTTTTTGCTTTTTTTTCGGTCAGATGTTCTAGAATAAAAAATTTATTGAAAGCGCTTTAAAAGTCTCTGATAGTGCTCATCTAAGTGAGATGTATCGAATTGAAAAATTAGATAATCAAAAAAGTAGATTTTATGTAGGTACTCCCGGACTTCATTATCCTCAAGAACTTGTTTTTCAGCTTGTAGTCGACCGGGGGATTTGTATGTTCCGTGAATCGTTTCACCCGCTGAAAAACTGATTTTGAAAAAAAGACAGTGATTTTAGAAAAGTTACTCATTGATTCATTAGAGATCTTGGATATCAGATTGTCTGGAACCCCTTTTTGTTTTAATATATTTGTGAGTTCAATGATTGCAGATTCTCGTTTCTGGTAGTCTGCGCCAATTTTGATAAGATGGTATTCAGAGAATGTTTGGTGTAGGTTACAATTCCTAAAAAATGTATTATGACATTTTGGAGAAACAGATTCTTTTAAATAGCACCTTACCAGGACATCGGCGCAGCATGTTTATCCACTAAAGATGACGTAGACTCATCTGGATTCTTCTCATAATTTTTTAGACTTTTATACACATTTTTCACAACACATCTCATATCATCTCTGCAATCCCAACATCCATTATCACTAGAAGTTTAACATTAGTCAAAGTTTCCAACTCTATGCTCTCACTTTTAACAAATATGTAGATAGAAGGAGATGAACCTATCGAATGGATCTCTGATAAATGCAAACTTTGTGAGGTTTTGAAACTTCGAATCCGAATCCACAATATTTTGAGGGATGTGAAAGTTTTGGTCCTTATGGGAGCATACTCTGAAAAGTTACTTTATTTCAAACTTTAAAGGTGGGGGGACATGAAAAAAATGTTCTCGAAATTCCGTTCAAAGATGCCCCTCGAGGAGTTGAACTTGTGAGGGCGATGATTGAGGGTGCGGCGCCGCAACCGACTGAGCCACGCGGGCAAAGAGAAAAGGGTACGCCCGATTGCATACATAAAGGCGAGGACGACAGCTGTACGCAGAGTGACATTAAGCGTTGTACACCGTGACGGTAGAATGCATACTCTAGCTACAAAAAAACTACGAAAAATCTCCTGTCCCCCCACCTTTAAACAATATAACAAGTAGTGAATTTCAAAATTTTTAATTTTAACATCAAAGTACTGAAATTTCAAAAATTTTTGTGAGCCACGTGAATCTTTCGAATCTCCCAAAAGATGGACCGTTAACTTTTTGGGAGCAACGTGTTTTTTCAACAAATATAACAGAACTATTAACACTTTCCGAATATTTTTCCCAAAATTAAAACTTTTGAAAATCACTACTTGTTATATCAGTACCTTTCAGACATCCAGGTGTCATTTAAAAATCTCTCTTGATTTAGAAACTCTGTTTCATTGTGTACCAGACACATGATATTAATTAAAAGTTGAGACATTGATTTGCGAATTCCACATGATTAAATATTATATTTTGGAGGAATCTGAAAACCAAACTGAACCGGTTTCAACAAACGACTTCTTACAAATATTATGCTTGTCTGAGAAAAAAAAAGGTTGAGACGCAGAGAAAAAGTGTCTACGTCTCCACCGTTTGTGTGCTATTTAGGCTCTCCGCTTCGATATCGCTACCGTATTCAGACTGCAAAAAATACTCTCTAACCTTTTTTTTTCTCAGACAAGCATAATAAGTCAGATCGAATATTGATGTAAGGAGGTATCAACCCTGTTGAAAAATAAAGATCTCTGAATTGTTTAGTTTGTGCTGTGAATCCATAATAATACATTAGAACCAAAAAATTTACAGCGAATGCTCGAAGGATGATTTTTCGTTTTACCCTGAAAATTTAGTACAGGAACCTAGTGGACTACGGTAACCTACCCTTCCTCTGATTTTCTCAAAATTTGCAAATTGTTCAATAAAAGCACTGCGGCTGGACTTGATCATCTCATCTGATGTCCTAAAATGGTATTGGAGTACGGTCGTTTCTGTTTGATATGAGATGGATACAACTGGAGAATGTGCGCGTTGTTTGAAAATGCAAACATTTTTGGAAAATCGGTGAAAATGGAGAGAGAAAAGGGGAAGATCAATGGCAAACATGGAACATCAAATACGGATTGACAATCATCATAAATCACATCCTATTGTGTTGGTCTCGGTTGAACTTTTGAAGAGCAAGGTAGCATGGAAACGATCGAGTCGGAACTGTGGAAGATAAGCGGCTTTGACCGTGGCCAAATGTTTCACGACGACAACTATAGTAACCTAAAAATATTTATTTTCCTCGTTGTTTACTGATTTTCGTCGATTTTTGTGTTATTTTCCCCAAACAAGTCTTAAAATTAAAAATTCTGACAGTGAAAGAAATTGACTGAAGAAGTAAAATTTTTTAGGTTACTGTAGATCTCGTCGTGGAACCATCGGCCACGGCCACCGGCGTTTCTCTTCCACCGCTTTTTTTTTTTGTACCAAAATAATAAGTTTCGTGTCAATTCCTTGTTCAATCCCCAAACTATTGCACATTCACAGTTTCTTTCCCGGTATTCACTCTAAGCCGCATTTTTTTACAGAATTAGATAAATGTTTTTTAATTTTTGAAAAAAAAATCTCTAAAACTTTTTGCAGACGGAACAGTTTTCATTGTAAGATATAGACAAATAGATTGAAGGGACGCATCAAATTTTACTCATTATCTCGTATTGGACACTGCAAACAAAATAAATTAATAAAAATAATTTGTATTATGAAAACAAGGGACGAACAAAATAAAGTGACTCAAATGCTGTTTTTTTTTCGAATGGGCACTCTACTTACTATTGCCTGGGAATGAAAACAAGAGAGATGTGTCATAATATTTGCAGAAATTCGCTTCTCAATTGAGGACCGCGACATGTCACACAATTACCATAAAGAAAACGCTGCAGATGGTCCTGAAGACATCCCGGTGTTTAAAAGTGTTTGAAAAGCACATTCGAATGATTTTGTTATAGCTTCTTTTCTGGAATGGTGCCTCTAATTGAAGGGCACTCCGTGCTAGACAGGCACTCCTCGAATTGCGGTTTTCGTGGTGGACCTCAAAAAATATATTGCTAATGTGCCCTTCAACTTTACAGACCGGTCATTTTTACTTCAGTTTCTCCATCAATCCTTTTCATTATTTTGCGACTTCCAAACCAACTTCTTTTCCCTTTCTATCGCTTTTTGTTTTAATAAATATCAGAAAGTAAATCTTCCTTCAGTCAAAAAGCCAATAAGCTTTTATATTATCTTCATCAAATGATATTTTCCCCAGTCGACATTGATCGACAACAGAATGCCAGCTGTCGTTAGTCAGAATCGCAAATCGAACACCTGCTCTTTTTTCCTTTTCTTCTGAATCACCCCTTTGAATGTTTCGTTCATTTCATGAATATAGTATAAATTTTACACAGACGCAGATTACAATTATATCGCTGATTTTTATTGAAAAAAGTATTTATAAAAAGAACACCCTTTTTATTCATAAAACCGCGGATTTCCTCACCTCAAATGCGCCAGTGGATCTATGGCGTACTCTTGTCTTCTCTTTGGCGCAAAACTTGTTCAATCCTCTGTCACTTCAGTTCTCACGAACACTGCCGGTTTTGTCGATTACAATATTAAATATGAACAGCTTCCTCAAAGCATCTAAAATATGAAAATTTCAGTCATATGTGGCCTCGCAATGATGTCCAAATGGACGAAGGATCGATGACGCCAGAAGACCAGGAACCGGAACCTGCCATTGATCAGGACATGGAGTTCGATGTAAGTACAACTAGGCCAGATGCTTCAACATTTTCTTCATTCGAAACGTTGCATTTGTTTAGGTTAACTTGGAAGAAAACTCCTACAGCAATGGCTCTGGCTCCAGCTACAATGCTGACAAGCTATCATCGTATGTTCGAAATCCAGCCAGAAAACGAGCAAAAAGAAATAGTTCCAGCCCACTTCAACATAAGTTGGACTTATCCGCTTCACCGACACAGAATAATGAAGCGAATCCACGGGTTGAACATTTGGTTGCATTATTTAAGGTAAACAGGAAGTGATGACCCATACCCGGCGATAATGTTAACAGCGCTATCGATTTTTGCCGGATTGGCGAAAACTATCATTTTCGTTCAGTTATATAGCGATGTATGACGATAAATAACGAATGCATGGAGGAACGATGTTCTATTGATTTTCAAAGCATTCCATTAGTAGAATTTTCCAGGACCTCACTGTTGCTGAACAGATGGAAGCTTTTGCCCGGCTGGTTCAGGAATCCAATATGTCAAACATCCGTCAAATGCGAGCTATCATAGAACCTCATTTTCAGAAGGATTTCCTTTCTTGTCTACCCGTAGAGGTATTAGGAATAGATGGGAATCTGATATTACAATTTGATATTTTTTTTTTCAGATTGGCATCAAGATTCTACAGAATTTGAATAGCACAGATCTAATGAAAGTTGCGCAAGTGTCGAAGAATTGGAAAATGTTGTCAGAAGTGGAAAAGGTTTGGAAAAGCCTTGAGGATAGAGGCTTCAAAAATCTACTTGAACCAAGGTCCGATTTCATAACCTTTTGGTCAAAACTTTATAAAAAATTTTCCAGTGATCGCACTCGAGGTGCCTGGGAAGCTACTGCCGTTATCCCTGGTGTAAATATTCCTGATCACGTAAACCAATGTGAAATCAATATCCATAGACTGGTGAAGCTCCTAAAGTATGGACCGATTTACGAGCGCTCCGCGGACAAGTCTCGTTATCTTCGTGGCGAAAAAATCGAGAAAAACTGGCATTCAAGACCTATTATGGGATCAGCTATTCTTCGAGGACATGAAGAACATGTAATAACATGCATGCAAATTCACAATGACTTGTTGGTCACTGGATCTGATGACAATACTCTGAAAGTGTGGTCTATTGATGACGGAGAAGTCAAGCACACTTTGAACGGTCACTCTGGTGGTGTTTGGACATCTCAGATCTCTCAGTGCGGTCGATATATTGTCAGTGGATCCACAGATCGCACTGTTAAAGTATGGCGCGCTGAAGACGGCTTTCTTCTTCATACACTTCAAGGACACACGTCAACTGTTCGCTGCATGGCGATGGCAAATACAACGTACCTTTTCGTTGTTATTCATATAATTGTAATTCAACTGATTACAGATTGGTAACTGGATCTCGCGACTGCACTTTACGAGTTTGGGACATCGAGACAGGACTCCATGTCAGAACTCTACAAGGTCATCAAGCGGCCGTGCGTTGTGTGCAGTTTGATGGAAATATTGTTGTCTCGGGAGGATATGATTTCACTGTGAAGATATGGGATGCTTTCTCTGGAAAATGTCTCCGGACACTGATTGGGCATAGTAACAGAGTTTATTCTCTCCTCGTTAGTTTCTTTTTGTGTTATCAATGTATTTTAGAATTCGCTTGTTTCAGTATGAAAGCGAGCGGTCGATTGTATGCTCTGGTTCTCTAGACACATCTATTCGCGTTTGGGATTTCTCAAGACCAGAAGGTCAGGAATTGATAGCGTTTCTATCAGGACACACTTCATTGACATCTGGCATGCAGCTGAGAGGAAACATTCTCGTGTCATGTAATGCTGATAGTCATGTGAGGGTGAGTTATGGTTCAGAAAGACACTACCCTATTAATTGTTTGAACGGTAAGCATGTATCAAGATCAGTTCCATTTTTATAAAAGTGCTTCTGATGTTGCTGTTGTATGGTACATCGCCAGCTGTTTCTACAGTGATCGGTTTCCGATGTCAAACAAAGGTGTGCGCAACGCATCGCTAACATGATTTTTGAAAGTGACAAAAGAACACAAAAATCACAAAAAGCATAATTACAGTATGCCAGTCTTTTGAAATTCTATTTGTGGAACATACCAATATGTATTTCAGGTTTGGGACATCTACGAGGGAACGTGCATTCACATTCTTTCGGGACACCGCTCTGCAATAACTTCACTCCAATGGTTCGGCAGGGGTTTGGTGGCCACCAGTAGTGACGATGGAAGTGTGAAGCTCTGGGATATCGAACGAGGTTTGTGTACTTCATTTTTCATTTTGTGCACAGTTGAACTCTTTCCAGGCGTGCTCATCCGTGATCTCGTCTCATTAAACTCGGGTGGTAACGGAGGATGTATATGGAGACTTTGTTCCACCCAGACGATGCTCGCGTGTGCAATTGGCTCTCGTAACAATACCGAAGAAACCAAAGTGATCCTTCTTGATTTTGATGCTAATCATCCATAAATCGCTTAGCTGGTTCCTTTTATAGGAACAGCTTTGTATATTATCTTCCCCTCCAAACTACATCACACTTACTTATCATATCATGGAGTATAATCGCCGTCTTTTCTTTCTCAGTATTCGAATTGCCAGAAGTCTCTTCTATGTAACTTGATCCATGAGTCCCCTTCGCTTTTATTCCATCTTTTGGTTTCCCCCATATCTCGGGTTTTTTTTAAATTGCTTCTCAAAATTTACTACTGGATTTTAGAATTGATCCTCTCTCTTTTCAACTGAATTGTATCCAAATCCTGATGTATGTTTTTGTGCTTTATTCTATGTCATATAATTTCTCCGTTTTATTCCTTTCCGTTGAGCTTGTTCTCCGTTTTAGTTAGTGCCTTTCTGATTTATCATTGTGAAAAAACTAGTTAAAAGTTTTTCTCAAATCGCCAAAAAACGACAAACCGTTTCTTTGCCCCCGGCTTTCCGTCCAACCATGCCATTGTCATGCAACCTTTTTTCCGTAATAATAATATCCCAAGTATGGTGAAAATCGTCTTTTGCCCCAAATAAACCCGAGTGATGATAGTTCTAAACACTTGTCAATATTTTGAAGTTCTTATCTGCCTTGAGTAGAGATTGTAGTTTTTTTTCAGAAAAAAAGTGAGAATTGTATGAAATTCAGTTGGAGAGCTCCCGTAATCCTTCACCGAACCATCAGAAAGTATTCAGAAAGCAAGCTCAAGTCACCCGCTTACATCATGGATCCAATTGAGCCGAAGCTTATGAAAATAGATAATGAAGATTTTCGGTAGAGTATCGAAACTCAAAAAACTGGACAATTTGAAGTTTTCAGAGCTCTTTTCACCCCGCAACTCTTGAAGCTCCGAGATTTATTCGCCAAACGAAACTACGAACTTCGAATCGCGGGCGGTGCAGTCCGCGATCTTCTAATGAATATTCGACCAGCTGATGTTGATTTTGCAAGTACTGCAACGCCAACGCAAATGAAGGAGATGTTCGAACAGGAGAACATTCGAATGCTTCATAAGCGAGGAGAGGAACATGGAACGATTACTTGCCGAATTGATGAAAAGGAGAATTTCGAGGTTGGAAAAAGAAGTAAAAAGAATAAGAAAAAAACAATTCTTCAGATCACAACACTTAGAATTGACGTCGTCTGTGACGGAAGACGTGCGAAAGTGGAGTATACCACTGACTGGCAACTCGACGCAAATCGTCGAGACCTCACTATCAATTCCTTGTTCCTCGGTATCGCTTTCTTTTAAAAGCATGTCAATCTTTCCATTTCCAGACCTCCATGGAAACGTTGTTGACTATTTCGGCGGTATCGGAGACATCGAAACTCGTCGCGTGGCTTTTGTTGGAGACGCCCGTCAACGCATCCAAGAAGATTATCTTCGAATTCTGAGATATTTCCGATTTTTCGGACGTATTTCCAACTCACCAGACCATGAGGCAGACACTATTCAGGCTATCATTGATAACAAAGATGGAATGAGTGGAATTAGCGCTGAAAGAATCTGGACTGAATTGAAGAAGATCGTGATTGGAAGAATGGCAGATGATGTTGTGAAAGCGATGATTGAACAATGCGAGTTGCAAAAGTACTTGGGCTTGCCTGAAGAATGCAATATTACAAGATTCCGTCAGGTATTGATATGTAGCAAAGCAATACGTTAAAGTTTCTGTTTTAGATCTTCAAGCGTTTCCCAAAATCCGTAGAGCCTATGACAATGGTTGCTAGTCTCTGTGAAGGTGTAAAGCAGATTGCACAGTTTCATAAAATAACAAAACTATCAAACGACGAACGTTTTCTAGGAGAATTCATCTTAAGAGAGCGAGAGGCCGCATTGGAAAACATGAATAACGATGACTGGTGGATCGATCGAATGGTCGATTTGGAAGTGCGACCTGGTCACGAGAACCTTCCAGATCGTCTCCGCCTTCGACTTGTTCAACTTGCAAGAAGTGTTTTAGCTGATGACGAACGAATCGAGATGCTCCAGAAATTCACACCTCCACAGTTCCCGATCACAGGGCGAGACTTGATGGAAGCGGGCGTTCGAAAAGGCCCAGGAGTGAAGAATGTTCTCATCTACCTCTACGAATTGTGGAAGACATCCAGGTTCACATCAACCAAAGAAGAGCTTCTGGAGCGGGCCAGAGACTCGGATATACCAGATTTATCCAAGAAGCCGAAATCTCCGATGCATTAATTTTTTTTGTTATGTTTTCTGTTGCTTTATCTGTTCTCAATTTTCCGGTATTTATAAACAAAAACACCTCTGTTCTGTTCGCATTCCCAATATCAATCGATCCCCACATTACACTGTGCTCTCATCATGTCTTCTTCTTCTTCTTCTCCCACCCCAAGGGGTCACGACTGGAGTCTGATTAATCATAAAAATACATCCGTCAGCTGGTCTGAACCCTCCGCCTCTTCTGTGATCTTTCTCTTCGATCAAGATGCGAGAGCACTTTGGACCACAAAAAACCCTGGACTCGTCTCGCAGATTCGGACTTTTTTGTGCTTCTTTGACTCAGTTTCGATTTCATTTTAGTATCATTTTGCAGAAGAGATGTCACGGAATTCGTGTATCTATTCCGTGATTTTTCTGTTGCTATCCATCGGGAATTTCGCCGCAGAGAATTCCGAAGAATCTCATCAACCAGCTGGAATTTATGTCAGATTGAATCAGAAGGCGGTGGATTATGTAGCAGGTTTGATTGGATATTTTGGTTTCGATAGATGAAAAAAAAATTAATATAGAAATGATTAAAATTATTCTGTGTTTTGGTGCAGATTTGATTGAAAAAACACAAGGAAATTCCGGAATTTTGTTTAGGGATTTTTGGAAAATATTTTGTTTTCTGGTATTAAAATTGGAGCTTGTTTTGTTGAAACATAACTTAAAACACGACGAAAATCAGTGGAAAAATGAATTTAGAAAATAAACATGTTTGTAGATTACTGTAGTTGTCGTTGCGGGACCTTTGGCCATGGCCAACGGTGTTCCTCTTCCACAGCTCGGATTGTTTGGTATTAGCATAACGTCTTGGTGCAGAGTAGATAGAAAATGTAAAAAAGTTCCAAAACATTATTCAAGGATTTTTGAAAAAAATTATTTCAGAAAGAACACCATACATTTTCCTGAAAAAACCATAAACCTTTTCTACAAACATCAAAAATCAAAAACCTTGTTGTCTATTATTTTCTAGATCTGGCTTCTGATGCTCTCCCAGCGATTCTTAACAACCTGAGCCCACCAGATATCAAAACTGACATTGCTACAATTTCGAAACTTCACATTTCGAATGTGGCCAAACCGAATATCAGTGCAAAGTTTATGAATGAAAAAGGAGTCGCCTATAACATCACTTTGGCCTCTTTCCGCGCGAGCGCTTATGCAGAAATCAGTGTTTTCTTGTGGACTTATGAGGGAGATTTCACTGCAGAGCTCAAGGAGCTCTCGATCCAATCCGAACTTCATTTTGACTATAACGAAACTACCACCGTGACGGTAAATCGAATCAATAAGGGAAAGAATGAATCTACTGTATGTTTTTAGGCTCCAGTGTGCAATGTGACTCAATCGGAGGTTTCATTAGTGTTCCCACCGGGATCCGGTTTGGCTTCTCTCCAATCAGAGATCAAGGGACAAATCGTCTCTGCTATTCGCGACGCCGTCTGTTCCACTGCCGTTGATGCTTTGACTTTTGTCATGGCTCAGAAACCAATTCCACCCGAAAGTCCGAATTACGAGAAACCGTCTGGAGGAGATCCAAACGGATTCAGTGTTGCAGAGCTAGGAGTATCTTTGTGCAAGCCGGATTCTTTGAAAGACGATGATACTGAAGAAGTCTCCACTACCACTGCTTCTCCAGACGATAATTCCACGTCTACTGGTGAAGATAGTTCACCTTATTGGGGAGTTGACTTGTCTGTAAATCATCCACCAACATTCACTGATGAGGTACAGTATACTACAGCACCATAAAACAACAAAGTTGTCTGACTCTTTATTCCAGGACATGATCATCGGTCTTGATGGAGGAATTATGTTCAATGGCTGGAAGGCTGGATCTGCTCATTTACCTCAAGTTCTGAACAAGACCAGATTAGATAAGAAAATGGTTGGAATCCTTCTATCCGAGTACATTCCAAACACCCTCTTTCACCACATTTATTTGTACGACCTTGGAAATTTCAGACATCGGTAATGACTTATTCAAAAAGGTGATAATCTCATTTTTTATTTTCAGATACACCCCCGGATCCCTTCCAAAGATCCTTCAAAAGCTCTCCAGAGCAGTCTGCTCAAAGTGCTACGTTGAAGTGTCTGCAAATTTGACAGAGTGAGCATTTAGCTGTAGCAGGTGGTAGAAATAGAGAATTCCAGGCAACCAAAATTACAAATCGATGCCAACCTGGGAGCCAGAGTTCAGTTGTCTGGAAATGTTTCAATTATGTTCCGTGGAAGAGAAAAGCTTCATGATGTGTTGTACGCCAATACCAAGTTGCATGTGACGGTAAGAAGACGATAATAGGCAATCTCTGAAACCGAATTTGCAGCTGAAACCTACAGTAAGACACTCGAGAGTTTTTGGAGATGTGTCGCTGACCAATGTGGATGTCAATGTTTTTGATGTGCGTTCTAGAAAATAACATACATCCTGAAGTTCTGAATTTTGAATTTCAGCTTGGTCTCGGTGGTCCACTCGCTGCTCCAATCGAGAAACTCTTCTCATTCGTCGTGCCACGTGTCCTCTGGCCTCAAGTCAAGAAGCGTCTTCGCTTCGCTATGAACCGTCGTGGTGTCAAACTTCCAATCTTCTGCGGCGTAGAATTAGAACACACCGAACTGGATTTCGTTGATCATGCTGTTCTTCTGAACACGGACTTCTCATTCGACTTACCACTCTTTCTGTCTAAATTCAAGAGATATCTGGAAGTGAAGAGCAAGTTCAACCCAAATCTGCCCAAATATGTGAATGTCTGATTTATTTTCTCTTCATCTTTTTGAATTTTTTTTGTTATTCCAATAAAAAACCTGTCTGACTAAACAGTGACGAAAATTAAGCTCTTGACCATCCGAAGGAAACCAAGTATACAAAACTTTGGCTAATTTCCTACTAGGAAATTGCTTTTTTGTTTGAGACTCTGAGAATCGAAAGAAAAACATTGAGGCACAAACTGATGACTTTATTCATGTTCACTCTACGCTTTTTGTTCTCCAAAACATATTTTTCAGATATTTTTTTTTCAGAAATCACCATTTCGTTACAAACATCTTTTTCGTCACAAATGTCAAACTACGAGTGTCTGAAGGTTTTCGTACAATGGACTTCCTTTTTGTGTTCTCTCGTTTTCAACTCAATTCTTATTTTTCTCATAATCACAAAGTCACCAAAGAAAATGGGAAACTATCGGTGGCTTATGATCTACTTTTCCTGTTTTGCCATCTTTTTTTCAACTTTGGATATGATTGTGGGACCGGTGAGGGAAAACAAGATATGTTAATCGGGAAAAAGAGAAATTTTAGTTCATTCATGCTCATGGAACAAGCGCGTGTCTGTTGATGAGAAGAAGTGAACCTGAAGACGTTGCAAATGTTCAGTATGTACTTTTAAGTAAGTGGAATGAGTAATTAGAAAAATGTGATTTATTGACTCTAACTCTGTTCACTAAACTGTAAACACTCTGATAGAATACTTTCCAAATCGTCTCCGTTGAGCCCATGTTCTCATTTTCTGTAAAAAATATCGAAAAATCGGTCAACAGACAAAATGTTTATCATAATCTCAAACATATTTTGTTAGTTCACCACTTTTTTTATGTCTTACACAGGAACAGAGATAAATGGATTTAACGTTGAAAGACAGGGAGGTCATTAAACTTGAGTGTTTGGAGTATGTTTTTTTTTCAACGGACAACTTTTCCCAGTGATGTCAGGAAACAATTCGAAATACAAACTTTTTGAGTCCTGTTGATATAGAATACTTTGAAAAGTTTTCAGTGAAATTGAATCAGTATTTTACAGTACTTCTTTGTTCTTGCTTCGGTGTGACCATCACTTTCTTTGCTATTCATTTTGTCTTCAGGTATTTTGCACTAGAAAGGTGAACTACCCAATCTTTTTCAATTACTAATAACTATATTCAGAAGAGGTCGAATCGCCTACTTCGATGGTAAATACTTCCTTATATGGCTAGCCATTCCTGTGGTCTGTGGGACTGTCTGGGGCCTAGCCCTCCACTTTTTTGTCGGACACACTGATGAGACTACGGAATACTTGAGGTAATAGAAATTATGAAATTAAAAATTGAAAAGTTTGTTGTAGAGAAAACATCCTCTACCATTACAACTTGAAAATGAAAGATGTGATCTACGTAGGTGCTTTCTATTGGAGAACTCTAGAAAACGGAAAAACGGAACTAGTGATCTCTACTGCCATAGCTGCTGTAATAATGTTTTCTATAAAGGTATGACTCATTTTATTTGAAAAAAAGTAAGAAATATGTTTTAATGTTCTCCAGGCAACATCGATTTCCGTTGTCTGTTATTATGGTTTCCTAAGCTACCGACGAATTTCTGAATTGCCACAAGAAGGGGAGTCGGCGTTTACCAAGAGTTTACAAAAACAATTATACAAAGCACTAGTTTTACAAGTGATTCAGATTCATTAAGAATTATTTGAAAACAAGAATTTCCAGGCAATGATTCCGATTCTTTTTATGTATCTTCCGATTGGAACATTTCTAATGTTACCTGCTTTTAACGTCAACATTGAATCATTCAGTAAATTGGCAACACTGTTCTATGCAGTGTATCCAGCTGTGGACCCACTTCCATTGTTTTTTGTAATCGATAACTACAGATATGCTTTGAAAGGTGAATGCAATCAAATCTTAAAAAAGACTTGAAACATTTTCAGAGGTTTTCCATGGATGTTCTCAAAAACCAGTACGAGTTTCAGGCACAGAAAATTCGTTGACATAATTTCAAAATTTCGAACTAAACCTTTCGATATTGCGTTTCCTTGAATAAAGTTTTCGTTCGATCTATTGATCAACACTCTGAACATTGAATCCGCATATGACACACGACAAAATTCACCTGGCATATTTTAAAAATCATGAAATAAGAGTTGAGCATAAAATGCTTCCAGAAATTAATTAAATCAAGAAACAACGTTTTCAATGTTTAAAAAACTCATGAAAGTTTTACCGTATTTTCTCAAATAGCAGCCCACCCTAACCGTCAACTTTAAGCTCAATTATCATGATTCCTGAGAAAGATATTAAAATTTTGTCTACTGATAAAATGTTGGTGATATTAGGATGAATAATTTATCAGTTGATACATTTTGATATCTTGCACGTAATTCAAAATAAATGAGCTCAAAGTAGACGGCTTGGGTAGGCCTATATATATATATATATATATATATATATATATATAATGCTCATATTCAATGCTCATTTGGAATTTAGATTTTCGGGTTTTTACGAATGTCGTTTTTGGAAATCTGATTCCTGACACTTAATGAACTTTTTTTTAAATTTCATGTTATGCATGACGTGTTATCATACAGCTGAAGATTTTAGTGCCTCCTACACTTGCAACAACCGGAATAAGACAATGTAGTCAGCGAACCGCCTTTTTCCAGATTTTTCCATAACTACAGTTTAAATTATTTCAGCTGTCATTTTGTTGTAAAAATAGTGAAAAAAATAAAATAGTTGACAAGTAGAATAATCAGACATCATACCAATGTGTGATTAGGTTCTCTACTGATTGAATTTTGAGAATTTCTTTCTGTTTTTTGTCGCTACTACCCTCAGGCTTTATTCTACTTGTATTTCAGTTTTTTCTTAAGTTTATTGGTCAATAAATCAAAATTTCTACTGTTAACAATGAGCCAAGTGTGGCACCAGATGAAGGACAAGGAGAAGATATCCCAGAATTGCCAGCGAGTGATCTTATGGCTCCTGGTTTCTATTGGTTCGCACTTATTTCTTGTTTGATTGTAAGTTTTTTTAAAGATTCAAAGCATTAATTAAAACTTTCAGATAAGTATTTTCGGGTCTACTGTAAACTTTTATCTTTTTTATAAATTTTTAAAACGAGATGGAAAACCAAACGGTTTTCAAAAAATCTGCCTCGTCAAAACTTTGCCAAACTTTGTGATTTGTTTTGCGTTCTTACTTTGGGTTGTTCCAGTTACTGCTTTAGATTATACTTATAGCCAATTACCGTATCGATTAAATAGTATTATTGGAAGTCTAGCAGGATCATGGGCTTATCTTTTCAGTAAGTAACTATCACAAGAAGAAAATGAAATTAAAAAAAAACACATTGTTCAGCTCCATTCCTTCAAGTCAGCCTGTCATGTAACAGATTTTATGTGCTATACTTTCCATTTGGGATCAAAACTTTAAAGCGAGTTCCAGTTACCAATATATCAATTGTCTTGTCAATACTGATAGTATCATGTGTTTGCTCTGTTGGATTACAAGGTTAGTTATAGAAACACTTATTCAATCAAATTTTATTAAGTATAAAAGGGTAAACGATTGAAAAGGCGATGAGAACATAAATGAATTGTTGTCCGATATAATTTGAATTTGGTAGATTAGACTGAAAATAGTAGTTTGATCGAATGAAACTTTCCGTTATTGGGTTATTCATACTTTTTATTTTCATTCCTTATTCCTTATTCCTTCTTCCGGATTTTCAAAAATTTTATTCCGCTCATCTCTGCTACCGACTGTGCCATCAACTATACTGAGCGAGAGCAGCAACTATTGTACACCGTTACGATAGAATACATATCCTAACTACAATAATAATTCCGAAACATCTCCTATCCCCTCCTTTTAAATACATTTTCAATGTACTCACATTTTTTAATATTTCCAGAAACCTGTGGCTACGTGTACGATCCAAATTTCTTCTGTTGGCGTCCGGAAGGTCTTCCATGTTCCGACCAGCTAGCCAAGGTGATTTTAGCCATGATTTACAGTATTACTTTTTCCTCGAACGTCTTCAATGTACTAACTGGAGCACGTCTTTTGGTGAACAAAATGGTTGGAATGAATCAGCAAGAAGCATCTAGAAGAAGAAAGCGATGGATGATAATGTTCACTCAAAGTGTTATTCAAGATTGTTTGCACCTCGTGGATATTATAAATGCTACTTATCTATGGGAGCTGAGTGATGAGCTGTGGTTCCAATTTTTGTTTTTGACACTTTCATTTATTATAATTTATACACTCGATGGGTAGGTTTAGAAATGTGTTACAGATCATCGGAAGTTATGTTTCAGAGTAGTGATGTTTATATTTAACTCTGACATACAACCTGCTTGGTTCCGAAAAGTTATCCAAATGCAACCGGCAAAAAGTGGAAATGTAATTATAGTGGCTTCAAAAGCATCAACTTCAAATAGTGTTCCTCAAGTACGATAATTTGGTTATAATTAATGATTTCTATAAAATGAATGTTACAAATCGTTGTCTGTCAAAAAAATTTCCAGTTTTCTGAAAATGTCCCAAATCGAAATTCAGTTCATATACTAATTCATAGACCTTCTTGAAATTAAAATGTTCTATCTTGAAGTGTTTTTCTTCTACCAACAATTCATACTATGAATTCTAATATCGATTTCGTCCCGCAGAAAATTAAATTCCCCGCAGTTATTTTCATTCTTGTTTGGATTGTCTATGATTGACTCACTCTACACCGGACATTTAATTGAATCTGTCACACATTCAAATTATCGAAATATAACAAAGATCCTGATTCATAAACTCAGTCAAAAACAATCCACCTAGATACCGCAGCAGTCTGCTTTATCGTTCAAGATTCTTTCTACCACTGAAATTGCCCCTCTAGTTGCCGAAGGAGACTATGAAACTCCTGAAGATGGTCCCCTATTCTCTCAAGAATTTTTCATTTTCGCAGTAACATTTTGTTTTATTGTGAGTTAGAAATTTCATTCTATAGTTGAAACAATCAGTTTTAGACAAGTTTCCTTGGCACAATCTGTAACATCTTCCTCCTTTTGAAGTTCGTGAAACTAAATCAAAAATCAAATGGGTTTCAAAAAATTTGCCTAGTGAAGACAATTCCAAATATCATTGTTTGTTGCTCTTTCTTATTTTGGGTCGTTCCACGGACAATTTTTCGTTATACCTATGATGACGTTGCTTACTGGTTGAACAGTTTTATCGGAGCCATGGCAGGAACATGGGCGTATGTTTTGAGTAAGTGGTGGGAGAATTCCAATTATTACTATAAAGTATTTTTCAGCTCCAATCCTTCAAGTATCAATGTTCTGCAATCGATTTTATGTATTATATTTTCCATTTGGTATAAAACCTGTGAAGAAACTCCCAATGACCTACTCGGCGATAGCCTTCGGAATTGTAGTAGTGTCAGTACTAGCAATTTTTTCCTTTCCTAGTAAGTTGAACCAAGTTCTATTACCAAGATCCGATATCATTGAAACTTTCAGAAGGATGCGGCTATGTTTTTGACCCAGAATATTTTCAATGGATACCTGAAGATGATGTATGCGCAGAAAGTATTAATAGGATCGTAATGTTCACCATATTCACAATCACAGTGATTTCTAATAGTTTCAACGTTGCTACTGCAGCTCGTCTTGTGATGAGTAAGGTGGTGGGAATGACAAAACAAGATTCATCGAGAAGAAGAAAACGATGGATGATTATGTTTGTGCAGGTGACAGATTTAATAAAAAATCGTAAAATATAAACATTTTTTAGAGCGTTCTGCAAGACTGTCTCCATATAGTGGATATTATAAATGCGACATACATTTATGACTTAAGTGATAAACCATGGTTTCAGTTTTTGTTTTTGACATTATCTTTTATACTAATTTATACTCTGGACGGGTGAGGCGAAATTCTGGTATAGGGTGTAATGGGCCCCTATTTCAGGTTCATTATGCTAGCATTCAATCAACAATTTTTGCCAACGTGGTGCAGAAAAGGTGCAAATGGAGCGAAAACGTGTCATGGTAGTGTCATGGTAGTGACTTCAAGAGTATCGGTTTCAACAATTTCATGAAGATACATAATCGAAAACATTTTTTGATTTTTTCAATAAATTGAAAAAATTTTGTTTGAATTGTTTCCTGTTTCAAAATATAACAGTTTTCTGAATGTGTGCTCTAGCAAATTCGGTTCGTAGATTTATTCAAAGATCTTGCTCAAATGGATTTTTTCGTCTCTGCATGTTATGAATTTTCATACGTCTTTTTCGTTGAGAGGAAAACATTATTTACCAGGAGTTGTTTTCATTCTTGTTTAAATTGTCTTTAATTGAGTCACTCCACCGCGGAAGTGTAATCGAATCTATCACCCACTCGGTTTATTGAAAAAGAGAATCCCGTAGGCAGTCTGCTGTTCAAGATTCTTCCTACCACGGATATCCCTCTTCTTGCAGAAGGGGACCATGGTCCACTCTTCTCCCAAGGATTTTTCATCTTCGCAGTTTATATTTTGTTTTAGTGTGAGTTCGAAAAATTCCATCCCAGTTGGACCAATCAGTTTCAGACAAGTTTTCTTGGCACCATCTGTAACATTTTCCTCCTTATAAAGTTCGTGAGTCAAAATGAAAATGGAAATGGGTTTCAAAAAATTTGCCTAGTGAAGACAATTCCAAATATCATTGTTTGTTGCTCTTTCTTATTTTGGGTCGTTCCACTGACAATTTTTCGTTACACCTATGATGATGCTTCTTACTGGTTGAATAGTTTTATCGCGGTTATGGCAGGAACGTGGGCGTATGTTTTGAGTTAGTTGTAAAAAGACTACCATCATCGATGTAAAACTTTCCAGCTTCAATTCTTCAAGTATCAATGTCCTGCAATCGATTCTATGTATTATACTTTCCATTTGGTATAAAATCTGTGAAGAAACTCCCAATGACCTACATAGCGATAGTTTTCGGAATTATAATAGTTTCGTTATATGCCGTTGTATCCATTCCTAGTCAGTTGAACTTACCGATTTCGATTATCAATAGATTAGAATTTACAGAAGGATGTCACTATTTTTTTAACCCAGAGTATTTTCAATGGTTACCAGAAGAAATGAATGCGCAGAAAATATCAATAAGATGGTGATGCTAACCATACTCGCGAATACAGTGGTTTCTAATAGTTTCAACGTTGGTACTGCGGTACGTCTTGTGATGAGTAAGATGGTGGGATTGATCAAAGCAGATTCGACCAAAAGAAGAAAACGATATATGATAATGTTTGTCCAGGTTGACAACTTAAAAAAACAGAAAGGTTTTTAAAAACATTTTAGAGTGTTATGCAAGACTGTATTCATATAGTGAATATTATAAATGCAACATATTGGAAAATTGAATGAACAATTATGGTTTCAGTGTTTATTTTTAACATTTTCTTTTATACTCATTTATACTCTGGACGGGTGAGGTGAAATTCGGTTAGGGTGTGTATCGAGTCGCTGTTTTAGGTTCATTGTGCTGGTGTTCAATCAACAATTTTTGCCAAAGTGGTGCAGAAAAGGATCAAACGGATCAAAAACAAAGAGTGTCAAAGTTGTGACTACAAGATTATCGGCTGCTGAAATTTCAAGATGATGAAAAATCGAAAAATTGCTTTGAGTATTCCAATAAACTAAATAAAATTTTGTTTGAAAACCAAATGAGTTTTCTTTTTGACAAAATCAAATAGATTGTTCGAAATGATGTGAAAATGAATAAATCCCCAAGCGTTTGCATGATTCACAGAATTGGTTGTTTCTTATTAGCTATGGTTTCAGCTCATTATTCTGATAATATTTTTTATTGTTCTAAGTTTGATAGATGGGTTAGATTTTATAATACTTTCATAATATTCAACTTTTAGTTTATTGTTAGTTATGTTCTTTTAAAATTTCAAAGTTAGACCAAAATTTTGCAAATTTCCTAGAATTCAAATGAGACAGGGTAATTACTGAGTTGTAATATGATGTGTCTTTGTTCAGAATTTTCGATTTCGTTCATTTTTCCTTTTTTCTTTTTTTCACAGAATGCTCTCCACCTAAGAAAATTTAAAGATTATGGCTGAAAATTTCAAACATCTCGATGATTTATAATACATTCTCCTTCAAAATTTCGAACGCGAACCTTGAAAAAAATTCAACACAACTCTTGAAATTGATTTTACCTTGCATATTATTGTTCGAAGTAATTGTTCGATTTCTTGATTGTTTCCTAATTAAAATTCGTCATAACCAGAAAACTTGCAAACGAACCTTTGATTAAATCTGAAAATATATCTAACTTCAAGAACAAACTGATTTGGTAACACATTTTACCAATAAATAAAATCTTAAAAAGTTGTATTTGGTTCTTTTCGGAGAAAACGGTTCCAATCAGACTTACTCAGAAAACCGTATTCCCGAATTTTTGAATTCGGTGCCATTCTTGTATGTTCTCATCAAGACGTTTCAGCCTAAACTTCAAAAAAAGAATGTTCTGGATGCCAGTGAAAAAAGTAAACCTTTTGCTGATATTTGAGAATTTATGTACTTTTTGACATAATTTTTTTTTCTGGAGAATATTCGGTTATTTTTGTATGTACAGTGTGCTTAAAATAACCTTTTCGGTCACTAATGTAGAGCTTCAGAGGCTGAAGTTTAGCCTAAGCCAATAATTTTAAACCAGAAAACAAAATATTCTGAAAAATTTCAGTTAAAAATTTATTGAAACTCAATTGTCAGCAATTTTTTCCCTTCGATCGCTGAAATATATTTCTCCGTTGAAGCAAATATAAATATTTCTGATTTTTCGAATGGCGGTTTTCCGAATAAGCCTGATTGGGGCCATTGTCGAAATTCTTGTAAATCGTGGTCCTATGGTGTGACCGGCAGTACCGGATTCGGACCATTCTTCCCGGAAAAAGCCGAAAAGTGTCTAGAAAAAACGTATTACTAAACAAAAACTTTATCAAAACCTTCGAAACAATTTGAGATAGGCCCAAATTAAAAATTTTTTAAATTGAAACAATTTTGCTAAACTGTGTAGTACCGTAGTTCGTAAATCGAAGTGGCGAAGTGCTGTTAAAATGGTGCATAACTGCTGTGAAAGTATAGGAGAACGCACAGATTCAGTACAAATACATGCATCTCGACAGCTGTGGGTTCGGTATCAAGATTCAGGGTCCGTGCTGTACTGTTGTTGAACTGACCAACTTGTTGCATACAGTATTTTTCTGTTGGACTTCTATTTTTCAACTTCCTTCTCAGGAAATTACCAAAACTAAAATCACAAAAAAATTTTTGAAAAATGAAAGAAAATATCTGTTATAACCGAATAGACGAATCGTACTGTAGGAACTGCACAAACTGAACTGCACGAACTTCTATTAGAGGGTGCGCTTCTATTAGTGGTGGATTTCTATTAGAAAAAATACGGTAACTGTGGAACAGGTAATGCGGCCGCTGTGGTTTTTTGCTGAGTAAGCTATTTCGAAAACATCGCGAACACAAGACTGATCAAAGTCAATAATTGAGTTACTCCGTACCGAACATGTAGTCGAATTTGCCACTTATTCGATCAATGGAAATACGAAAATGTTTCTCATAGACTTTTCAGACCAAATAAGCATCAACGTAGGCAGTGCTATCTACCACTGAACTTGCCCCTACACTTGCAGAAGGAGACTGTGAAATTCCTGAAGATAGTCCACTCTTCTCTCAAGGATTTTATATTTTCGCAGTTACATTTTGTTTTATTGTGGGTTCGAAATTTCGTTCCATAGTTGACACAATCAGTTTTAGACAAGTTTCCTTGGCACAATCTGTAACATCTTCCTCCTTTTGAAGTTCGTGAAACTAAATCAAAAAAAAATCAAATGGGTTTCAAAAAATTTGCCTAGCAAAGACACTTCCAAATATTATCGTTTGTTGCTCTTTCCTATTTTGGGTTGTTCCACTAACAATTTGTCGATATACCTATGAGGATGTTGCTTACTGGTTTATCGGGGTTATGGGAGGAACGTGGGCGTATGTTTTGTGTTAGTTACAAAGACATTACCAATACTCTTGGAATCTGCAAAATTTTTAGCTTACATTCTTCAAGTATCGATGTCTTGCAATAGATTCTATGCGTTGTACTTTCCACTTGGATTAAAATCTATAAAGAGAATCCCAATGACCTACGTAGCGATAGTTTTCGGACTTATAGTAGTTTCAATATATGCCGTTGTATCCATTCCTGGTAAGTTGAATTTACCGATTTCTGTAAACAAGATCCAATAACATTGACATTTTCAGAAGGATGTCGCTATGTTTTTGACCCAGGATATTTTCAATGGAGACGTGAAGATGATGAATGCGCAGCAAATATTAATGAGATCGTAATGTTCGCCATATTAACAGACAGAGTGATTTCTAATACTTTCAATGCTGGCACTGCGGTACGTCTTGTGATGAGTAAGGTGGCGGGAATGTCTCAACAAGATTCGTCAAGAAGAAGAAAACGATGGATGATTATGTTTGTTCAGGTGACCTATTTTTTGAAAAATAATGAGATATGAACATATTTCAGGGTGTTTTACAAGACTGTCTCCATATAGTGGATATTTTGACTTCAAGATATATTTATAAGTTAAGCGACGAACTTTCAGTATTTATGTTTGACTTTATCTTTTATACTAATCTATACGTTGGACGGGAAAGAAAATAATACTACTGGTTTCGGTTGTACAGGATGTTACAGGTTTATTATGCTGGCATTCAATAAACATTTTTTGCCACCGTGGTGCAGAATAGGAGCGAACAGAAAGAGGAATAGTGTAGTGGTTGTGACTTCAAGCTCATAGGCTAAAATACTTTGATGCTGACGGAATATCGGGAACTCTTTGATTATTTTAATGTTTTTTAAACTCAATATTTTTTAAAACCTCACTATATTTGCTTACTATCAGTTATCCTTCCTTTCAATGAAGACGTTTGGCAATAATGTTGAAAAATTTCCGAAAAATCAACTATGGTTGTTCTCATTGGCAACTCTAAACGGACACCAAGAGATTTTCACTGATACTTATTGTTGAGACCAAATAAAAGCCATTCGTCTGATTCATCTCATCAGCATCGATTTTTTCCCATGCTTATTTTCTCAAGACATACACAAAATGTACGAAAAAATCCGAAGTTGAATGTCTCGCCCCCAAATCCAAACTAGAGAAAGAAGCTAAACAATTCAATATTTTGGTCTTGTTAGGAAAGTTTGTACCAGTTAAGTTAACCAGAATCTGCTTGAATGATTTTCATCACTTCCCAATGTTTCCAGTCCGATTGTTTTTAAAATTTATATAATTCCCTCATTTTCATCTTCACTAAAATCAGTTTCAATATTTTTTAAATCTTATTACATCGCATACATATCAAAAATGGAGACCGAGTATCCAGCTCAGAAAAATATGAACTTTAGTTTCTATATTTTTTCTTTGGCAATGATTTTTGCAGTGAGTCAATTTTTAGCAATATCAAATTCCAAGAACTTCAAGAAGTTAAATTTCAGATAAGTTCAATTGGGCTCGTTTGCAACTTCTATTTTACAATAAAATTTATATTTCGAAAACCCCACTCCAATGGTTTTCAAAGAATTTGCACCGTCAAAACTATGAATAACTGTATAATCTGCAGTACATTTTTGTTTTGGGTGCTGCCTGTAACTTTGCTTCAATTCACATATTCGGAACTTAATTATCCTGCAAATAGGATAATTAGTGGTATGGCTGCATTGTGGGCTTATGTTTTGAGTAAGAGGGGCAAATACGAGAAAAATTATAATCAATTTTAAGATTCACTTCTTCAAGTATGTCTAGCTTGTAATCGTCTTTACGGTTTGTATTTTCCACTTGGAATAGCAATCTGGAAAACAGTACCGATGGCAAATATGGCGATTGCGATTTCAGTAACATTAACCAGTATGTTATCATTTGTTAGTATTCCAGGTAAGAATAATTCATGACAAGTTCTGAACAGAATTGCTGTAAAGGAAATCGTTTATTTTTTCAAAACGGTTTTGTGACTTTTGAGACATCAAAAATCGCAACCAAAAATTTTATCAACAAGACCCATATTTACCAATATTTCCCAAAACTGAAAAACACGCTCAGTATGATTATTTCTAAATCTTTGGTTTCTGTGGCATCGGAAAAAAATTCTCACGGTTTCTATAATGATTGATGAAGTTACAGTTGGATGCGGTTACATCTACGACCCAAATCTGTTCGTATGGAGAACAGAATTTCATGACTGCTCCAAGCGGTTAGCGGTGATTTTTCCATTCGTCATCCTAGGCACAACAATTGCAACAAACGCCTTCAACGTGGCAATCGGAACCCGACTTCTGGCAATGAAACTGATTGGAGTCAAAGAGGAAGAAGCGAAAGAAAGACGAAGAAGATGGATGGTTATGTTCATACAAGTAAGAATATCTGGATGTGAGAAATTGATATCTATTGAATTCTTTAGTGCGTCTTGCAAGATTGCTTACAATTATTCGATACTATAAACTCATACTACATAGTTCTTCTTTCTGAGAAAGTATGGTTTCAATTTCTATTCGTCACTCTTTCTCTCGTTTTTATTGCAACCATGGATGGGTTTGTGGTTCACATATTTCAAAAGTCTTGATTGATTAAAATACTTCCAGTGTCGTCATGTTGGCTTGCAACTCTGATATTCACCCGGAATTCGTCAAAAACTGGAAAATCAAAAAGAAGCAAAGAAGAAATACATTGGTTCTCGTTACCACTAGTGGTCATTCCATAAATTAATTTAACTGTATGTGCTTCCGCAATAAATGTTTTGGCATACCGTAAAACCTCTAATAGAACGACACCCGGATCGTCCACTTTGAACCTATATATCTCATTTTCTGCAAAAGATATCGAAAAGTGGCTAACTAGTAAAATGTTGCTGATATCCTGATAAACATTTTACTAGTTAACCACTTTTTGATACCTCTCAAAAGAAGTGAGATATATAGGCTCAAAGTGGACGTTCCGGGTGTCGTTCTATTAGAGGTTTTACGGTATGTTTCTGTATTTCAGTCCTCAGTGTATGAAATCTAAATTTCAAATTCTGATTCTTTGACTTCATTCCGGAAGTTTCGTTGGAAAAAAGCAAAGATCATAAAGTTTCATGACTTCCCCGAAAAATCATGAAAATCTATGTCTCGAATTCGACGAATTTTCCCACCGTTGTTTTCACACTTCTTCTGATTTCATCCTTCCGTACTCTGTGTGAACCTAGATTTCCATGAAGTCCTTGTCACACTTTTTTGATTTATTTTCAGTCATTCCTTTGCAGTAGCCCTCGATCATGTATCAGCCATTGGCAGTTTCTGCAATCACTTTTTTGGTAATTGATCATTTTAGCTTGAACCAAAGTAGAGAAAGGAATTTTCAGATAACATCTTTTGGCACTATTGCGAATGTGCTAGTTTTTCTGGCAGCTCAGCGAATGAGCTCGATGAGCAGCTCGTTTGGAATTATTACCAAAAATCAGGCTGTTTGTAATACAGTCATGTGCGTCATTTTTTTGTGCTACGTCTGTCCAATGCAATTGAGGTAAGTAATTTGTCCAAGCAAAATATAGATTTTTCAAAATGTTGAATAGAAATACCTCATTAACCCAAATTGAAAATGAACATTAAAAAATCAATAGAATTTCCGATCATTCTCCAAATTTAAGCGATTCTCAATTCCTTATCCAACACTCCCACATCCTTGGACTAATTGCCATGAGCACCTACGAAGCATCAAACTTGCTCCATTTACTCATCGCAGTCAACCGATTCTGTGCAGTGTTTCTTCCCTCCTACTACGAAAAAATGTTCTCCAAAATTGGAACAATTATCATGATTCAATTAGCTTGGATGACTTCTATTATCATGTGCTCTATATTCTACGAGATTCTGGGATGTTACTTCTCCTATGATGACGTATCGTGGACATTTGGATTTTTGGGAACTTCGAATTGTGTTCAACTAACATGGTACACTGATTTTGCTCTAAACACTGTTCTGATTGTCACCACTCTGTTTATCAATTTGTTAACTGCCTTCAAAGCAGGAAAAAATAGCCGCATGCTGATGAACGCAGCTGGAATCAAAATGACACAAAGACAAAAACAAAGAGAAATGGGATTTATAAAACAGACATTTTTTCAAGGAATCTCTGTTTTCGCCGGTCAATTCACTTATTATCTCATTGCTCCGTTACTGAAAAATCTTGTTTTATTATTTTTGGTAGCCAGTTTGTGGGCGTTTATGCATGCTTTCGAAGGGTGAGTGGAGTTAGTTTTGACGGACTTATGTGTTCTCTTATCTCCTTTATCTTCTGTTTTTTCAGAGGTATCATCCTAATATCTAACAAAGAAATTCATCAAGTTTTGAAGAAGACAAAAAGTAAATTTCTAAAAGAAAAGCGTTCAAAAAAATTAAATTCCAGTGACTTCGTCTGCCGTTTTCGTATCCAGCTGAATTTTTCCTATATTCAAATTATCAATACTAAATAATGTCAACTCAATTTACAATGGAAAACTTCTGTGATGTTTTTTTGCCTGTACTGTACCATCATAAGAGTCTGACTTTCCGAAAAAAAATTGAAAAATTTTATTCTCAAATGTTCAAATAATTGTCTATCTACTGTTTTTTTTAATTTCAAAAACCGGACATAAACTGACGAAGTTATGATTTTTTGAAAATTTAGGCATTTACTTTTTGTTTGGACCATAACTCCCAAAAAAAATTTTTACCAACTATTCCGTTTGGAATTTAAAATAACTTTTTACGCTCTATCCAACCATATAGGTCTCGATTTTTTTTCGAGGGTAACACTTGGGAGTCATTTCATGTTAGCGTAGACATGTCGGTTATGCAAGTTAATGCAATTTGATTAGCACATAGGATGTCTTGAAACTCGTTCTTGAGTTTTGTTAGTTTCAGAAGGTTTTAAATGGAAGTTCTTTATGATGGGTGATACCCCAAAGTTGTTTATTTCTTTGATTTTTTCGTACACTTTAATTCCTTGCTCTGTTTGAAAGTTATGGCACAATAGTTATGGCACAACGCCTACATATTGACCAATTTTTCCTTTATAGGAATTCTGCTCGATTTTCATAATATCCGGGAAAATTAACAGCCGAACATGTGCTTTTCAGGAATTCCGAGTACTTTCTAGGAAAGAGCTTTTCTTTAAAACACGGCAAAAAATAAGATTTTCTTACTCTGGCACTCTTTTTTTTCTAGGTTTTTGGTTTTTTTTATTTTTGTTAATAAGAAAACAACGTTTGGTATCATCTTTAAGAATTTCAAAATGTTAAAAAAACAAAAATCTATATTTTTTCAGTAAAAAAATTAAAAAAAATCTCAATATTTCGTCTCAAAATGAAACTTTCGAAATTTTGGAGGAACCAGCTAGTGCACTGTTATCCAGGTCTTTTTTTACATTTGCAATTTTAGCAACTTTTATTGTGAGTCCCCTCATCAGCTCAAATCCGATTCAACTGTCTTACAGATCAGTTTATTTGGTACATTGTGCGATATCTACCTCTTTTATAAGTTTGTAAACAGAAAATCCAAACAAAGTGGATTTCAAAAACTGTGTACAGTCAAAACAATCTCAAATTTTATAATTTGTTCTGCATTTTTACTCTGGGTTGTCCCCGTTACAAGCCTTTCATTAACATTGAGCCAATTAAGCCCAATGATGAATCGATTAATTGGGGTTTTCGCAGGTACTTGGGCATATTTCATGAGTTGGTTTTCAATTCTTTATCGTTCAATTTTTATCTTTGTATTCAGATTCTCTTCTTGCAGTTTGTTTATCATGTAATAGGTGCTATGTTCTATTTTTTCCTTTTGGTATTTTTCTTTTGAGAAAAATACCAGTTACTAATGTTGCCATTGGCTTCTGTGTATCATTTATGACTGCTTGGGGATTATTTTCGACTCGAGGTGATCTTACAAATCCAATAATTTCGTGATGGAGAGTTTCAGATGGATGTGCTAGTATCTATGACCCCAATATTTTCATCTGGAGAGGTGAGATTTCAGAATGTAGCGATATTCTGATGTTTTATATTCCGCGCTTTGTTTTTTCTACAACATTTATAACGAACAGTTTGAATGTGCTAACTATTGTTAGGTTGTTGATGGAGAAGATGGTTGGAATGAATATAGAAGAATCGAAAAGAAGAAGAAAGAGATGGATGATAATGTTTGTACAGGTACATTTAGTCTAGAATACGGTAAAACCTGTATTAGAAAGGCCGCCTCTTTTATTGTTCTAAGGTACCTCCGGAAGGTCCTTTCACTTCATCGGCCCTTCAATTAAAAGGGGCCTTCATTTAATCCAGCCGTTTTTTTTTCGAAAGTTTTAATAAAAAAGTTTAGTGGATCCGTTTGAAGTTCATGAAAACCTACAAATTTGGAGCAATGTTTTGAAAAAAAGATTTCCAGCAATCATAGAAAATATTTTTGACCGAAATATTTTTGACTGAAATCGTAAGGAAATTTTCCTCTTCTTAAACACACATTTTGAGCTCTCTTACCTCTATAATAATGACTTTTTTTTTCAAGTACTCCTCGAAGAGTTCTTTTATTAGAGCGACTCTTTCATTAAAGGGGATCTCCTGATACAGGTTTTACGGTAGTTTAATTTGAATTTTTATTCTTGAAGAGTATGCTCCAAGACTGCCTCCAATTAATTGACATCATCAACTCTTACTACATATGGAAGTTGAATGAAGATCTCTGGTTTCAATTTCTCTCCGTCACTTTATCATTTCTTTTGATTACCGCAATCGACAGTTTTTTAATGTTTGCTTGCCAGCCCGACATCCATCCAAGATGGATGAAAAAGATTCCGAAGAACAATAATGGAGGAAGTAGTGTTGCGATTGTGAAAAGCGTTCGGAACGCGACATAAACTAATTTTCATTGAACTGTTCTTGCAAAATTAACTCGATTGAACTTTTCACTCAATTTATTTTTCCCCCGAATTGGTTGTGTTATTAAATCAAAGATCGTTTCTGAGAAGTTATTTATGAGTTACCTAGACGTTATTAACAAGCACCTGTTAAATGTGTTTACTGTCTGTTCAATTTTCTTATTGGGTCTCACAATCAGAAAAAACAATTACTAAAAAAATCAGATTGTAATTCTGAATCAGTGTTCGTATCTCAAAGATTTTCTCAAAACTAAATGCTGCTTCATTACGTTGAAACTGGAATTCTGTTCGCTGTTTCGCTCCTTGGGTTTCTGGTGAATTCATACTTTTTTCTGAAAATATCCAAGATTCGAAAACTAATAAACTCATTTCAAAAACTGTGCTTTGTCAAATCAGTGTCTAATGCTCTAATCTGTGCAGCAATTATTTTTTACGCAGTTCCCCTTTCAGCATTCTCAGCAAAAACTGAAAATATTTCCCGGGATCTGAATATCCTAGTATCCGAATTAACTGCGTCAGGAGGATATATTTTCGGTCCACTTTGTCCAATTTCGATGACTGCAAATCGAGTTATCGTACTGTATTTCTCCATGTGGAGACTGAAAGTTGACAAGTTTCCCAGCACAAATGTATCCATTATTGTTTGTGTTCTCATTTCTTTATATTGTAGCATATCTGAAATGAGAGGTCTTAAATTTTTAATATCTCCGATTTCCAAAATCTGATGTGTCAAGGCCATGCGTATTGATTTACCATCCTGAAACTCTTGGGTGGAGTCCTGTACTTCCAACTTGTATAGATTCAATGGATGGCTGGCAACTAATAGTTATCATTGGTTTAACTTCAATTTCAATTTTTCTGAACTTCATAGCAGTTTTAAAATTAGTGTACGACAAAGTAGCTGGTATAAGCGAGCACCAAAAAAACCGAAGAAGAAACAAATGGTTAGCAAATTTCATTCAAAATGTAATGCAAGATGCTCTTCATGTGATTGACATGCTTAACTATACATTATTCTATAAATTAGTGGACTCTCATTGGTTGCAGTGTATTCTTATGAGTTTGTCATTGGCATTAATTTATATGATAGATGGGTGCGTCATTTGAGATTGACCGCGTTTCTTCCAATAGAAGCCCACCCTACCATCATTTTTGAGTTCAATTATTTCTACTTCTGTAAAAGATATCAAAGTTTTGACAACTGATAAAATATTGGTGATATCTTTTCCGGGACTTGGGACTCATTACTGATTCCTCTCTCAAATTCTCTGCTCACATCAACAAAATCACATCTTTAGCTCTTCTCCGTTCCAAACAACTCTTAAAGTCATTTAGATCTAAGTCTCCAGAATTCTACATTCATCTTTTCAAATGTTATGTTCTCCCGATTCTTGAATATTGTTCTATAGTTTATTCCCCTCCGCCTTCTTCTCGCCTTGCTCTAAAACTAGAATCTCCCTTAAGATTTTTCTCTAAGTGTATTTTCCAGCGTTGTAATATCCAATACAGTTCCTATTCTGATCGTCTCTCTATCCTCAATATGTTCTCCATTCGACATCGTAGGTTAAAAGCTCAACTAATTCTTCTCTATAAATTTTTAAATGGCTCCGCCTACTTTCCTAACTTAAATGCACATGTCAAATACTCCTCCTCCCCTCGTCGCCCTATGAACTTAATTATTGTTCATCCCTACTCATCTGACTATTTTTCTTCAATTGTTCCCCTGTGGAACGCCATCACTTCGCAAGTTACCCGATTTCTCCTACCTTCCGAGTTTGAATCCTTAATTTCTTCCAGTATTACCCGTTATTGATATATTTGCTCCCCTATTTTTTCCTTTTCTACCGGTTACATCTTTCCTGTGTCAAATATCTAAATTATCCCGTTTCCCCTCCTCTACTCAGATCGGCCTCGTGAGGGGCATTTTTCTGAGTCTTTCATGTCCTGCCCTCTAATGTTTTATTACACCTGATCAATAAAAAAATTAAATTAAATTAAATATCATGATAAACATTTTGTCGATCAACTACTTTCTAATATCTTTTACATGAAATGAGATATATGGGCTCAAAGTGAACGGTTTAGGTAGGCTTCTATTAGAGGAAATTTAGAGGAAATAGGAAATTTGAAAATTCATGTTCTGTGAATTTCAGAATTGTTATGCTTCATTTCCACGTCTACACATATCGAAAAATAGTTCAGCTGAAGAAGAAAATTTGTTTTGTGAGTGATGTTCAATTCAGTCCTCGTCGTCCGTGATCCGTTTCTTGTACCATGTTGTAGTTTCCCCCGAAACTTTGTTTATTTGCTGGTCACTTGAATGTTTTTGATCTGAATTATAAAGCTGAATCAACACTTTTTTGGTATAAAAACTAATCGAAGATCGTTAGAAAACCATCTGATCTTTTCATTTTATATTCTTCTGAAAACAGTAATGAAGAGCTTAACACTAATAATGCTTATGACGACTTCAATCTTGTTATTCATAGGGTACCATCCCAATCCATTATCAAATTTCAATTTAAATTTTTCAGAGCACTTGGTGAAGTGACTGAGGAAACCGAGCGAATCGTGGAAGATGCGGTTTTGAGAGCATTGGATTCGTTGAATGCTCAAGTGGATTCTTCCAGCGAACAAACTTCAGAACACATTATTGTGTCACAACAAGCCAACAGCGAATCTAAGATTGCTCAGTTCACCGGAGAGGTTTTGGAGGAGGCAACAAGGATTTTGGTAGAGGAGTTTGGAATGGTTAGTTCTATTTTTAGTTATAATTAGAATCGATTATTTTCTAGGATATTCTTCCAATGGCAAACGAAGTAATCAACAAGTGGAAAGCAGAGGATGAAGAATCACTAGCTGAAACCACAACATCCCATCCTGAAACCACACCCTCCGAACCTTCCCGTCGTAAACGAAACGCGATAATCCGCCCGAAACGACAAGCCACTCGCCGCGGACGACGATGCTTCACTCCACCTACTGACTGCAATAACAGATTCCAGTAGGTCTTCCAGTCTCCGAAACTTCAACTTTCTCTCTCCTTCTGAACTTTTCATGAATAAATCTTTTCAGTACCACAACTCGTGCAATCACAGGAATTTGTAATAACCGGCAGAATCCGGAACTCGGAAATTCAGTTTCGCCGTTTCGTCGAATTTTGGGCGGAGCTTCTTACGCAGATGGTCTCGGAAGAATAAGAACAAGAAGTGTGAATGGAGGGAACCTTCCATCGGCTAGACTCATCTCCAATTCTCTGCATGATGACAGAAATAATCAAGTGTTTTCTCCAACCATCAACCATTTGCACATGATTATTGGTCAATTTATTGCCCATGATGAGATTTTCATGCCATCCTCTGTGGGTAAGTATTCAAATTCACAAGCTGGGGTTAGCAATCAAATATTTCCAGCTAGAGATGGTGGTGCTCTTGATTGCTCAGCTTGTAATGCTGCGACCCGCGTATCCTCAAACTGTGCTCCAATCACAATACCCCGCAATGATCCATACTTCCGAACGCCATGTATGCGACTGACACGAGCTCTCAACGGACAAGAAAACTTTGGAGTTCGCACTCAAATTGATCAGAACAGCCATTTCTTGGATCTGTCCACTGTCTATGGGTCGGCTGATTGTGAAGCTGAAACTGTTAGATCATTCATTGAAGGAAAACTTCTCACATTTGGTGATCTCGGATACACTTTGCCCCCACAGAATCTGAATGATTCCAACTGTCAATCTTTTGCTCCACTTCATTGTTTTACTTGTGGAGATTTCAGAAACAGTCTTCATCCTGCACTTATTCCAGGTACCCAGAGAGCATTAAACTAGTTTTCATTTCAAAATTATAGTTCATACTGTATTCATCAAAGAGCACAACAGACTGGCAGAACAAGTGAGATTGGCCCGTCCTCGGATGTCAGATGAACAAATATTCCAACTTGTTCGAAAGATTATGATTGGCACGTGGCAACATATTGTGTTCAACGAATACATTCCAAAGTATTTGCCGGCTAGAACCATTCGAAACTTTGGATTAAGACCGTTGAGAAGCGGAGCTCACAGGGGATACAACCCTTCTCAAGACCCATCTATCTCAGCCGAATATGCCGGAGCAGCATTTCGATTTGGTCACAGCCAGGCCAGATTTGATTTCCCACGACTTACGGAAGCAGGCCGCCCAGCCGGAAACTTTGATCTAGGACACGATATTTTCTATGCTGATCAGAACTATTTAGCTGGAATTGGAGGATGGGAACCTGTTATGAATGGGATGGTGCGAACGCCATCCATGAAATCCGATCGTTATTTTTCATTTGGAATTAGAAATCAAATGTTTGAAATCAGAGGTAGAAATGGGTCTGGAGTGGATCTAGTATCCGTGAATATTCAGAGAGGAAGAGATATGGGATTGTTCCCTTATATCAAATACAGGTAAAAAATACTAGTAGGAACTAATGGGAACAAATAATTACAGGCAACTCGTTGGTCTACCTCCTGTCTCGACGTTCAGTGATCTAGACAGCACAATGTCACAGGAAAACATTCGGGCTTTAAGAAATGTGTATTCGGATCCAGCAGATATTGACTTGTATGTGGGAATCATGTTGGAGGAACCGCTAGCAGGTGGTCAGTTAGGACCAACTGCTTCGTTCATTATTGGAGAACAATTCAAAGCTTTGAAAACTGGAGACCGATTCTTCTACGAAACAATCACCGAGGGAACGGATAATTTCACACAAGGCAAGTTTAAGTTTCTGATTCCATCCAATTTATATCATTCAGAAGAAATCGACGAAATCAGAAACAATGTGTCTCTGGCAAAACTGATTTGCACCAACATGGATTTTGCCGTAAGAATCAGTTCGGATATTTTTGATCAGTAAGTTTTGAAAAGGACATTTTGAAAGATCTAAGACTATCCAAATGTTTTTCAGTCGAAGCAGACAAGTGGCATGCTCGTCTCTCCCCCAAATCAACATTGAGAAGTTTCTCCGATAGTTCAATCGGGCAGCGTAAATATTTAGTTTCACTGTTGACACGTTTTCTATTTGAGAAATGAAACGCAATCGCATTTGAACTTTTTGTTTTTCGTGTTTCGTTGAATATGATGTCGTTGACAGAGATTTCGACAAGAACAAAAATAAGATTCATTTGAATGAGATCAGTATCAGAAACATTTTGTCACATCAAAATTTAATGAATACAATCAGTGGTCTCTCCACTGAATTGATTTGCCAAATTCAATGTTCCGATATCGTAATTTGTGGAAGATCCGCGTCCAGAAGCCACTGCGTAGTCAGGGATATTGATGGTTACCTTCTTGGAGCACAATCCGTTGTAGTTGCATTTGTGATAGATGTTGACTTTTGGATCCAATGTGAAGATTTTCGTGTAGGATCCAGAGACACGGAAGGTACCATCGTTGGATGTCTTGGTCGAGTCAAGTTTGGAGTCCCAGACTGGAAAATTATTACATATAAATCAAAGATAAAAAAAAACTCACTAGTTCCATCTTCGTACATCTTAACAAGAACGTTTCTAGCGGGTTGTCCTTGACATATCAATCTTCCAGTTACCGAGATGGTTTGGGCACTTCCGACGGTGTTGAGAACAGCATCGGTGAGTTGGGCGAAGGCAAAAACAGAGATGAAGAGGATAGTTGTAGTCGAAGTCATTTTGTGAAATGGCAATACAAAACGAGCATTTCGAAAATGGTTTTATAGGTTTTCAAACGGTAAATAGAAATAGAGTTCGCGGGCAAACAGAGTGTCGAAAAGAGCCCCCACATACAGTGGCAGTGTCAAAAAAAGAGAGGGGGCAACAAACATCGATGGGACTCACATGTTACTTTGGTTATAGTCTTTCTCAATCTAAATATTTGTGAGTCATTCTCAAGTTTTCGAAAAAGTGAAATCATAGGTAATTTTAGAGCTCGCGAGCAGATCACTTGAAGACCACTAAGTAAGTGTAATCTTATTGATTTTCACTCCGACTTTCACTTTACTAGGTTTTCCAATGCAACAAAAACTCCAAAGAAGTAGATCATCACAGCTGCATCTAGAATGAATACCGACGCAAACGATAAGGAGCGGAAGATAAAACTCCACAGTTCTGTATCCATGAGACTAGAAGTGAAATTGAAATTTGTGGTGTCAATTAGTTGAATGAAATCTTGGAGGACACTTTGAATATTCATTGACTGCCACTTTTTTTTCTTATTATTTTTTGTTTCTCACTGATCCCATTCATCTGAAAGTTTTTTAATTATCTCTCCGAATATAACCAATTTTTCTCTAATCTTACTTTATCTTTTAACAGTTTCGCAAAAATAATCAAATTGAACCCATTCGATATGAACGACAGTATTCCTACAGTTACAAATGTCCATCGAGCCATGCTCACATTCTATACGCTGTGTTCGGAATCCCCATATTTTCGGATCATAAACTGGGTAGCAATCTGCTGAAAATCTTATAATGAGTACTGTTCCAAACCAACTTAAAACACTCAAAACTGATAGAAGGGAGGGAATATTGGATAGTAGAAAACATAAAATAAACACCAAATCTGTGAATGGAAGAAATATGGTAATCCATTGACTGCTTGTGATATCATTATGTTTTCGATTCTGGTGATATCGACATAAGTGACTCCCAGAATTGATATTGCGGATCTCCAGAAGGCAAATACAGAACTGATGTTCCGACACTTAGGTGGTGAGCCTGTGTCGGAGCGAAAGTACAAGGATAGGAACATTAAGTATTCAACAACTATTTATTTAATTGGGTTAGGGCTCTGATTATGGTTCTTCATAGCATCAGCATTTGGGGAGTTTGCCAGGAGACGATGACCAGCGACAGGAGTTTCCGTTTATAGGAGCAGAGGGGTGAACCATCCTTGGCTTGATGAGGAGGTTGCAGAAGGGGTGTGGCATCGGTAGATTGGCTCATCCGCGAGCGTAAGCAATTGGATCCTTGCATCAGTGAATCCATCGTTGGAGAGATCCGTTGGAATTGTTCCTTTGATTTAGATGTCTCATCATACTGGCGATTCTCAATCCTTTTATAGCATCTCCTCGGCATATCCACGATTATGCTCCAGATCTGATATATTGATAAGTAAAGTGATCACGCCAAATATGTAGCGTAAATAGTTGGAGAATTGTGTTTATGACAATTTGTGTCATTCTAGATGCTCTAGTGTTATTGAATTTGAGGTCGTGCAGTAGAACTTCTGCTGCCGCGACACTGGGGGCAGGGGAAGAGAAGCCTTGAATGGGGCTTTATTTTGTAGATTGGAATAGTCATAACTGGCTGACTATTCTGCTGCACATCTAGTGATGACACTGTCCATTGTTGGGTGGTTCAGTGTATGAATGTGATTTGCACTCATATGTGAGGCTTTAAGCTTACTCAGTTCCACGCGTCTATCCACGGTTGCTGTGGCTTAGACCAGAGTAGCTGGTTGGAGACGATCTGATTGGAGATATCTAGGGATTCCAAACAGTTGGATTCACCCTGGAACCGTTGTGTGGTTCTTGGGTAGTTGATAACTGAATGATCTCTATCCTTGTCACCAGGGGTTACCTAGAATTTGTGCATCTAGGTTTCCCGGTCGATGCACCATGTTCCTACTCTAAGGCCAGTGGTCCAGAGTAAGAATGTAAGTACAAGGAATAAAAACTAATAATCTTTATTGTGAACAAATCGAGTTAACTGACAATGTCTCGTCGGTGCCATCATCTTGCCACTGACTTCCATGACTCGAGGAGTATTGGCCTTTCCAGTGGGTCCAGCAGTCTTCTTTCCAGCATTTGGTAGTTCGGACATTTGGTGCGAGAGTTGTTCGGGAGCAGTTGGGACGTTGGTCTTCAGAAGAAGTAAACTGATCTTTCTGTCGAATTCGTTTCCTTTTATAGCCATCAGAGGGGGCGGAGCTTGACGTGGAGGTCGTGGAGGTCAGGGCAGATTGGAAGATTGGAAGAGCTTGGTCACGTTGGAATTCACGGGAATAGATTATTAGTTGAAAGATTTTAGTGTATTTGAGACACGTGGAGTCTCTATAAATATTTGTAGTTTGTAGTCGTGCAGGAGGACTACTGCTGCCGCGACAACTGATGATAAAGTCTGAAATAGTTTTGAGCATACACATTTTATGAAAACTGCTAAATGGTTTCTTTTTGGAAGTTGAAAATCAAATAAATAAAAATAGGTTGAGGACGAGTCCAATGAAACCAGTCTGAAACAATCGTCAGTGAACAGTTTATTTTAGGAATGATCTATTTTTTGTTTTCATTAATAACAAAATCAACTTAAGTTCCAGTTGTAATTACAACTGGAAGCAAAACTTTATAGTTCAACATCGAAGAAAAAGAAGTTTAGATGAAGAAAAAGGAAGATGTGCTGTTTGTCGAGAAAAGAGGAAAATGAATACTAACGAACAAGGATCGATGGGAAAACTGGAAACGAAAAATAGCTGTGTCCTCATTAAATGTCTAGCTCGTGGAATCACAAAGATGTGAAAAGTCTCACAGTTCCGGGTAGGATATAAAAATACCATGTAGTACTTTGGAACATAAAATCTCGAGTAGACTGTAAACAACAATCTAATCAGACAGGGTATGAGGATGTGAAAAAAAATATATATAGGATATAAACCTGGGATTTCTTGTGCCACAACTAATTGAAAACTGGAATCAATCGAAATGATCAAAAATGAATATAAATGGTCCTGAAAAGATATCATAAACTTTGATTTTTATGTCAAAAGTGGTTTTTTCTAAATTTGAATCACCTCGGCCGTCGTTGAAAAATAGGAAGATTCAAAAAATATTGTGAGAATTTGAACCCTATGCACACAAACAACTTTATTTCTTTTGACTGGTTCAAGCGTTTTGAACTCCTGACACAAATGTAATTGACTTTTTCGGACCTTTCCCCCCACAGCAATAAAATCCGAAGTCAGTGTAAAAAAACATCATAACAGCTCCATCAATTGCGTAAATACAAACAAAGGAAAGAGTACTGAATATGAAATACCACAATGAAGAGATAATTAAACCAGAAATTAGATTAAAATTGATGATGTCTAAAACTGGCAGGAAGTCTTGAATCACAGTCTGAATATACATTGCTTTCCACTTCATTCGTCTTTGTTGTTTTTGGTTTTCACTGATTCCAGTCATTTTGTCTTTCACTAACTTCCCAAAAATAATTGCATTGAAACCGTTGGAAATAACAGCCAATGCTGGAATCGAGTAGATCACAAAGCTATCCATTGCTTTCCCACATCTATTAACGTCTTCAGAGAGAAAAATTCCCAGCTCTGGATCATAAATGAAAAAACAATCAACTGAAAAATAATGTACAGAACTTATTGAAGGTGTTGAAGACTCACAAAACTTTGGGACAAATACTGGACCACTAGCAAACACAAAACAAACAAGGATCGATAAATTTGAATAAGGAATTTTCGAGGGAACTTTTCGTAAGGGAAAATAAATAGCCATAAACCTGTTTAGAGACATGCAAATCAAAATCAGAGAAGCAAAATAATAACAGAATAAACCAATGAATTCAGCAATGGATATATTCAAAAATCTTGGAAGATCTATGATAGTGTATTCCAAAAATGATAATGGGCAAATCCAAAATGGAAATGAAGCACTGATAAGAAGATTGGGTATAGCTTTGAACAGACACATTTTATGGAAACTGCTCATTCGTTTTGATGATATAAACTTCAGAATCACCAGCGCATTCAAAATGAAACCGAGGAGGCCAGCCTAAAAAATTCGTTCAGAAACTTAATCAATCAATCAGATGACACTCACGACCAACAAACAGATGATATAGCTGGGAGTCATTTTTTTTGAAAAGAAAATACGAATGACTAACTTTTTCAAAGAAAAACGCACAAAGAAAACAAAAAAGCGACAGGGAGAGCTAATCAGTGCCTAATGGGGTTATTCATGTAGCGAAAATATGTATTGAAATGCATTTCCGCGCCCTCGAAATTCAATGCATGAGCGTCGCGAAATGTATTTCAAAGCATTTCGCGACATAACTGTAAATGCATTTCAATACATCGCGTGGCGAGATATTTTTTTCTGGAAAAAGGTATGCGCCTTTAAAGATTTT